CATTGTTGGAGATTTTAACATTGATATTTACAACAAATTAGACGCTAAAATAAACAATCTTATGGTGGCTTACGGTTTGCATCAACTTATAAACTCACCAACCAGAGTCATCCAAAACAGTAGAACCCTTATTGATTTGATATTTGTTTCTCGTCTCGATATGGTAAAAGACCCGTGAAGATCCGGGGTAGAATAGGTCTTCAGCAACCCATGTGCTTGCCATAAAAAAGGCGACTATCTTGTCGTAAGAGGCGACTAACGGGATCGGGTGGTCAGTTTCGCTGACTTGGTTGACACATGTCATCGGTTCCCAATTGCGCAGATCGATGCTCATGCTGTTGATGACTGGATTGTCTGGTCCAGACTCGATTATTTACAGACCGCTGCCATATAGCTGGAATATTGCTGAGTGCGGCGTAAAACTAAACTCACTCACTCACTCACGATATGGTAAAAGAGTCAAATGTTTTAGAACCTTTTTTGTAGCGATCATTGTCCAGTATCCGTAACAATAAAAGAATGTATGAAGTCAACGAAAATATATCTGAGAAAAGTTTACGATTACACATTGGTAAACAAAGACGATATCTGCTTCCACGTTGATAATACTGATTGGGAAAACGTACTGTCATCACCTGACATAAATGTGAGCACAGGTGCATTTGTGAAAACCTTATCTCATATCTGCCATTCCAATATACCAAACAAAATTGTTACAATAAGATGTAAAGATACTCCCTGGATGAATAATAACATTCGCAAACTCATGCGGAAACGAAATCGACAACATAAAATAGCGAAACAAAAAAATGGTGAAAATGACTGGGCTACTTTTAGATCATTAAGAAATCAAGTGACTTCTGCAGTTAGAAAAGCCAAGAAAGATTATACAACAAAATTAGACACTCAAATAAACAATAATCATAGCACTAAACTATGGTGGCGTTTAGTTAAAAACTATATGAACAGAAAATCTGAAAGTACCTCCTTTCCTCCTATTACCCACAATAACGAAGTCTATCAAGAACCAGAATCAATAGCAAACGTTTTAAATAATTACTTTATTGACCAGGCAACAATCGCTGACCCTAATAAGGATCTTCCAAATATGACCTTAAACAATAATAGTAAATATATGAGGAATTTATATCTTACAAAGCAGGATGTTGAAGATGAAGATGTTCTATCATCGTTAAACATTACCAAAGCGAGTGGACCAGATGGTATTGGAAACCGCTTCCTACGTTTGGTATCCCCCTCCTTGTCACTAGCATTAACTAACCTCTTTAACAAGTCACTTCAAACATCAGTTTTCCCAGACATATGGAAAGAATCATCAGTTATACCAATCCACAAGAAAGGTAATATTAACGACTGTTCTAACTATAGACCCGTTGCCTTAACATCTTGTTTATCCAAGGTCTTTGAAAAATGTATATTTAAATATGTCTTTAACTTCATGAGAGATAACAATTGCCTCTCAGATTTACAATCTGGATTCATGCCAGGAGATTCAACAGCTTACCAACTCACGCATTTGTATAATTTTATTGCTAAAGCTATAGACAACGGAAAAGAAGTAAGAGCTGTATTCTGCGATATAAGCAAGGCATTTGATAAAGTTTGGCACAAAGGGATTATCCATAAACTAAAATCATGTGGGATAGATGGGAACTTACTGAAATGGTTTGGAAATTATTTGCAAAATAGAATGCAAAGAGTAGTTATCCAAGGTTACAAATCAGAATTAAAACCGATAATAGCCGGAGTGCCCCAAGGATCAGTCCTCGGACCTCTTCTATTCTTAATATACATAAACGACGTAGTTGATGGAATCGAAACTAATATACGCCTTTTCGCAGACGACACATCACTCTATGTAATAATCGACGATCCCCATACGAGTGCATTTATTCTTAACTCAGAATATCTAAATGGGCGGAAACCTGGCAAGTAAAATTTAATCCAAACAAAACTGAAACTATCCAGTTTTCACACAAAACGAAACTTTCTATGAAACCTCCCCTCTCGATGAATGGTACACCTATAAATGAAGTGCAGATTCATAAACACCTAGGCATTATTTTTCAGGAAACCTCCTCTGGCATTCCCACATTAATGAAATGATAAGGAAAATTAGCCCTATGATTAATTGCCTTCGTAGTTTTAAATATAGACTATCACGCAAAACTCTCGAAACAATGTATAAATCCTTTATCTTACCTCTGTTTGACTATTGCTGTCATCTCTGGGACAATTGTACAAACGAACAGTCCTTGTCACTAGAAAACCTTCACTTAGATGCCTTACGCACAATATGCGGTGCAGTTAGAGGTACAAGCCATGCGAAACTATATCATGAGACAAACCTGACTTCCTTATCGAAACGGAGAGAAACTTCTAAATTAACATTATTTTACAAAATGGTAAACCTATACGGTTCCTGACTATCTTTGTGATCTTGCTCCAGGGAATGTTTCTGATAACAGTAACTACAATCTTAGGAATAATGAACATTATCAGACTATAAGATGCAAATCTACTAATTATGCCAAATCGTTTTTGCCCGATACAATTAAACTGTGGAATGACCTACCTACAAATGCTACAAACGCTTCCTCTGTTGGACAGTTTAAGAATTCAATCACACCACAAGTTAATACCATCACAATGTTCGATCTAAATTTTGGTAGCCGATTTTTTCAAATAATACACTGCCGCCTTAGATTGGGATGCAGTGACTTAAACAGTAATAAGTATAATCGTTTCATTTCTGATAATGCTTCTTGTTCCTGCTCACAAGATTATGAGGATGTATTCCACTATTTTTTCATTTTTTCTTGAATAGAATAAAATATGTTTAAACCATATTCAATACACAACTTCGATCACTGACCACATGCAATTTGAACTTAACACCTATCAGGCTATACGCCATAAACAAAACGCATTGATTTATGGCCCGAGTTCGGTCTCTGTCACATTATGTAATTACACAGACGGGCAGGTGTGATGCTTGTACACATGACATGTTATGATGTCTGGTGATTGCAAAATGTTATACACAAAAAATGAGCATGTATTTACAAAACCCAACATCTCTATATATACACACACAATGAACCGTGAAGGCATCTGCAAATGAACCAGCCGTTACACTTGAGTGCACACCCACCCGCTCTGACTGGGTTCGGTATCCCGGCTGCTTCGTTTCTTGGGAAGTAAACCCAAGTACAAAATATTGCACTTTTGATTTGCGATTGTAATCTTATAATTTTGTTTATATAATTGTTCATAACCAGCAATGTATATTATATGTCACGAATAAGTGATAATTGTGTTTTAATTATGTTTGATTTTTTGGTTGCATGTGACCTTTAAGGGATTAACGAAAGGATTATCGACTTACCTAGTCGAAATTGTAGTGGTGAACACATTTTAAATCATGAATGTTTTTGGTGAAAAGTGAACCTTTTTTCACGTTTAGTTTTATAAGTATGTGTCATCGTGAGCTTATATCAGTTAACTATGATAGCAAGACAATTAAAGTTTCTTATAAATGAGTCTGTTTCGAAGATTACCATCACTATCATCATGGCGAATGCACAACTCAAGAACAAATATCTTCCCTCTTGTAAAGGTGGCAGATATCTCTGTGTTGGAAATTATATGTATCGTATTAGTAAGCGAAAAGCAAATGATGTTGATTATTGGAGCCCACCCGAATATTTTCGAACTGATTCAATTCCTGATGAAGGATCATAAGACAACAGAAATGCATTTGGTTCAATACACCGCTGGACAACGCCTCCCTTCTAAAAACAAGAAGTATCAAGACCTTCAGCGAAAACTGGATAACTTGAAGACCAGACTTGACACTGGGCACGTCTTTGTCATCGATTATGCTGAAAGGGCATCGTACGCTCTGAAACTTGCTTTATGACTTTTTTATATGCGTCACAACATGTGAATAAATTTGTTATTGTTTGCCAGAAAAAAGCACAATTTGTCATGTAACATTTAATAAAATATCAAAATGAACTAGTTGTTTTGTTGTCGACATCGCCTCTTCATGCATGGAAGGGACTTGAACAAACATTCGCTCGCCCATTGTTTATGTTAATTGGAAAGGCGACAGCATTCGCGGGAAGGCGAAAACGAAATTCGCTCAATGTTTATACACGCTAAAAAAAGTCGCCTTAACGCGAATGAACCCAGACAATGAGGGTGGTGACGAAGTGTGTTGTGTTTGCAAATTGTTTCATTCGAAAGAACTGCATAATTGTGTCTCACAAAGAGTATTCACAAAAGTGGGCGCAGTGTTCGCACCCGAGTTGTCATCACTGGGTACATCTCAAATACTGTTCGCAGATGCGCGCTGTGAGATCAGCAGCAGGGCCTAGATTTTCGAAGCTGTCTTTGAGCTAAGATAGTCGTAAGTGCCATACATTAACTTACGACCATATCTTAGCTCTACTTACGACCATATCTTAGCTCAAAGAGAGCTTCGAAAATCTAGGCCCTGAATTCTGGTGTCCGTGTCATTCGGAAAACTCTGAGGAACAGAGCCCGTTTGTCGACTGAAGTTACAATTGTACGGACGTTTTAATGTTTGATTCATATTTACTGTAACTCATCGTGTCATAACAATACATGTACGCTTACGGCAGTGAGACGACAATGTGCCACAACTAACAGTGAAATCATATTCACGAGTCACTGTGCTATATTGTGCGGGCTCGAAAAGAGGTGACGTCACAATAACATGGCGATCAACTAGGTCACTTCAAACCTCGAGGTATGTTCTGCTGCAAACACACGTACGATACATCTCCTTAGCTAACAAATTCAACAGCAAAACAAATGTAGTTCAAGGTAAGATAAATATTATTAATGCATCCCAAAGCATTTCTCATGATTGTCGTTGTTTTCCTTCTGGGCTCGAAAACACCGTACGCCAGGATATATAAAGATATCACAAAAAAAGAAACAACACTTACTGTCGCCGTAGCAGTCGACAACGAGGAGAAGAAGGACAGTAAGGAGAACGTAGTTGTAAAACATAATGCAAGCTCGATACGTTGATCTGTGTCTCGAATGCCTTGTCAGTAGGTAGTGCTGATGTGTCGACTCGCACAATTGGGGTCGTATTTATATGTTGCGTAACCTGTTTTTATACAGCTGCTGCGGGTCACGTGAATGTGCTGGCAGGGGTGTTGCATATTCATGTTTACCAAGAACATCAGCTGAATACATTCAGAGAATACTCAGTTCCTGCAGGACGAAGAAAACGTAGATCCTAGAAATATGCTTGACCTCCTTTGGAATGTCAATACATAGTGGACCGCCTCCGTGGTGTAGTGGTTAGAGCGTCCGCCCGGAGAGCGAAAGGTCGCAGGTTCGATCCCCGACCGCGTCACACCAAAAGACGTTAAAATATGGTACTGGTTGGTCCCTGCCTGGCGCTCGGCATTAATGGGTACAACAAGGACTGGTCGGCTCGGAGTCAGTATAATGTGTCTGAGTGGGGTATTCATGCTTAACTGCGGTTGGTATCTCAGTGGACTAGCACTATAAAACCAACTTCAGTACAAGCAGCCGCACATACGCATACACACGCATGCACGTCGTCATATGAGCGAAAATATTCTCCAGCGCGACGTTAAACCCAATTTCACCTCACCTCACCTCACCTCACCTCACCTCACCTCAATAGATAGTGAGTGAGTTTAATTTTACGCCGCTTTTAGCAATATTCCAGCAATATCACGGCGGGGGGACATCTGAAATGGGCTTCACACATTGTGCCCATGTGGGGATTCGAACCCGGGTCTTCGGCGTGACGAGCGAACGCTTTAACCACTAGGCCAACCCACCGCCGTTGTCAATACATAGATCCAGATAGACCACTAAATGTTGTTTTTCAGTTTGTACAAAACGAAACATGAATGCACGCGCACTTAAGCAATTTAAGTAATGCTTGGATTATATCTTGTTTACTATGTTTACGACCTTTTCACAGCATCTTGTTCGAAAGATCATTTTTTGACGATGGTTGGGAATGGGATTTGATCAAAATGTTACTTGTTGCTTCAACAAATATGATATTTTGATCTAACATAAACTGGAAGGACAAAGATTGCATCTGACCCTGTTCAATTGTTTTAAAGATGTCTGTGAATAATTGAAGATAATTTAATTTCTCAAATCCAAAATAGAATTACTGATATCTCAAAATGTTCTAGAGATATCAAGAACATATTCGAGATAATTCAATTAATTAAAGATATCAGTATTTAATTGCATGATATCTGTAACCGAATTACAGATACCTTAAAAACATGATTTTGTACACATCTTCAAATCTTATCTTTAAACCAATTAAAGATATCAGCATTTCGCTTCAAGATATCATTTATGTGCTTTAACATATTCTTAATTAATTTCTCAACATCATGAATTGTATTGCAGATATCTATAATTACCCCTATTTAAGATATCTTTAATTCATTTAAAGATATCTTCAATGCAATTCAAGATATCTTCAATGCAGTTCTAGATATCTTCAATTCAATTCTTGATATCTCTGTTGTCATTCAAGATGTCTTTAAAACAATCGAAGATATCTTTAATTTCTCAGTAAATGTGAAAACGGCTTGCCATAATGGAACATAAGATTTAGCCAGCTGACGGCCAGGCACTATGAGATGGCTGCCAATGAGTCACAAGAACCACACACCTGTACCAACACCACCTGAAATGAGCCAAATATGGTCAAATGGAAACAGGACTGTCAGTAAAATTACAAAGTATGAATCGATATAATGCAAAAGTACATTTAGTTACCTGTGTGTGAGTGAGTTTTACGCCGCTTTTAGCAATGTTCCAGCAATATCACGGTGGGGGACGCCACAAATGGGCTTCACACATTGTACCCAAGTAGGGAATCGAACCCGGGTCTTCGGCGTGACGAGCGAACGCTTTAACCACTAGGCTACCCCACCGCCCCGAATGTTTTGAGAGTGCATCACCACTTGCACTCCCTTATGACGATAGTTGTTTGTCAAGTAAGTGCTCTTGAAAGATGTTTGGTGTATGACGTGAAATTTGCATGATTTTCATTTTCAAACAAAAGAAACGGCTAGAAACAAATACTAACAACTGTGTGATGCAAGATGATTGTCATTTGTCGACCTCTTGATAATTAAAATTGGACACCCTGACGTGCATCCCATGCGTTGTGTTTTGGGGTGGTGAAAAGTGAAATGGGGTTAACGTCGTACTTAAGAATATTGTGCAACAGGTTCCCCCACATTATTAAGATCACCCGTTCCGGATTACAATTGTTGTCACTTTTGTTAGTAATTTTGCAACACATTTGGTACAATGAGAAGACGGTGGCTCTGGGCCAATCTCTAGTATAATAATAGTACTAGGGTAGTTGACACGCCCCTGTGGTCTGTGGGGAAGTTAAGGATGTAACCACCGAAATGGCTCTCTATTACAGCTGGAGACCGATGAATTGAAACAGCCAAACCATATTTTGGTAATCAAACAAGCACATGAAATCGGTCATTTGTCTCATAATTTTGGAAATTTCAATTCCACACGAGGGTTGACCACTACTACTCAGTGAAATTTCAATTCCACACGTACTACTCGCACACCTGGCTGTTCTACCAGCAAGTGGCCCCTCCCTAGTAAGAAAAAGCGAAAAGTGGCAGTGGTTTGGATGACTTAAACGGTCATTATGCACTTTGAGGTAGTTCTCATAAAAACAAAAATGGGAAGACTATAGATGTTAATACTAACAACGATCTGTGTATCTTTAATGATAATTCGAACTTTCGCACGAGGTTAATACTGAGAGGTTCCCTTTTCTATATAGCTTCATAGGGGCATTGTATCATTGGAATTCGGGTTGTGTCCTCGTTTGAATTCAATTGGCCTGTCAATTTACTGTGAAATGTGTCAGTGTATTGTAGTACATGTCAGTTATAAAAAACTGACAGGTGTTCTAATATTGGTTTGAACTCAGTTAAACGGGTGGGTTTTTTTGCACATACGGCGTTTGTTCAACAGGTATGCTGGAAATTGAAACGAAGCTCTTAACGTTTCACAGTTGGTAATTAGCAGATGGCAAACAAGACATCGACAGAGAAATAGCGTTGATAACAGATGTTGATCTGGACGACCAAGGCTTTTTCACAGAACGATTGGGCTACGAACAAAATTGTCAAAGTGCCTCTTAAATTGGCGATGACCTTTACAGTTGATATATATCTGTAACATTAATACTTGGGAAAAGGGCCATAGAGTGTAACTTCGGATGCAGATAGTCATCGCTCTCATGTCATCCAACATTGGTGTAATAGCCAAGTTCTTCCCCCTGGTTCAACAACTTAGAAATAAACAAGACCATTAAACAGCCTCATCTGTTTCCTATGCTGAAGGGTTCCAAAGACTGACCAAAAGGAGTGACCAAAAGGGGTGACCAAAAGCTTCCACAAAGACTGTTTGACAACGGGGTGATTTCAACTTTATTATTGTCAAAATGTATACAGTACTATACCACTGGACCGACAGAGCGAACCATCAGTGTCAACATGTTTGTAGGCTCATTATTACACACATCTTTGCGACATAATCAAAGGAAATTGGCATGATCACTGAACGAACTTTACCACTTGTAAGATTGCAACGAATTCAGTATCTGCAGAGGTGATCCAATCTTAGTGTGAAATGTGTTTTGTGAGCAATGCGGAGGGCATTGTTCCAAGTTCCAAATATGACATCGTATGCTTGTGACTGATTATGCACGATTGAAGATGACTATTTTTCAAACTATGATATAGGTTGAGTATTATTCACATCTGCACGACAATCAAAGGAGATTTTTGTGCAATGTGAAGGGCATTGTTTCATGTTAAACCAAAGCTATCACATGTCAAACATCACTGACATCATATACATTTGGCTGATTATTCACGATTGCAGGTCACCATTTTTCACGAAATGGGTGTTTTGGTTGTTGCTGTTTTTTTGTGGGTTTTTGTTTGTTTGTTGTTGTTGTTTTGTGTTGTTGTTTTGGTTTTTGTTGGGGGTGGGGTGGTGGGGGTTATTTTGGGGGTTTGTTTTGTTTTTTGGTGTGTGTGTTGGGGTGGGGTGCATGATCACGGCAGGAAGTTTGTCACTTGTCACATTGAAACGGATTCATTATGTCCAGGGGTGATCCAATGTTATCTGTTATGCACGATTGCAGATCACCATTTTTCACGAGATGAACGTAGTGAAGACAATGTACATGTACATCAACTACAAGAATTACATATTGGATCACCTGCTGTCTTAAATTACTGTCGTTGAGTAGTCTAATGAACAAGACGCGACAAAGTTGATGGTTATGATGATTTATTGAAATCATACACTTGGAAGGAAATTATTCAGAATCATTTACGAGATCATCTTCAATGTTGTAGTGCCACTCTCTCTACAATCGGGTTATCTGCAATAGAAACACATCGAATTATGTGATGTTCCACAATTTGACATAAAATGTTAAACATATATTTCCTGATCTTCTATGGTGGCAATGGTGTCTACCTAATAAAACAGAAACATTTCTGTAAGATTTCATATTCCTTACCTCAATTCATTCCTCAATGTTCTCGATGCTCCTGGCGAACTCTTCCAAACTCACGCTTGTGTCTCCTACATGGAGAAATGTTGTTCAGGTCAGTGACAATATATATTCAGATACACAAGCATTCATCTTCCATCTTGTCAACACTTTCTGACTCATAAAACATATTTCAGTAAAGATTGAATTTGTATAATTGACAGAGTATGCAAAAGCTCTAACCATTTTCATCTGCAAAAGAGAGCAGCTCCGTGGCCGATCGTCTGTCCATTATCGTCTCAGCTTCTGATTGGTCAATTGTTCCATCCATGTTTGTATCAAGGCTTGCCACATCACGTTTGCCTTGAAGGAAAAATAATAATGTTTGGAAAGATACACAGTGAAAGAAAATGATTTCACCTACATGGAACATGAACGGTCTGTTTGTTTATTTGTTCGTTGTTTGTTTAAAACCCTCAGTTACATTCAAGGTATATAACGGTGGTCAGGAGCCGACGGAGTCTGGACCCGACATTAAGTGACTGAATCATGTGACTTGAGCTACGCAGGTGACTATTAATTCTCTTCATTTTGATCTGGATATGAGTCTCAATATGAAATGAACCTTCAAATGTCCGCAGAGCCATTCCATTACACCACGACAACGTATATAACTTTTCAAGCGAGATTCTAAGATATATTTTAAAGCAAAAATCTAACAACATTCCGGTTCACTATGTTTGTTTCTATACGGCACTCACCCAACAACCCAATTGCTACTTTCCCAGCTATTCTGCCAACTCTTCGCCATCGAATACGTCTGAATCTCCAGGCATCAGACTCTGACACCATCACTGTGGCCACAAGCAGGAGGACAAGGAACAAACGCATTGTGGGCTGTACTCTGTAGGGAACATAAATAATCCTTGCACGATTTCAGAATTTTGTAAACAATGAAGTCATGTTAACCTGTTATTATATATATATTCTAAATAATATTTCTATCATAAAGTCACCGAACAAGGAGCATTGTGGAATGTATTCTGCAGTAAACATAAATGAACCTCGAAAGATTTCAGAATTTTCTATACGCTGAAATTTCGTGAAAAATGTCAACTATATGCGTATTACGATGTAATTTAAGCTATATTAACGTTTATAACTTGCCCCAAAATATACTGGGAAATGACGTTTCCTTAGCGTTAGCGTGTTGATAATGCTACGCCACATAAATCTTTCTTACCTGGTGGAGTTCCGATATTGACAATTGATTATCATTACAAATAGACCCGTGAACATCCGGGTTAGAATAATTGATCTTCAGCAACCCAACTTGTCGTAAAAGGCGACTAACAGGATCGGGTAGTCAGGCTCGCTGACTTGGTTGACACATGTTATCGTATCCAAGTTTCGTAGATCAATGCTCATGCTTTTGATCACTACATTGTCTGGTTCAGACGCGATTATTAACAGATCGACACCATATAGCTGGAATATTGCTGAGTGCGGTGTTAAACAACAAACCAACCAATCAAACATTACGAATACCCTTTAAAGCTACATGCACAATAGAATATATGTAACCCTGGGCAGCTGACATTATTTAAAAAGCTTCTGCAAATGCTAAGACAATCAAGACGTTTAGTGTAATAATTAGGGCTGCGCAATATAACCGGTTTACAGGTATTTACCGGTTCAGACATGAAAACGATACGCGTTGCGTTACGCTGATCGAAAACCGGTATTTTGACTTGCATTCGGAAAACTTCGTAACACTCGGAAATCTTCGGATATTTCCTTGTTTCATTTGTGCCAAATACTATTTACATTTTTATTTTGTCATGATTAAAAGTTTTTATTGAAGCTTAATTAAGAAATACAGTTCGCTCCATCACCATGTATAGTGTAATAAAATACACTTTTGCCCTGAACTATTATAGTTAAAGCACGAGGACGCTTGCGTCCGAGTGCTTTAACGTCATAATAGTTCAGGGAGAAAGTGTGTTTTATTACACTATACATGGTGGTAGAGCGAACTGTATTTCTTTTCTAAGATGCCAAATTTAATACTTTCTAAGGATAATTACGATTAATTTAAGGCAGAAAACAAACGGCGGTGTCGGTGACCTAAATTAAGAATCCTCGCACAGGGCTAACTGGCGCGCTGTTCTATTGATGTGTCTGCCCCCCTACGTTAAGACGAACGTTACCAGAAAAAAACAAATGATAAACAGTTTCATGACGGTTTACGTTCGGATTAAATATATTCTCTAAAGTATTTTAATTACATCTGTGATTAACGTAAACCATGTGAACGTCGTATTTCTACTACCAACGTATGTTTAGATCAGTACATCCAGACGAAGCTGAGTAGTCTAGCGACATTCCACGATTGCATTGTGGGAATGTAAACATTGCGAACGTTACCGTGTCGCTGAAAACTTGCGAGTCGAATTGACACATTTAAAACGTCGTAAAACATAAACGTAATGTTTCCACCAGTGATGTTAGGTGAGTGAAGCAACTGCAAACCAAGAAACGGGATGCAACGCAGTAGTTTACTGTAGGAGGCTGTACGAGGCGCCCTGAAAAACTATTATAGTTAAAGCACGAGGACGCTTTTGCGTCCGAGCACGAGCTTTAACGTCATAATAGTTCAGGGCGAAAGTGTGTTTTATTACACCATACATGGTGGTAGAGCGAACTGTATTTCTTTCTAAGATGCCAAATTTAATACTTTCTAAGGATAATTACGATTAATTTAAGGCAGAAAACAAACGACGGTGTCGGTGACCTAAATTAAGAATCCTCGCACAGGGCTAACTGGCGCGCTGTTCTATTGATGTGTCTGCCCCCTACGTTAAGACGAACGTTACCAGAAAAAACAAATGATAAACAGTTTGATGACGGTTTACGTTCGGATTAAATATCTTCTCTAAATTATTTTAATTACATCTGTGATTAACGTAAACCATATGGGGGCAATGAACGTCGCATTTCTAACCAACGTAAGTTTAGATCAGTACATCCAGATGAAGCTGAGTAGTCAAGCGACATTCCACGATTGCATTGTGGGAATGTAAACATTGCGAACGTTACCGTGTCGCTGAAAACTTGCGAGTCGAATTGACACATTTAAAACGTCGTAAAACATAAACGTAATGTTTCCACCAGTGATGTTAGGTGAGTGAAGCAACTGCAAACCAAGAAACGGGATGCAACGCAGCAGTTTACTGTAGGAGGCTGTACGAGGCGATGACAACTGACATGCATCGTGACGTCGCTTACACTGTGACGTAATGTAAAATGGTTCGATTACGAGGGGGCACACTAGAATGGCGCAGTGACGGGAAAACGTCATTCAATTGTTACGTCATAAAAAAACTATACCTGTATTTAAGAAATACACTTCGCTCTACCACCATGTATAGTGTAATAAAACACACTTTTGCCCTGAACTATTATAGTTAAAGCACGAGGACGCTTGCGTCCGAGTGCTTTAACGTTATAATAGTTCAGGGCGAAAGTGTGTTTTATTACACTATACATGGTGGTAGGGCGAAGTGTATTTCTTTTCTAAGATGCCAAATTTAATACTTTCTAAAGATAATTACGATTAATTTAAGGCAGAAAACAAACGACGGTGTCGGTGACCTAAATTAAGAATCCTCGCACAGGGCTAACTGGCGCGCTGTTCTATTGATGTGTCTGCCCCCTACGTTAAGACGAACGTTACCAGAAAAAAACAAATGATAACAGTTTGATGACGGTTTACGTTCGGATTAAATATCTTCTCTGAATTATTTTAATTACATCTGTCATTAACGTAAACCATATGGGGCAATATGAACGTTGCATTTCTACTACCAGCGTAAGTTTAGATCAGTACATCCAGAGGAAGTTGAGTAGTCAAGCGACATTCCACAATTGCATTGTGGGAATGTAAACATTACGAACGTTACCGTGTCGCTGAAAACTTGTGAGTCGAAATGACACATTTTAACCGTCGTAAAACATAAACGTAATGTTTCCACCAGTGATGTTAGCTGCGTGAAGCAACAGCAAACCAAGAAACTGGATGCAACGGTGTAGTTTACTGTAGGAGGCCGTACGAGGCGATGACAACTGACATGCATCGTGACGTCGCTTACATTGTGACGTAATGTAAAATGGTTCGATTACGAGGGGGCACACTAGAATGGCGCAGTGACGGGAAAACGTCATTCAATTGTTACGTCATCAAAAAACTATACCTTTATTGTCTGATAATGTATTTTTTTTCGATTGTTCTAACCGCTAGGCATCTTAGCGCAATATATCGCAATATGAAATTTCTCTGCAATACCCACCCCAAGTAATAATGTAATACTCACCAGAAGTAGACAAATCACAACACAGTAACAATGATGGGATATTCCTTGTATTTATACTCTTCCCTGTGACACTCCTGTGACCCCAGGGTAGTGTGGGCAATGTGTTAGGTCCGTGGTTAAGAGAAGCGTGTAAAAGTGCATATATTGTCCGATCACAAAATATGGCAGTTCACACGTGCTTGGTGTCCTTTTCCGTGAGGATTGTGTTTGATGTCTGTTTGCATCTGTTGCAAGATAGACTGCGGTTCATCACTTTACACATTTATTTTTTTGCATCAGAGCTTGACAGGAGGGGATAATGTAATCCATTAGTCACAGATTATACAACATTCATCTTAAATGTCAGTGGCTAGTATGATTGGTGCTTACGGTTGTGTACTGGAGTAGGATCTGCAACATCTGGCGCAGGAGTTCCGTCCACGTCACTGTCAGCATAGTGGACAGATAAGGTATGTAGAGAGATATTGTGGTTGTGCAAACCAAGGCATGATTGCGATTTAGCAAATCCATAAGCACAGCACACCGAGCAAATGCAAATGACCAACACAAGATGGGATTTACGAACAAGACCAAAAGGGGTGAAAATGAGTGACCAAACACTTCCACAAAGATGGTATGACAACGGCGATGACTTCAACTTCAAACTGTACACAGTGCTATAAAAACAGGTTGGGCAGATCAAACGAGTGAGTGGGTGTGTGGGTTTGGTGGGTGGGTGTGTGAGTGAGTGAGTTAAAATTTATAGTCACTTAGGTAATATTTCAGCCATATCGTGACTAAACAGGGCACACGTTAATAATTCATAATTTATAACATCTGTCGCCAAAGGACAATAAAAGAACTAGAATATCACAGTTAGACACGTAACGTAACTGTTATAGCACTAGCTGTAGATCGCCCGCAAATGAAATAAGAATCACCATACTTGGTAGACAACGGGGACTCAGCTGATGGCGATACTGACAAATTTAGCCATGAATACCATAAATTAAACGAACACATATTCTACTATTAAAACTGCAGTCAGGTTAAATATACTTTCAAGGATGTGGTCTTATTTACACTTTCAGTAGGACAATCATTTCACAATACGTTCCACCTTTGATGATACAGCCACTGGTGTTGATATGTGTGTATATGATACACATCTTTACGACATAATAATTGCGATAAATGCGCAACCAGCATTACAATGAATTTTCAGTCAAATTATTGAAAACTGATTTCTGTTCGTAAAATAATTATCACAAATCTCATTTACGTCTTCGTTTCTAGTCTTTGCTCAAGTGAAGTCGGTGATGACTTTCTTTTGCCCTGTAATCTTTTAATGTCTGGCTAAATTGGAGTACAATCGCCAACGGCTTAAGGGATGGTGTAATTCCAGCTAGGGTCCATGCAGGTAGCAAAAGTACTGTAAACCCCGTGTTCCCTGGTATGGTGATCAACCTTCAGTCGCTGGCGATCTATAGCCTGTTTTTATATTGTGTATTGTCCAAATAGTGTTATTATGTTGCCGACAGGTGTATATAATATACAATTATAGATGTATAATATTTATGAATGTCAAATTTGTTCTCGTCCCGGTATGGCTGAAATATTGCCGATGTGACCCTAAATTTTAACTCACTCACTCAAATTGGACTGTCAGCTGCATTTCTTTAATGCTTTGCGTCATAACTACATGTATGTACGCTGTCTGCGTGTTCTTTCAAGGTTCCTAATAATATAGGACAGATTTGGTTTGGGAATGACAAATTTTACTTTATACTTTAGGAAAGGATTGGAACGTTATTATACGTGTTGTTGTGCAGTGGAAATGTTGGATGGAAAGCGAATGGTAGCGTAAAACAAACCAGGGGGTTGAAAGGAGTGTGAAAACAACTGTGGTCATTTTGGAACCGAACCAGCTTCTCTGTTGTACTAGCGAGCGGACACTCAAAATAGCGAAATGAGAAACAATTACTACAAGAGTTACCAGCCCCTGGCGTGCATCTTATAACCCATAGGTGTCGCATTGATAACATCAACAAAGAAATCCGATGACGCTCAGATAACACCACGACGTTTATTTGAATTTTACGGTAACAAGCATCATATCGCCGCGATGCCGCCGGGGTAAGGTGTTTCCACCCACTTCTCGATTAACTAACAGTAATCTGATGACTCTTGTACATATTAGCAAAGTAACGACGTTGATCCAAGATAAGATAACTCTTGATTGTCTTACATACCGCTAAGAAACAAAAGACAATACGTATATTTCACAGGCGATCGATGCATGGGATACGCCCCTTATACTACTATAGGAACAAGGCACAGGCGATCGATGCATGGGATACGCCCCTTATACTACTATATTTGTAAACGTTTTCTAACATAACACTGTATATACTAACAGTTTTTAGGTTTGGGATATCTAAGATACATGGACTACCTTTAACTGAAATGAAATATTTTTCAACTTAATGATCAATTTCTATTTAAAGGTATTATTCTAAAGGTTACTGAGCCAATGATTGGCCAATACCTCTTTCCCATTGAAAAGTACCCTTTATCATCTGTTCTCTTCCAGGAAACACAACAACTTTGTAATTAAAGAAAGCAATGATGGCCATAAAATTACAAACAAAACAATAAGCCAGAAGACATTAACTGGTTTGTCAGAGTTCTGGAAGAGCCAGGAGTTGTGTGATGTCACATTGAGTGTAAGTAATATGTGACACACATCTGTAGAGTTTTATGTTTATTATTTTATCATATCACTGAAAGTGCTATCAAATGTGAAAAACCCATCTGATAAATTTGGTATCATTTTAACATTAATAAGGAAATGAGATGGAAATTGCTAATTTCAACTTTCCTACATAAATGTGCAGCCTTCTTTCTCCAAACTCTGTAGTCTAATGTGGAGATTATGCTTAGATAGGGGTTTCCTAAAGTGTAACCCATGAAGATCCAGGTTCGAACTTATCTTCAGCAACCCACACTGGTCTTAAGAGGCGAATCGTCACTATATGGCTGAAATATTGCCGATGTGACGTTAAATATTAACTCACTCACTCACTTAAGAGGCGAAGCATCATCATATCCCAATTGCGTAAATTGATGCTCTTGTTGTTGATCATTGGATTGTCTAGTCCAGGCTGGAATATTATTGAGTGCAGCACTAAACAACAAACAAATAAATGTTAGAGGCGACTAACTCTTCTGATACTCTCTAAATACGGACAATAATGCAGTTCATATTTTGTTAAATCTGTCCTCAGTTATATATAAGCAATGTGAGATTTAGTTAGATGATAATATATCTTTCATAATTTCAGGTCAATGGTGAGGAGTTATCTGCCCATCGTCTGGTTTTGGCGCTTAACAGCGACTATTTCCGTGCCATGTTCACAGCAGGCTTCCAGGAATCCCAGACCGGCCTCATCACCATGGACAACCTCAAGATGGATGCTGTACGCCGACTTGTGGAATACATGTACTCCGGTATCCTCACAGGTGGGTGTGATGTGTGTTATCAGTACAGACCCCCATCAGTGTTATAATGCTGTATTTCCTCTGGGCTCTAAACATTTTTACCTTCTGCCTACTATTAAGTCAAAGAGAAAAGTTAGTAAACAATGTTTAGAACAAACCTGCCCCTACAGACATTATACAGTAAACTATATGTGAAGGATCAAAACCGGAGGGGAGGTTTATCAGCCCTCCCCAATTTCCCTCTGCCCCAGGCTTACTTTTTCAAACGAAACCTAGGAGGAGGTTTTGATGCTACTTATGAACCGACCAAAGATATACTTTAGACATAATTTCAAAATTTGGTATTAAATGTTGAAATCAACTGGGATGAGACTGGCAGCCGATACCTTGATACATGCAATGCACATTCTCTGCATGCGCTACCCGTGTCCTGCACATGCGCTGTCTGCACTACCCATCTTGTGAGGAGCACACGGTTCATACTGACAAACAATCATGATCTTCACAGCGATCCTTTGTAGCCTAGTGGATAAAACCGCCAAGCTAGTAAGTGAAGGGTTGCTGGTTCACTGCAGCACTGTATGTTGGAAGTTTTCAATATTGTGATATTTTGCGAACATATTTAGTAACAGCAAGACAAAGTAATATCAATGTTCAAAACCTGTACAAGTAAAATAATTCAAAATCAATGGCTATTCCTCATGAAGACCCCGGGCATTCTGTAGAAAATCCCCAGGATTTCTTAGAAAATGACCGCAAAACTACTTGTGGAGGTTTACTCTGTAACAGGAGAAGTGGGCGAGACAATAGGGTGACGTCACTAGAGGTTTGTAATGTAATGAGCTCAAGGGACCACTACGTTTAGTTCATTATGACCCTTGTAACCTAGATTCATCATGCACAGTTTGGACCCATGAAGATCCTGGTTAAATTGATCTTCAGTAACCCATGCTTGACATAAGAGTGAGTGAGTACTGTTTTACGCCGCTTTTAGCAATATTCCAGCAATATCACGGCGGGGGAACACCAGAAATGGGCTTCACACATAGTACCCATGTGGGGAATCGAACCCGGGTCTTCGGTGTGACGAGCGAACGCTTTAACCACTAGGCTACCCCACCGCCCCTGCTTGTCGTAAGAGGCGACTAATAGGATCGGGTGGTGATGCTCGCTGGCATGGTTGACACATGTTGTTGTAATCCATTTGCACAGGTAGATGCTAATGCTGTTGATCACTGGATTGTGTGGTCCAGACTCAATTATTTACAGACCACCGCCATATAGCTGGATTATTGCAGAGTGTGGCGTTAAACAACAAACCAAACGAACCAAATCATGTTTCTGATCTTTTGATTTGCCTGTAAAGACTGACAGTGCTGCTCTTTTGGGGACTTTTTATGTTGTTTATAATTTATGTAATTTTGTGGAAAAACATACTTTTTCATGTGTTCAAATGCTGATGCACAACTTGTATAGACATGAATAGCATTGCAGTTTGAATATGGTTTTGTAAGCAGGTTAGAGTTACCTGCCTTGGTTGAAAATCTGATATACTCAGAGGCAAAAGTTGTGACAGAATATTTTCATTGGTAATCATAGGTAATGAACTTTTGGATTTGAATCAGAGAATGGTTGAAGAGACAAAACCAGCCTTTTGTGGACATCATCGCCTCTTTCCTCTGTCCTGGTAACGATGTCCATTTGCACTTTCAGCATATGCTTGTAGGGCTGCGCAATATAACCAGTTTACCGGTATATACCGGTTCAGAAATGAAAACGATACGTATTGCGATACTCTGATTGAAAACCGGTATTTTGACATGCATTCGAAAAGACTTTGTACCACTCGGACATCTTCGGATATTTCCGTTTTATAAATTGTTCCTTTCTTTTTTTATTTGTGCCAAATATTATTTACATATTTATTTTGTCAGGATTAAAAGTAATTATTAAAGCTTAATCAAGCATGGTGATTTTGTTGTGTTTTTGCTTTATAAATCAAGCATTAACTCGATTATAAGTATTTTTTTGTTAATATATATTGCAATATGAAAATTCTCTGCAATACCGTGCCCTATATGCTTGTATGCTCAGATATTTACTTGTTCTTAGCATAATTTGTTGTCTTCGGCTTCCAGTCAAGCATTAATTTCAAAAGCTGCTCTTATGGATAACACATATCTGTTTCAGTGACCAGAGACAATGTGCAGGATCTGCTGGTGTCTGCAGACATTCTGCAGATGTCTGATATCAAGAGGATCTGCTGTGGTTTTATTGAGAAGGAAATTGATGCCTCTAATTGTCTAGGTATTATTGCTTACATTGAAAGCTTATTTCATTCATCTGTAGAAATTTTTGATGTCAGGGATACAAATTAGATCTGGGACAAATCCAGATTACCGCAGGTACCGGACATATTTTGTTTTGTTTGTGTGTCTCTCGTCTCCAAACTTAATCAGTAGGAGTGCAGGCCGGCAAAAAACATTTATGAATATATACATTTGATAAAAATATGTAGTGAACTAAGAGTGTAATTAATTTTATGAAATTTTGAAATATCTACTTGGTAGTAGTCTTTTAATTCATTTATGATGTAGAATGATTTGCTTTGCTTCTGAAACAATTTCTTAATATATGTAGACAAAGAAAGATCAAGCATATCAACTTTTATAAAACTTAATGTTTTGTATATAGCCAGGCTTTTTGTATGTCAGATCATTTTTCAGTGCAGATTGAAGAAGCTGTTTTTTACGACAGGTTTTCTACTAATCAGTATGAGACAACAGTGTCCATACATGAGATACTATCGACATGATGCTTTTAAGTCATTTATCATAAGTTGTGACAACTGAGTGTAAACAGAAATCAGTCTTATTTTCATGTGAACGTGTTTGTTTTAAGGTTTATATGTTATAGCAGTGTATGAAATAAGGCCCGTCCGACCGCCCGAGATGGACTAGATTTCTGCCGGTCGGTCTAATTTTACAGCTAGCCAGCCCGATGGACGGGTGAAAACAATATTCAGATAACGTGTCCACTGGCACTGTCTGTTTAGGATTTAAGAAGGACTGGTTAAATCTCTTCCTGTCTGGCTGGCTTTTGGGCTTCTTTCATACACTGGTTATAGCTTACGAGAAATTTGCATGTACTCAGTAAGGTAGCTGTGAAAATCTTGGCACTAATATTTCTTTATGCAATGGGAAAGTATCCACATAACATTTCTTGAAGTCAACATATATACCATTCCAAAAAATTAGGGGATATTGGATTTTCAAGATTGATAAAATGCAAATGATGAAGAGAAATTAAGGGAAAATGTGACCATTTATTCCATTCCTTTGGAAATGTTTCATCTGTATGGATATATATTACTTTTTCTCATGCATTGGCATTGTCTATTAGTATGCTCGAAAAATGGAATATCCCCTACTTTTTTTGAATGGTATATGACTGTTCCTGGAACATTCCCCATAGGTATCCAGGAGTTTGCAGAAAGTTTTGAGTGCACTGAACTCCAGGTCAAGTGTGTTCAGCTGGTCAAGTTGCGATTCCCTGTCGTCTCTAAGACAGAAGAGTTCCTGGCACTGAAGACCGAGGCACTCATCAGAATCCTGCAGTATGAAGACTTGTGTCTAGGTAGGTCAGACTCCATTCCTTCAGAATCTTCTCTCATGTAAGATGGTTAGGTCGTTAAATCGTGTTAGTCTTTATTTGCACTTACGAGGCCACAGGCCTATAGTACATGTATACTGACTATATTATTATTAGGCAGTAGAGAGTACCCCAGATAGCATTCCAACGTTGGCCCAACGTTGGCAATGGCTTTGCCAACATTGCCAATGTTGGGCCAACGTCCGAATGCTATCTGGGACATTTCTCCTGTGTAGAAAGGCATGGTTGTTAAATAGTACACTTGGTTTACAAATTTCATTATTAAGAAATAGGGCCAATGTTGAGGATGGAAAACTAAAAATTGGTTAAAATCTCACAAAACGGTACAGTTTTTTGTTGCATCTTCAAAAATAGATCCATACTTAGTATTCGTTGTTTTTATGAATGGAATATCTTAACATACTACTGTATGTTGACGTGAAAAGCCATATAGTTAAATGTGTTTATTTTTTTTGTTCACAAGTATTTTTATCACTTCAATCCCAGTAGAATTCCACGGGGATATATCCTCATGTTATGTGTCTACTTCGCACCCTTTAGAAACATTCATTTTCTCGCTAGTCACATGAGCAGATGTAAAACCTCTGATAAAGACAACTTTACCTTAAAAACAAGCCAATATTTGAGTATTTACTATATCTGAGTAGTGAATGTAGTACATGTGTATAGCACAAATATACACTGCCATCTGAAAATGTATGATGTCTGAAAACATGATTCAAGGGTTTGGGAAATCACAATAACATCCATTACTATATTCATAAAATGTTAAAATGTTTTGCTCTTTGTTTTAGTATTTCTGATCTATGGTGTATAGTACAGTATCAGAGCTCCAGATAAGATTTGGCTCATGTGGGTACTGTACCCACTGTATTTTTTTGGAGTGGGTATTATGAATGTTGAGTGGGTATTTCATTTTCCGTTACCCACTGCTTTCAAATACGTGCGTATTTCAGTCATTTTACTCACCTAAGTATTATGTCATTGAGTAAGTTTACTAAGCAGGTATGTTCTGCCTTATGTCATACCTAATCAAAACCAACTTAAATATAATGGAAATGATTTCATAAAAAATCACTAGTCCTGTACTGACAGTACAACACTAGTCCTATACTAACAGTACAACTTGATAGCAATCATGTCTTTTTCATTACGCAAGCGATGTTTATAAATATATTCCGTACGCATTTGTTTTAAACTTTTTGCATATGTAACATTTTAAATGCGTAATCGGTACACAACAATTATTTTTCAATGCATAATTGTAAATTTTCTATGCGTATTTTACCCGGATACGCAGCTTATCTGGGCCTCTGCAGTATTAAAAAAAACCTGCTGTTAAAGATCAGGGTTAATGAAACATTAAATTTTGTAATTTTCAAGAGTATTAAGCAAAATTATTGTCATTTTCGAATATAAACAAACTTCGGATGTTGATCTGTAATTTTTCGTGAACACATCTCAACTGACTATAAACACATGTTATAGTGTACAGCGATGAGCCAGCTGTCACAATAAATGATGGACTGTTCCCTGTAGTGTTCAGATCAATTGAAATAATTAAAGATTGGTCGTAGTGACCAAACAACCAAGCGATCGATCACGTTTTCTCATAATCGAACACAACGATTTTGCCACTACTGTTTTAGTGTTTGAAACACTTGACGATGGAACATATGTTAGAAGCTGTCAGTGTCTGAAAACCTGTTTAATTTTAGAAAACTCACTTCACTGACTGAAACATTATGGCTGCATATTTCTTAAAGACTCCAGGATGTTTATGTTCATGATATATTAGTAGCAAGTTGGATGTGAAGTTTGCCAATGAAATTTGCGCAGTTTCTAAATACATAAAAAACAACAGAGACCCAGTTATACTTATCTGCAATAACAACCTGAAAAGGAAAATCTGAAATTTTTTCGATGATTGCTCATTTGTAATCATCAATTGTGAGATTTGAACCAATTCCTAACACTACTGTTCCCCACACTTCAGGATTTTCTGGTGAGGCTGTCGTGCTTGAGGCCATTGTCAGCTGGATGGAGCATGACCCAATGTCCAGGATCCTGGACTTGCCAGACATTCTCAAATACGTGAGACTACAGTGTATCCCAGACAACCACCTGAGTCGATTCAAGAACAGCGCAGTAGTTGTGGAAAACCCAGGTAGGATATTGTTGCCATGACACCGGTTTTGACAAATTTAAACATGAAACTCATGCAACCGTTGTCATAACCTTATGTTGCAAGATACAGATTTTGGTGGTCGCCAAATTCAAATTGAGTGAGTGAGTGAGTGACTTAAGTTTTACGCCGCACTCAGCAATATTCCAGCTATGTGGAGGCGGTCTGTAAATAATTGAGTCTGGACCAGACAATCAAGTGATCAACAACATGAGCATTGAACCAAGCAATTGGTATACTTGATATGTCAACCAAGTCAGCGAACTTGACCATCCGATCCCATTAGTCGCCTCTGACGACAAGCATGGGTAATTGAAGATCAATTCTAACCCAGATCTTCACGGTTCTCCCAAATTCAAACACTGAAGCAGCAAATCTCTAGAACCAGATGTGCCCCATAGTCATGAAAATCATGACTATATACTTGTTACTATTAATATTGCTTGGCGACTGGGACCGCCTCCATGGTGTAGTGGTTAGAGCGTCCGCCCGGAGAGTGAAAGGTCGCGGGTTCGATCCCCGACCGCATCATACCAAAAGACGTTAAAATATGGTACTTGTTGGTCCCTGCCTGGCGCTCGGCATTAATGGGTACAACAAGGACTGGTCGGCTTGGAGTCAGTATAATGTGTCTGAGTGGGGTATTCATGCTTCACTGCGGCATGGTATCTCAGTGGGCAAGCACTATAAACCCAGCTTCAGTCTGGGCTAGTACAAGCAGCTGCACCTACACATACACACGCATGCACGTCAGTCATATGAGCGAAATATTCTCCAGCGTGGCGTTAAACCCAATTTCACTTCACCTTGGCAACTGGTCATTTAAACAACAAACAATCGAAACCAAATCTTACTCTGTCATGTTTCTAACTCAGATGTCAGGTTAGTCATTGAGAACCAGCTCAACTCCACTGGAAGTATCCAGGACAAGCGCAAGGCTGTGAAGTTCGTCTACAGCATTGGGGGATATCTGCAGTCTCGCACAGGGCAAGTTTCACATACTGGCAATGCTGGATTTCCAAATCTTTTATTGAAGGAGATAGGACTTTTCAGTTGCTTTTGAATGGATGTGTTTTAACTGAGGTTGAAGTAACTGATAACTTTTATCTTCCTACATAATGCTATTTAATGGGGTCCTCGTAAAATTGAAGGATTAAAAAAGATTGTTACATCGTTAGTCCCAATAACATTATAGTATATCCCCATTACATGACAACTGGCTAATTTTGTCAGCGAGGCGATGGAGCTTTAATATTTGGACATTGTTTTAATTTATGGCTACCATTGTCTACTACAACTACTAGTGACTTTTGAATCCTGTTGGAGAATCATGCAGGAAGCAGAAAGGGTTAGGTATTAGAACAGAGGTTATGAGAAGATTTTGTTTTGTTTTGATAACTTTTATTGCAAAATTTAATGGGGGTTCTGTCGGATAATAACATTTCAGTCAAGACAGCTGGATAATATATTTGGACATTGTTTTAATTTATGCAATCATGCTATACAAAGGTTAAACACAATAAATAACTTTATAAATGCATGTGTCAGACAGCAATAATATAAAAATGCATTCAGATCAAAAAACACAATAAAAACTTTATAAATGATGTGCTTCAAAAAAGCGACATACATCGTTTTCTTCAAGAGAAGCTTTATTAGATACCTACCTCATAAATATTGAGCAGCTTAAATATGGAATATATTTTTTCTTGATAGAGGCAAACTTGAGTGGTGAAGATAGATCACTTTTGTATTTCCCCTATGTCTTACGTTTAAAATTGTGTTGCGTTTATTTACCGTATGAATATAAAGTCAGTAAATATTTCAGGCCATTGTGTCCGAGATTGAGGTCAGTGGAGCGTTACGACCTTCGCCAGAACAGTTGGGACAATGTAGAGAACATTCCAATTCTTGCATCCAGCGTTCAAGCCTTCAACATCTATGGTCGACTGTTCTGTACAGCGTTCGAGTTGACAAACTCTCTACAAATAAACCCTGACACAGAACATGCCGGTTTCTTTGAATACGACACTCTTCAGAACAAATGGCACGATGCGACAGAGTGTTTTTCATCCGAAGCAGTAAACGTCTTACATGACTGTCTCAGGAAATCAGGGGCAATAACTCTCTGTCCTTCTTCTAACAAACTGTACACTGTAACAGAAGCAGACGTCAAGTGTGTTCACATCGAGCTGGAGGACGGAGACTTGGCGTGCAGGAGAGTGGAAACGATGCCACAGATTGACTTTTTCAAAAGTGAATCGGACTGTCGGTCCAACTACGCTGCTGTTGTGTGTCAAGGGAACCTGTATGTGATCGGCGGGGATGAACGCTTCTCACAGATGGAGATATTCCCATCGGCCATTGTGTGTATGTTTGACCCAACAGAGAACAAGTGGGTGACCAGGGCTAGCATGATGGAACCAAGGGCCAGATTTGATGCAGTGGAGATGAGTAAGTGAGATCACCTCCTTAAAGTTTGTTTGTTTGTTTGTTTGTGACAGCTGTCAGTAAATAATCCACTTCTGGCGAGACAATCCAGGGGTTAACATCACGAGCATCAATATGCGATTTTGGAATTCACTGACCATTGACCATTACTATGTTAGGCTGATCCAAAGAAAACAGTAGCATGGAGGGATGTAAACAACTGCCTTGAAATTATTATGAAAAAGGTTTCAGTTACAGCGACATTTGAACCAAGTTTACTCGTGTCAGCTTGGCCTATGACAACAAATTAAATTTTTCTTACAGCACCCTTAAAGTAAATTTTGGTGATTATGGTGACTTAAATATGAACTAGAAAAACCCAGTTCACTCGCTCACAATTTCTTGGGGCTTAGGGCCATGGGGTTGCCTAGTGGTTAGATCGTTCACTCGTCAAGCCGAACACCCGGGTTCCATTCCCCACATGACAGAGTAAAACTAAACTCACTCACTCACTGATTTGGGTTTAACATGTAACATACCTCGTAAGGATGAGAAAGCCGCAATAACTCAGTGCGCTTAGTGGCTGCAAGAGTTGCATGATGCCCAGGGAGTTGAGATTGATAATGCGATGTGCCGTTGAGATTGACACCAAATGATCAAGGGAAAAATTACAAGCGCCTTGAGCATGTACTAGTTGCGTGGATATGTGCGTTATATCAATATCCTATAATAAAAAACATCCTCATTGATTTTGGTTTTGCCATTCCTCAGACGGGTACATTTATGCTGTGGGTGGGTTCAACAACCGACGTCTGCGCAGCGTTGAACGTTACGACCCACGCTCCAACTCCTGGACGTATGTCACAGCCATGAACAAGGAACGAAGTCATCTGAGAGCAGTGGTGCATGATGGGAAGATTTTTTGCTATGGGTGGTGAGTGAAAGAGTTTCTTTCTAGATTGAAGTGCTGCAATAACTCAATATGCACCTAATTGTGAATCCTAGAAACTTCTAACTCATCTGCCATGGCAGCCATATTGGAAATACCTTTATGGCCTTTACTGCTTTGTCGTTTTGGTTCAGAAATGAACTTTGGTTTGTTCTGTGTTTGTTGTTTAATCTACATTCAGCAGGTGTACGAAGAGAGGACATTTAGTATATGGGTTCAGTGTATATGTTCTGTTTGTTTAAACATTCAAAATTATCACCTTGATTTGACTTTGAACTTTGCCGTTATGGTAAACTGAAACTTCCATTATTCAGCCACTTTTGTACATACTGTAATTTGGTGTTTGAGTGTGGTGTGTGGTTCAGTTGATCGGTCTACGTATCCAAGTGTCTTATAGCGTGGTGGCTGATTGGAGGGTATTGTGTGGGTCATTAAAACATGGCAGACGTTATGTGAAGGATCAAAACCGAGGAGGAGGTTTTGTTGAAAAAGTAAGCCCGCGGCAGAGGACTCCAACTTCTGAACCCACCGAAGATATACTTTAGATATGATTTTAATATTGGGGATGTACTGTTGAAATCAGCTGGGATGACACTGGCAGTCAATACCTTGCCTTCCACGCGTGTCCTGCACGTGCACTGCACGCACTACCCATCTTGTGAAGAGCAAAGTTATATCAATCTTCAAAACTTGAACAAGTAAATAATTCAAAGTCAAGGGATATTCCTCAGAAAATCCCCGGGCTGTTCTGAAGAAAATCTCCGGGACCCAGGCAATTGTGTAGAAAATCCCTGGGACACAGGCAATTCTTTAGAAAATCCCCGGGATTTCTTAGAAACGAAACTGCCTGTAGAGGTTTACAAGGTAAAGGGAGAACCTGGCGAGATATTAAAGTGACATTACTGGAGGTTTATAAGTATAGGATAAAACATGACCCGCGGGCATTATCAGGAGTAAGGATGTTTTCCCGAGAGAACGCCCGAGGGCATTCCTCGAGGGAAAACATCCTTACTTCTTAATAATGACCGAGGGTCATGTTTTATCGTACTTATAAACCGACCAAAGATGTACTTTAGATATAATTTCAATATTCGGTATTTACTGTTGAAATCAACTGGGATGAGACTGGCAGCCGACACCTTGCCTTGCACGCACAATGCACGTGCAATGCTATCCGTGTCCTGCAGGTGCGCTGCCCGCATGACCCATCTTGTGAGGAACACATGGTTCATGCTGACAAACAATCTTATTCTCACAGCGATCCTTCGTAGCCTAGTGAATAAAACCGCAAAGCTAGTAAGCAAAGGGTTGCAGGTTCGAAACCAGGTATCAGCACTATATGTTGGAAGTTTTCAATAAAGTGATATTTTACGATCGCGTTCAGTGATAGCAAGACAAAGTTACATCAATCTGCAAAACAAGTAATATTGCAGTAATATCCCGGGGCAGAGGGACAATATTTAAGTAATGCCCCCTGATCGACGGCCATCGGGATATGACTAGAAATACTACCTTGCAAGAACAAGAGTGATGTCACTGAAGTGAAAATGTGTGCTTTTTTAGGTGAATAATTGAATGCAATTGAATAACTACCAATGTTCATAAACAATTTTGTCTTTTGTAGGAAAGTCCTATTCATTCCGTCTAGGCGGGGCTCGCAAGGTGCTGAACAGTTGTGAAGTGTATGACCCTACAACAGATACGTGGACCTTCACACAGCCCATGAAGCAGGCCAGGTGTATGTTCGGTGCAGTTGTGTTGTAGCAGCCCTGGACCTCCACACAGCCCATGAAGCACGCTAGGTGTATGTTTGGTGCAGTTGTGAAGGAGCTACCCTGGACCTTTCATGTGTTTTTACTATTATTTCTCAATGAGACACAAGACATATTGTAATAGCTGAAGACTGTGATGCATTTTAGATCTATTTTTGTGATCTATTTCAATCTTAAACCACATGATCACTCATACTTAGTCTGTAAATAACAAGAATCTTAATAAATGCTCTATTTATCATAACAATTTTGTTGTAATATTTTGGGGATAAAAAGGTGATTTCAATCTGAAGGTATGGTCTGTAGATTGGATTTCTCTTAATTTGGTTTTGACAAAAAGGGCAAGAAATTGTATTACAATAGCAGTGTGTGTGTGTGTGGTACATAAACCTTTCAAGGTTTTCCCCACAGAGATGATACCCGTGAAGGTCCGGGTTAGAATTGATCTTCAGTAACCCATGCTTGTCACGAGAGAGGTGACTAACGGGATCGGGCGGTCAGGATGCTTACTTGGTTGACACATTGTATCCCAATTGCATCGAACGATTCTCATGATGTTGATCACTGGATTGTCTGGTCAAGACACGATTATTTACAGACTGCCGACATATAGCTTGAATATTGCTGAGTGCGGCGTTAAACAACAACCAACTCTAAGTTTAGCAGCTGTTGGTGTATATTCGAGCCATATCACCATCACAGGGGCCAACTTGCTTCATACTTCACGACCCATGTTATAATGATTAGATATTGACAGATAACATGTCTCCATAAAATGGCCATTCATAATTTATGGCCAGGGGGGTTGATGATTCTTTTAAGGGGGGTCACCCATTTTGTTCTTGGGGTGTGTGTGTGTGTGTGTGTGTGTGATCAGCAATTTTGTACACATGTACTAGGGGAGGTCAGTAATTTTGTACATAAAAATACTACAATATTATGCTTAAAAAATATTGGGGGTCATTGATTTTGTACATGATATGCAAGGGGTCACTTTCTTACTTTGTATGTAAATTTTTTTTTTGGGAGGGGGGGTCATTCACATTGTACATGCTTCTGAATAAAAATCATAATCACACACCCCTTGCCATAAATTATGAATGGACCCTAATGAATTTCTCGTTCAACCATTCCAAAAATAGTCCACCACTGTAGCTGTCATGGATGATCAGTCAAGTCATTTTCAGTCTCGTGACCTTGGGAGGAAAAAAGCTTTTCTGACAGTAGTCTGAATTGAAAAGCAGATTCACGCACAGGCATGTTGTGAGTGAGTGAGTTTGGTTTTACTCATCATACCACTTTGTGTTTCAGCAATATTCCAGCAATACCAGCCTCATCGGTAACGTTTCCAGGTTTTTCATCATCATACCGTGCTCGTGTGTTTCACTGGAATGGTGAGTGAGTGAGTTTGTTTTACGCCGCTTTTAGCAATATTCCAGCAATATCACGGCGGGGGACACCAGAAATGGGCTTCTCACATTTTACCCATGTGGGGAATCGAACCCGGATCTTTGGCATGGCAAGCGAACACTTTAACGACTAGGCTACCCCACAGGCATGTAAATCACTATATAAGTGACATAATCATGATAATAATAACCACAATTACAAGAATATCATATAAAACATTTATTGACACAACAATCTTTCACAGTGTATATTTACATTATTGCACAGATGTGTCAACGGAACACCATTCCTCTTGGAACAGCAACATATGCATGGAATATCAGCCACCAAATGAACGCATATGAGATGAACACATTGGAGCATAAAATAGCTCATGAAGTCATGACAAGGGAGGTAACTCTGAAAGACAAGTGGATACCACCAAACATATTTGTACATGAGAAGCATCATGAGTATCACAATAGCATCAATAGATTGCTGGGAAACTTGGAACCATTAAATACATTAGAGTAAAATCTGAGCAAATCAACACTGCGACAGATGACAAGTAACTTATGACAGTGTCTGTCCTGGCTTCTGTTAATACTTCAAGGGTTTGCACACACATCTTTCCCCCCTCATTTGTGAAAATAAATTTACATACAATGCAGCATTTCCCTATACATTTAGTGAAATAATACTGTACAGAAGTCGCCTGAACTTGATACCTCATGTTTGTATCAGTGTTTCTTAAATCCTACCACTGCCTGATATTGAGTGAGTGAGTGAGTGAGTGTAGTTATACTCTGCGCTTAGCAATATACAGCATTATCACAGCGGGGTACACCAGAAATGGGCTTCATACATTGTACCCATGTGGGGAATCGAACCCGGGGCTTTGGCGTGACATACGAACGCTTTAACCACTAGGCTACCCCACCGCCCTGATATTGAAGCAGGGTGTAGAGTGGATGACCACAAGGGTATAGTACTACGTAAGATTTGAAGTGCAATGCTACCTAAGGATCTAAGGTAAAGAAGATGCTAGATTCATTCTTGATGAAACTAGGCTGTAACTTTTCATTTCTTCTAAAATTAAGATCATCAAGATCATATTTGCCTCAGAGATATCAGGGTCACTGACATACAGAGGCCCAGATAAGCTGTGTATCCGGGTAAAATATGCGCATAGAAAATTTCCAATTACGCATTGAAAATCAATTGTTGCATACCAATTACGCATTTAAAATGTTAGATACGCAAAAAGTTTAAAACAAATGCGTACGGAATATATTTATAAAAATCGCTTGCGTAATGAAACAGACATCGATTGCTATCAAGTTGTACTGTTAGTATAGGACTAGTGATTTTTTATGAAATCATTTCCATTATATTTAAGTTGGTTAAATATGACATAAGGCAAAACATACCTGCTTAGTAAACTTACTCAATGACATAATACTTAGGTGAGTAAAATGACTGAAATACGTGAAATATGTGAAATACGCACATATTTGAAAGCGGTGGGTAACAGAAAATGAAATACCCACTCAAAATTCATAATACCCACTCCAAAACAATACAGTGGGTACAGTACCCACATGAGCTAAATCTTATCTGGAGCTCTGGACATACTTCCATAAACCAGTGTAAGTGTGCTGAATATTCTAGTGGCCCAAACTTTACGTTAGAATTTCAACAACCACAAGTGGGCTTTGAGGGGACACTTTACCTTACATAACATATAACATTAGCAGGTTAACACTGGCATGAGAAAACACCAATGAAACACAGTTTGTGGATGTGTTTTTGTGTAGTTCAATGGCTATCACACGGTTTGGATTTTCTCAGATTTTACTCAACAAAACACTAAATATTCACAGAAACATATGATTACTGAAAGACACAAATGGTCAAGACTAAAATATCTGCCATAAACACTTGACATATGATTCACAGTCTCATGTCCTTAAAATGCTTTGATAGTGTTGAATACTGCTGCCTCAGCATTTTTTCAGCCATTTGCAGCCATCTTGTTTTTTTAAAAATGAAAACAATGTTATATCCAAGGAATCAAAAGAATACAAACTCTAACATGAAAGAGACAAAGAAACATCCTGAAAATCCAATAGACAATTGCTTTCTGGGAAAACTTACTTGAAATCAAGCACAAAACTACTAACAGAAAGAGGTGAATATCAGTTTGTAAAGGTTTATAGACAGACATGTGTCCTCAGCTTTGTGACAAGACAGATCACTCGTGGCCATTGCTTGCCTGCTTGGAGAAAGAAAATACAATCGTACACTTGGTTCCTGGGTTGTTGTTGGTTGTTTTGCGACAAGTCCATGATACTGAGAAGGGAGAGCTTGCACAACGTCATTTTTGTACCAAGACCATAATAACTCCCATACTTGAACATGGAATGGCAAGTCTTAGTGCTAACCTCATCTTACCTTAAATACAAGGACACTAAATGACAAGTCAAATATATGGACACAGAATGACCAGTCTTATGGCTAAGATCACTTTGCCTCTAAAACTTATCAATAGCCTTAGTACTAAGACTGCTCCATGGGTCTTGGACCTCTTCTGGAATTGAGTCCACAAAGCCTAGATATAGTGTTAAGAACCTCTAGGCTACCCCATAGCCCCCTTAACAATAGCCTTAGTACTAAGGCTGCTTCAGGGCTCCTGGACCTACTCTGGAATTGAGTCCAGAACCAGCGTTTAGAACTTCTGTGCACAAAGTACAGATCTGTGAATGATAAATACACTGAAGCACAAAAGCAAGACACACAATTGTACGGCAGAAAGACAATTCATAAGAGAAAAATATGTATACCCAATATAGGAATTAGTAGAGAAAGTACATAAATAGCCAATGAGTGAGAAACAAAATTTGTTCCGATGCCATTTTGAAGAGATATTCAGTTGTATTGCAGCCAGTCTGTTTAACATGGGAACATGCCCACAAGTCTCAGATATCTGATGCAATCCACAAAACCTGGTCATGGTGCCAACAGTCCAGTGGTCAGAAAATACATGGAGAGTCTGCAGTTGTTAATACTGGACATGGGATGAGATATGCAGCATGGTGATAAGCAATCATTAGGCCACTGCCCCACGAGACTACTATATACAGTTTTGTTTAATATACTACACATCAAAAGTTTAGACTCAGTAGTGTAAATATAGCCACTTACTTCAGGCAACTGTTCTAAACTACATTTTGCAAAATATTCCATAGTAAAGGTACTGTTGACACATGAACTGATGAATTATAAAACAAATTCGTAACGTTGAAAAGATTATTGTCACAAGTTCAATAAATGATGAAACTTGGAGAAAATTGGCAAATTCTTAACAAAAGTTTACACCAAAACGCAGCTGTTCACATGTATACACAATATTTCCACATAATTTTCAGCAATTTGATGCGTGATCCTCCTGCAATTCATCTGCATAAGGTTTGCAGTTGGTTCCCCCAAGTTAGTGGAGAAATTCATCTTCGATGTAGCCATATAGATAATACATGACATATAGTGAGTGCTTTAAGTGAGTCTAAACTTTTGATGGGTATTACATAAAGACGTTGAATGGCATTTAGAAATGATACACATAAGGGGGAGAATTCATGGATATCAACCTAATTTTCATACAGAACACAACGGATCATTCTCTTCCCACAGAAGTTACTTGTCATATCTTCCTACGAACCTCTGTTCTAATACGGCCATAATTCCCGGTTCTCGTAAACCCCAAGCGGCAAAAAGTCGCAACACGAATTATCTCCCTTCTTTTTATCCAATCACAACACGTCTTACGTTATTTAGATCCAGCTTGACTAATACAAACAAATGTGGGGCCACAAATGTCCCCCATCTGCAGGGAATTGTGTTGATGTGACACACAAGACATTAAATGGCTAGCTTGTCCGTTGTCAACGAGGGCGATGGAGACGCCATTGATCCGCCATTACATGACTGAGTTCTGTCTAGAAGAAACGTTTGTGCATCGGGCAGGGGAAGAGGTTCTAGTTTTCCCGAAGCATACGGAAATTACCGAGGCCTTGCGAATGATCACTTTTGAACTAAATCTGATTGCAACCAATCACGAATCCTGAACACTCGCACCATGAAAGGGCCGTATTAGAACAGAGGTTCGTAGGAAGATATGACAAGTAACCTCTGTGGGAAGAGAATGACAACAGATACGCTAAGTAATGAATCAGCATAGATCACGTTGACATTCATAAATCATCTCCCTTGTAGTATGATCTGATTGTATGGTCGTTGATGAAAATATTTAAAGCTATTATGATGATTTGTACATAATGAGGACGACGATGATTATCTTATGATGATGTACATATCATTCACTGATTAAAAGTTTTGATTTCATGTAAAAATATACATCATTCAATATTTGTCTGGAATTTTTTTCAGAATCAAAGTTTCAATAAACAAATAATATTGTCAGTGTTTATCCTGCAGCAAAACAAGTAAATACACATATTAAGTTACCAGCTATCCAGTGTGGTAAATGCAAGCTTGTGTCGACACAAAGTATCGACACAAACTAACACACTGGACAATCAGACCTAAGGCAAGTATCAGGAGACAGGTGGACAAAGGTTTTACATGTAATAATTTCATTGGTAAGTATTAGTTACAGGTGATAAAATACTAATGGTCGCACATTACTACTTTTGAACATTTAATAACATTTTTCATTTTGAAAGAAGCATTTAGAGAAAACAATGATGTCTGTGAAAAGAAAATGTGACCATCATGATACAATGATTCTGCAAAAATACAGAACTTTCCGAAAATTACAATTTGCCTTATGGCTTATATTTTACCAGTTCTTTTGGAACAAGAAAAATCTTTTCGCAATGTCCGAATATATATAAGTCAGTATTTAATGCTCTTAAATATCATTTCATTCTGCATTGCTACTGATCAAAACAAAGAAAAGATCAGGCATAAAAAGTTTGTTAAAGAAAAATTTCCATGGTCAATGAAGAGATGGTTGTACAATTTCTGGGTTAAAATATGTTGGACATATCTTGTTTTGGAGAACATTGACAAAATTCTTCATGGCTTCAAACGACTGCTCCACCCACAATCACTATTGATAGGGACACTGGCAGCATTTACTGTTTAATATCCTCAGAGTACATTAACTCATTGTAAAGTGTTTGTTTAAGTAACTGCTTGTGTGACTTCCCTGACGAGTAACACTTAAGTCAGACTAATACTTATTTGAGTCTCATTTCTCATTTCCTATGTTTCACAACATAAATCATAAAACTTTGAACCAATTTTTCATTTTAGAGGATGCATTCAAATTTTAATGTACCATTCTTGCCCTGACTAGGTTAATCACTAAATACTAAAGATATTTTGAATGTTGATGGTACTGACAATACAACAGCGCTTTGAGCATGCAATGTGCATGGATAAATGCTCAATATAAATTTGACTATTATTATTATTATATTATTATCATGCAGACTATCACACATTTTTACAATTTTGGCAGAGGACCCGTTTTACAAATAAAATATAATTCACAAAATGTGCCCCAGAATACTACAGCAAAGCAATAATTTTATATGTCATCATAGCAAAGTATAAGCTAAATCCCCTTCCATAAACTGACATGTATCCTTTTCTCAGCCACACACAATTTCCTAAACATACATTACGACTTCTACTATTTGACGGACAAACTGCATTGTGCTGCTTAATGTATATCAGAAAAGGATAAACAATACTTCCAAGACAAAGTTGAACTAAAATCGTCAAGACTAGAAAACTACCCTGAGCAAATTGTTGTGTAGGTCTTTAAAATGCTGTTTCATGTGTGAGTTGTCTCCCTTGCTGTCCAATACTCCATGATAACTCGTGTGTAGGTCTCTGGTTGGTCAAGAGTTATGGCGTGTCCACACTCGGGAATTATGTCAACACGATCTACCTTGGACAGTCCAGTCTTCAAGGCATCTATGCCGGACAAATCTATGATCTGAAAATACATAAATCACAATAAGTGAGTGAGTGAATACGAACTGACTGACTGACTGAGTTTAGTTTTATGCCGCTTTTAGCAATATTCCAGCAATATCACGACAGGGGACACCAGAAATGGGCTTCACACATTGTGCCCATGTGGGGAATCGAACCCGGGTCTTCGGCGTGACGAGCCAACGCTTTAACCACTAGGATACCCCACCACCCCAAGTGAGTATGAAACTTTAGCAGCTTTTAGCAATATTCCAGCAATATCACAGCAAGGGACACCAGAAATGGGCTTCATACATTGTACCCATGTGGGAAATAGAACCCGAGTCTTCAGTGCGACAAGCGAACACTTTAACCGCTAGGCTACCCTATCATCCCTTAAGCACAATAAGAATACTGACTGACTGAATTTGGTTTTACGCCGCTTTTAGCAATATCCCAGCAACATCACGGCGGGGGACACCAGAAATGGGCTTCACAAATTTTACCCATGTGGGGATTCGAACCCAGGTCTTCGGTGACGAGCCAATGCTTTAACCACTGGGCTACCCCACCGCCCCCAATAAGAATAGGAATGGGAGAAGGAGAAAAACATTGTCTACAGGATAACTACACTAATATAGTGATGTGTGCCTGTCAGTGTGTGTCTGTGTGTTTAGGGTAGTCTATCTCATGTTCCTGTAGCTGCTCATATCAGTCCAGACCAACGCCCACTGAGAAGGTTCTTGTAATGATACCTGGGACTCGAACCACTGACCCGCTGCACTCTGAGCAGACACATTATCCACTACACCACGGAGACAGTCCAGTCCGGATGAAATAAAAACTGTATACAATATGGGAACCTGTTAAGATCCAGGTTAGAATTGGTCTCAGGCACCCGTGCTTGTCGTAAAAGGCAACAAATGGAATCTGGTGGTCAGACTCGCTGACGTGGTTGACACATGTCATCGTATCCCAATGCTGTTGATCATTGGACTGTCTGGTCCAGGCTCAATTATGTACAGACCGCCGCCATATAGCTAGAATGTGGCTGAGTGCAGCTGAGTGCAGGTTCCATGACTCTAATTCCTGAGACAGACTTAGTTAAAAAGCTTTGATTATTGTGCTGAAAGTGAAACAGACATCTGTCACAAGCATAAGCTACTTGGACATATTCTCGCTTGGATCGGAACCAGGATGATGTCTTCTAGGTAAGCTGCACTGTGCCTCAACCATCTGTGGGGCATAATATATCAGATAGAGTTACCTTCCTTGCCTTCCAGATGAGCTGAAATCTGACCTCCACTTTCTACATGTCTTGAGATATACCCTACAGAGTTACCTACCCTGACCTCTCTCCTTCAGATTAGCTCCACCTTTGACCTTCACCTTCTACATAAAGTGAGCCATACCCTATAGAGTTACCTACCTTGTCTTCCTTTCCCCAGATGAGCTGTACAGGGACCTTGACTTTCTGCAGATTGTCTTCAAGAGTGTTGCGTTGATGAGTGATGCAGAGGAATACTAAAGGATAAAATCATAAACAAGATATTATCATCACATGGATAAACATTAAAATGGGAATGCTTAAAACTGGTTCCTTAAATTACTTTTTTCTTTAATTTCTTAAACAAAACAAATCAAGTCCAAAAACTTGTGAAAGCTGGAAGTTCTCCAACATAATTATTCCCCGGGTGCATTATGAGTATTTTACCATCTTCATATTCAACAACCAGCTTCACACTCATCATGGTAATGAAAATAATGTTTTACCATTTTTGTCTTTTACCAAACATATTGAACCCCATTTACATACAAATAAAAGACATAAATACTTAACATTCCAAATAAGAGGATGCTAACAATCTCTGCTGTTTGACTCATTATTACTAAATCCACATGTAGCCTGCTTTGTCGCAGTCAGTGAGATTTTATTGGTATTTAACGACGCACTCAGCAATATTCCAGCTATATGGCAGCGGTCTGTATATAATCGAGCCTGGACCAGAAAATCAAGTGATCAGCAGCATGAGCATCGGTCTACGCAACTGGGATATGATGACATGTGTCAATCAAATCAGCGACCCTGACAGTGACACCCAATCCCATTAGTCTCCTATTACGACAAGCATGGGTTACTGAAGGCCAGTTCTAACCCGGATCTTCACAGGTAACTAACTCAATGAAATAATTGGCTGGGTTCAACACACCTTTGAACAGTATTAGACACTGTGTGTCTGCATAATGTTGGAGGAATGTCCAAAATGACAGTTTGTGACAGTTAACTGATCAAACTAACTGGAAACATGACAACCGAGATTCAAACGCATAATCATAGGTTCCTGGCATGCCCAAGGGACATAACTCTGCATAGTAAATTGGGGTGCTTCAGACAACTGGCCCATCTTTGTGGGTGGCAAGGATGGGATACCGTTGGTTCATGTCTAAATCTATGAAAACATACAAATGATTACATTGGTTGGTTGATTGTTGCTGTTTGAAGCCGCACTCAGCAATATCCCAGCTATATGGCTGCTATCTGTAAATAATGATCTGGACCACAAACCAGTGATCAACAGCATGAGCATCGATCTACTATGTCAGCCAAGTCAGCGAGCCTGACCACCTGATCCCGTTAGTTGCCTCTTAGGACAAGCATAGGTTGCCGAAGACCATTTCTAATCTGGATCTTCACGGGTAGGACTTACGAAAGGAACCGTGAAAACAATGAAAATTCCAGATAATGCTCTTTCATTATTTTCTATAATTCTAAAACCATGATAACAATCTTCAAGATGTGAACGGAACGGAACAGCTTTGTTCAATAATGGTAAAATCAGGAAAATGAACTTATTGTACAGGAAAACGTCCCTCAGCCTTTTCTCAAGCAACCGAATGTCTAACAAACTGACTTACATTTCAGGTAGAAGTCGTTCTTCTTTTTCCGTATGTCAGCAGCACCTTGTAAAATCTGCAACCGACAGCAGTCTCCATTACAAACCTCATCTATTACAGTGAACAGTGACAGTAACGTCGCTTTAGACATCCTACAATTACTAACTGGCTGGACAGTTTAGACTGCTGTTCATGTTGTCATATACTTATAAATGACAGTGGCATCGAAATACATTTCTTTATCACTTCCTTCTCAAGGTACAGTCATCCCTCTCCATTATGAGACACCAGCATTATACATAACATGGATTGGTTGATAGGCATTTTCTCTTGGGAAACTCTTTGGGGGGTGGGTGGTGGTTTATGGGAGCCACAAATTGCCCCGCAGTTTAACTAACACCGCGGTATCACAAAGAGTGTTATTGCAAGGAATGAATATTACAAAGTGCACACAAGTCCTAAAAACTCTCAGGAGTCTAGCTGCCAAGCATGGCCACCCATCAAAGGACTCTCGATGACCAACTGTGCTTAACTACAACTGATTTGCGACCTGGGTTCCAAGCACAAGACCACACACCACCATAAATAAACATAAACACAAATCACACACCACACCAAACAAAATCAGTGATGGTGATCAGGCAGATGCAGACATTACTGCAATGTCGCCAAGAATAAACTCGATTATCGGTGACTTCTGTGTAAAAATTAGCATGGGGAGATGGGAACAGAGTCTGTCTGTCCGGAATAAGGTGGTGAAAGGGAGGTAAGTACCTGGTACGGGAAGGTAGTCTTGTAAAATCTGCTGAAGTTGAGCATCTCCTGTACCTCGGCTCCATTCTGTGGCAACAAGATGCAACTTGTAACGTCAAAGTCCCTGCCATTTTCGTGATGCTGTCTCAGTCCTTCTGCAAATGGACTTGGTGTTGGAGTGATCACTGAAAACGAAAATTCCAATAATGTGCTTTGTTGTCACTAGTAAATCAAATTTCGATCAGTGCCATAAATTCTTCAGGAAAAATATTTATATTTGAATTTATTTGATTTTAGAAGTGATGGATTTGTAACTGTAGATTCAGTTTAAATCAAGATGATTTTCTGAATGAAGAGGTTTTAATGACATCATGCTTGACTTCGTTCAAGACCCAGAGCTACAGATAACTTTTTGGGTCATTGAGTTCATCTCAATTGTGTTCATCTCAATTGGGTATCCTAACTTTCCTTAGAGTAACCAAATAAATTGTACTCACCTCATTTAAACTCAATTGGGTATTTTGCCATCTTCCATTAATTTTGAAAATCAAAAAAGATTAAATGCTAGTTTTTGTATAGAACCTCTCAGTATGCCTAACTTATTTTATCTATCCACCTTAACGCAAGCTAAGATTTGACATTTTTGTGTGTACGCATGTAAGATCACATTTATTGAGTATTTACCAAAATTCAAGCGTACTTGTACGTAATAGTCTTAATGGGAATTGAGTTTTCACATAAATATTTGCGTAATTTAAGCAGATACGCAGCTTATCTGTACCTCTGAGACCATTGCACAAGTGAGTGAGTATGGTTTTACGTCGCTTTTAGCAATATTCCAGCAATATCACGGCGGGGGACACCAGAAATGCATTATGGGCTTCACACATTGTACCCACGTGGGGAAATGAACCCGTGTCTTCAGCATGACAAGCGGATGCTTTAACCATTCGTTACCCCTACTCCCAGTCAAAAACATGATAAATTATTTTGGGCTTGTATAAAATCAGGGACTAATTCGCATAAATGCTAAACGATCAAACCATTTCTGCTTTAAGTTGCATTTACAAGCCTAGCAATCGAAATGGAAAGGATAAACCAAACTCCCAGGCAGTTGGGAAACTGATTTTTCTAGTTGAAACTGATTATGACATTTAGATGTTCACTTACTAGATGGACATGAGAGGGTCAGTTTCTTCACCAGCTGGGGGTACTCAGCAGCGAACAGTCCCCCCAAGGCCGCACCCATCGACAGACCGACAATGTGGAATGGTTGCTTGTCCAGACCAACTAACTCCACAAACTGGAAAATGCAAAATACTAATTTCAATAGCTGGATTCGGTAGTGTTTGGTTTTGAGTGAGAGTGTCTGAGTGAGTTTTGTGTCTGTGTGAGAGTGTGTGTCTGTACATGTGGGGACCTGTGAAGGTCCGGGTTAGAATATAGATCTTCAGTAACCCATGCTTGTTGTAAGAGCCGACTAACGGGATCGGCCGGTCAGGCTCGCTGACTTGGATGACACATGTCATCAGTTCCCAATTGTGCAGATCGATGCTCATGCTGTTGATCACTGGATTGTCTTGTCCAGACTCGATTATTTCCAGACCGCCGCCATATAGCTGGAATATTGCTGAGTGCGGCGTAAAACTCAACTCACTCACTCAACTGTACATGTGGGCGCTGTTTACCGCTATACTATTCCAGCTAAATGACTGAAGCCTGTCTATCCATAATCAATCATTAGATCCACCAACAAAATCAAAAGTATGCGAATAATCACATTTCACCCATTTCTAATGAATGCTAAACATGAAACAGTCATTGTGGATGTCACTTTGAGTGACTGATGACCCCTGCTCATTGGCCACTAACCTTCCTGATCATCTTGACCTGAGAGGTGTAGTCAAGGTCATCCTCCTCTGGTTCACTGCTGCCACCATGACCTGGACTGTCCAGGGCGATGACATGCACACTGGACGGGATTCGCTGACCAAACAAGAGATCAAATGATTAGATAACAGCCATTATCATTTTCACCACGCTTGGAACAATAACTTGATAGGTGGGTGAGTGAGTTTGGTTTTACACTGATTTTAGCAATATTCCAGGAATATCACTGTGGGGGACACTAGAAATGGGCTTCACGCTGTACCCATGAGGGGAATCAAACCCGAGAATCGGCATGACGAGCGGGGACTTTAACCATTAGGCTACCCCGATTACCCCAATAACTTGATGGTTGTACAAGTGCCCTTTCTGTCCCTCAAGAAAGAGGTTTAACCGTTGACTGCCACCACATGTATACTCGTAGTATCAATGTCTGGCCGAATTTGCCACTACGAGTTATCTCGTAGCTACATCAATGGTATTTTGAAACAAGTTTCACATGTTGGCAAAACAGGCACAAGAAGCAATCGTCTCCTGGCGGTGCTTATTTTGCCAACATGTGAAAACATGTGCCAACAGAGTTATATTTGGCCAGTATTGATACTAAGAGTATACTATAGTGATAGGCAGTCAAACTTTTAACTTTTGCGATTGAATACATGACTGGATGGGTGGGTGGTTGAGTTTGTTTTTAATACCCCCATCGAAAAGTATTTTATTTACAACCTAGCCAGGTCAGAGTAATTTGTGAGGAAATCCTGAAGTCATGAAGACCTCTGATGTTTACAACTTTGGCAAAACCCTCAAGAATGAATGGTTTTGTCGGACCAAGAAACATCAGGCTAAATAAAAATATGTTGTGGTTCCGATTACACCTCTTAAAAATTTGGGTAGGTAGGTCGGAATTTTTTATATTTTTTTACGTATTTTTTTAGAAGTAAAGTACAAACCAATAACACATTTATCAATGTGTAATTGTTTATTCAATCAAGCTTGCAGCAATCATAACGACTTTATCTATCAGAATGGCAGATATCTGTTGGTGCCGGGAACAAACAATGGTATCTGAAAGCTTATTTTATTCATTCCAGAATTCAAGGGTCGGTTGGGTAATTGGAACCACAACATTTTTTTTTAGGCCTCACCCCAAACAAGGTAATCAAGCATATGATAATAGCCATTGGACATGCCCAAGGGAGGCAACTCTGCACAGGGAATGGGAATGCCCTAGACGACTGAGCCACCCATGCCCAAGGCCTTTTAGAATCGTTTGTGTACGATTATGGAGGCTAACAAGAGGTCCTCACCTTCACTACTGGGGTCCACATGAAGTGGTCGGCGGTGAAGCCGTGGAGGAACAGGAGGCTGACGCTGCCCTCACGCTGTTGTCCCTTCTCTCCGTAGCAGAACTGGAACTTGCCGTCGGGAGACACGAACTTAACCTTCATGCCGCTCCATAGCACGGCAAATCTGTCAGTGACAATGAAAACCAGTTTAACACAAGAGATTTTCTGATCCATGATCCAGTGACAATGTCACATTACGTCCCAAAATCTGTGAAAGGGTAGAACATGATTTTGAATGTTGTCCCAGTAGCTTACACAAATCAAACTGATGTTGTGCCCCACTCAACCATGTTGACAACTGGTTGAGTACAATTCTGCCACTACAGCTGTCTTGTTGACAAGAGCTAATATTGTATTTCAATAAACATTAAAAAGCAGATCAGCTTCATTCTGCACCACTCTTGTTTGCAACATACCAACATCACATTGAAGTTTCAGCATGCCTGTCATTACGTAAGATATATTTGTGTAACAGCTAAACAATAATTGTGTGCCATTCATATTCACAAACCATGAACGTATATCTTATTTCAACAAACATCCTAACTGTGCACCATGTATGAATATGCATAAGCTAATTGTGAAATGTCTTCACATCTATTTAATGAGATGCAGTAATTCATTACAGAAATAATCTATTTTACCGCAATGCAGGGTCGTAGTTTCAAAGCTAAAAAGTAAAATGAATTAGGGTCTTTTTAGAGTAAATATGTCCAAATTTCAGGCTTTTCAAGCCTGTGCAAACCCTGTACTGTTACATATTTTACTAGCATGATACACATGATGAATTATGGGTTGGCAGGGGTGGAAATAACTTTAAAATTGATAGTGTACTCCGGTACAGTGGCACATGTAAAGTCACTTGCCCTGATATTTTTCCCACTATACCGACCGTTTTCTTGCTGATTTTTTAAAGAAACAACATAATTAACATTGGAATGTCAACTAAACACCGTCAAGCGTGATATACAAATTAGCTCGCCCGACAGAAAAAAACACTGGACTCGGACGTCGGGCAATGGGTTATTTCCATCCCTGGTTGGTTGCCTTTACTTTTCTATGTTTTTCTATGTCAAAGTAGACTTACTTGAAATACACCTGGAGGATGAGGCTTGGGCACATGAGATACACCCCTAAACCCATCATCAGGTACAGACTGACTGTTGCCACGGTGATCGTCATGGCAACATCGGACACATTGGTCACCCCGAGAACTCCAATGAAGTCACTTCCAGACATCTTGTTTTGGGCGATGTGGTACCTGTTCAGCCTAGCAGAAGACAAACCCTGTAAGGATATGTTACCATGGTTATTATTGTGCTTATTACCATACAATCATGTTGGTAACAATATGCATCATTTATTCAAATCTTTCTCATTTGAATCTATTCTTCACAGATATTCTATGAGTGATGTATATGATGTAAGACAATTTCAGCTAACACATAATGTACTCAGCACTTGGTTTGTTTGCTGCTAAACAAGAATATGCAATGTTCCAGCTATGTGGCGGCGGTCTGTAAATAATCGAATCATGACCAGACAATCCAGCGTTCAACAGCATGAGCATCAATCTATAGATGCAATTGGGATACAATGACATGTGCCAACCAATTCAGCGAGCCTGAACAAGTTGGTCACCTCTTACAACAAGCATGGGTTACTGAAGACCAATTGTCACGTTTTTTCCATGGTTACTCAACACTAGGCCTTGCATCTATATAGATCGTGGAGATCACTAATCGTTAACTAAACATCAACTGATTATTGATAAATATCAGAGAATTAACTTTGAGCAAAAATGCAAACAAAAGTGTGAAAGAAATCAACATTCACATCACTAGTCAGTGGTGACATATTTAGGCATGGATTACTAACAGGCTTGTAGTCAAAAGGGCCGAAGGACAAAAGGGCCGAAAAATAAAGTCAAAAGGGCTGAGGCTAAAAGTCAAATGGGCCGAAATGAAAAGTCAACAATGGTCAAAGGGCCGAAAAATAAAAATTTAATAAATTACATAGCAAAATAGTCTAAATAGTTTTCAGTTTGTTGTTTTTGTTATTTAAATGGAATTTGAACATGAGACTCAAATGTTTTCATTGTGAAGCGTGTTGACTCAGTGTCATGACCAATCCATATGGGATGTTTGTTTTTGTTGTTGTAAGTTTTTAATCCAAATCTAATTAAAACATGGGAGTCTAACGTTTTTATTGTAAAGTATTGCCATTACATGAAAACTTGGCTACATGCTTGGCTATTACTATGCCATTACCATTTTATTAATGTTATGATGATATTATGTTTCCATGATATATGTGTCAATAAATAATGTATAACCTTTCTAAACTTTTTTTCTGTTTGGCCCATATGACTAGGAATAAGGCCCTTTTGACTTTTTGTCACGGCCCATTTGACTTTTACCTCGACCCTTTTGACTTTTTTCATCGGCCCTTTCGACTTGGCACTTCTCGGCCCTTTTGTCCTTCGGCCCATTTGACTAGTTCCCATACTAACAAAACAGCATCCTGAACATAATTAGAACTAGCCCATAAATAAAGGCGTAACTTTGTGTATTGTGTGAGTAAATTAAAAAAATTTGATGACAAAATTTTCACATCACTCATTATTACCAATTCTTCCCATCAATGATATTTCTGTTTATCAATCTTTTTAGCTAACCCTGCTCAACACGTTGGTAAGATTTCCTACTGCTCCTACCACTTAAAGTCAATAAAATCATATGCCATTTTCATTGATCAAGAAATATATCTAAAAGTAATTGAAGGTGAATTAGATGAATTAAATCAAGGTTAGGGTTAGGAAAATCCAACCTGTCCACCAAATAAAAAGTTGCAGGAACAGTTGGAATTCTTTTCGGGAATACAAAAATCATGATAATTCTGTCACTCACTTCACAAAATCAGTGTGCACATCCTAATATCATAAACTCTATGTGTGTTCTCCAACATTCATTCACCTGACGAATGGGGACAAGTAAAACCATTAACATGTTAAACGTGTGAAGAAGAACCCTAAGAATGTGCTTACATATACTGGACAAAAATAGTTAGGGATATATGTCAATTTTGAAATTATGAATAATGATCTATTTATTCATTGACACGTTCAGAAGATATAAATCATAGAAATACCAATTAATATCCCTAACTTATTTTGTCCAGTATATATTAACAATGCTTAACATGCAAAACTTTTTATTAACATGATTAACACAGGCTGGTATCCTAAACCGTTCTTGTCATATGACCAGATTCAGATAAAAACAATACCACATTTTCCTATTCGTCATATTTCTATGACATTTTAGAATCCTGAAGAAGCAGAATGAAATTCATTTGTGTCAGACCATATTTTTTGATGACTAATCATGTGAATAGCTGTGATCACTACTGGCTAGCGAACAGTTATCGCCGTGTAACAGTTATCGCCAATACATCAGTATCACACGTGCGCAGTTGCGGTCAAGTACAATTCCGGTATTTTTTCCTACGGTATTTGACAACAAATTGAACAATACAGGGCAGCAAAAGAAAATTCTTCACGGCAAGTAGAATAAGAGATAAATTACAGATCAAGTTATGAACCCAATAAAAATTTTTAACTTAGTCGGGGGGGGGGGAGGATGTCCCGCAACCTACATAATAGCAAGGTCAAGTTCACAAGCCATTAATTGTTTCATTCCCTATTAATCTACTGTAAAAGAAACACTGAAATAGTCCCACAATCAATTATTCGAGGTTACTGTATGATATAAATATATATTATTATTTCACGAATGTCATGAGAAATTCTGAATGGCGATAACTGTTACAGTTAGTTGTGAGAAAACATCTACTTATACTTCCATGATTCACTTCCGCCACATTATATTACAACATGATCGGCGGCAGTGAACGGGCTGGACACATCGGTGAATAGCTAATTAAGTATCATAATTAATTCTGTTTCATTAATTTAAGAAACAGTGGAGCAATTTTGTAAATACCGCTAAAATATGGCGATAACTGTTCACTAGCCAGTATAGTTACCAGAACTGAAAGCTGATGTCATCAACATTATCTAATCATTATCTTCTAATTAGCTAGAAGTACATAATTATAAATAACGGAAAGAGTTTCTTAGGTACCCCCCGCCAAACATGATCTAGTTTATAGGTAAAAATTAGGTGGGGGTACGTTAGGGAACTCTTACTTATACAGAGAGTAAAGCTAATGTGATAGACCCATAGGAATTGTCAAAACAAACAACAATACTGTAAGGTCTTGTTTAGATATATCACTGGCTCTACTGTACGATAAAAATTCATAAACAATATCTTGATCTTAGGCCATTTTAATGACCCGTTGTTTTAACTGAAACATACCTGTCAAAAAATTCACCAAGGCTAGATCAAATTACTGGCCAGTGTCCACTTATCCACTGCTCGATCGTCACCCCCTGAAGCCACAACTGATTTGGTGAATTTGGAAGCCACAAATCTATTCGTGGTTCGAGTCATCGCCTGACTCTGTGTGGGGTTCAAAGTCCACTTGTGGGACCATGAAGGCTTATAACTCGCGTGTTATGTCAAATATCCACGGTTGAATAACACTCGTATTAGTTCTAGATAATCGTTTATATGTCGGTGATAAGAATATACGTTCACCATGTTTACGATTCAGTATCCATGTGTTGTGAAGCCTGTGGTCAGTCTCACAACGATCGCTGCCACCTGTGCGAGATGTATTGACTCGAATCGGGACGACTGGAAACAGGAAATGAATGGGATGTGTTACCTGTAGGATCTGTTCTCCATCAGTGAATGAAACTTACCAGTTAATAAGCTACGCTAACACACCAAGTGAACTCTCAAAGTTCACGGCCTTTCTTCTCATCGTACGACTTATCAGCTGACAGTTGATCGCGGTGTCCCGCCCTGTTTTCAACAGGTGCCAGTATGGGTTATCTCCCCTGGTCATCGGCACTCAATTTCCATCGCGTCAGAGGTTTCAGACAGGTGTTAGCATTAGAGTCAGTACTCCGAATACCGTACACGTTTGGCCACCGGTATCCCCTGAATCGCTATAATTCATGGCGCATGCTGTTTAAAAGGTTGTCCAATCATCTTGCCTGCCCAGTAACATTGAACATTATTTTCTTGAAATTGGCTTTATGTCTTAGGGGGGTGTATTTACTTTTATAGACATACCATTTACAATATAAGGAATATTTAAATGTTTTTACTTTGTTTACCGATATTTTGTTGAAAAATAAATGAAAAGGCGGGCGAATAGAATAAATGAAATAGGCTTTCAGATAAACCAAGTATAATTATCAGGTCTAGTATGTGTATAATATGATATATCCCGGTCCATTTTGAGTCGTTTTGTATGAGCTTCAAGCATGGAGACTATTCAACAATTCATTTTGTCAAATACAATTAAATCCTTAGATTTTAAACCAAGTAGTTTTTGTTTTGTTTTGCCAACATCCATTTCGTACGCATGAACGCCGACCACCCTAAGTTAATTTGTTCTTGATGGTGGCTGTTTTGTTGTTGTTTTGTTTGTTTTTTCCCCTTTTTCTATTTACCACCAGCAGGGCGTTATACTGCTGACACATTGCATAGTATGGGTTGAAACAAGAGGTGAGGTGAGGTGAAATTGGGTTTAACGTCGTGCTTGAGAATATTTCGCTCATATGACGACGTGCATGCGTGTGTATGTGTATGTGCGGCTGCTTGTACTAGCCCAGACTTAAGCTGGTTTTATAGTGCTAGCTCACTGAGATATCATGCCGCAGTGAAGCATGAATACCCCATTCAGACACATTATACTGACTCCGAGCCGACCAGTCCTTGTTGTTCCCATTAATGCCGAGCGCCAAGCAGGGACCAACAAGTACCATATTTTAACGTCTTTTGGTATGACGCGGTCGGGGATCGAACCCGCGACCTTCCGCTCTCCGGGCGGACGCTCTAACCACTACACCACGGAGGCGGTCTTGAAACAAGAAGCAAACACTGTAATGATTATTTGTGCTTTGAGTGGGTTTTCATTTGCACTCATAACAAAACATAACAATATCCGAATCGAATTGGTTCAAAAGCTGAATCACATCCCGTTAGTCACCCCACACAACAAGGAAGTGGGTTGCTGAAGACCAATTCGTATCCGGGATCTGCCAGGGCGCTGTTCTAGTTCCTTGACAATATTCTTATGAAATTGTTTTGATTCTTGTGCATTCAGTAACTAAGGTTAAAGAGACAATACATTTCAGTCAATATGTAAATATAAATACAGATCATCCGTAATTTTACAATTCTGCTGAATTGAGATATTGAGGTAGAATTATACATCTTTGAAAAAACTAATTTCTTAGGGAACACCACCCTCAATTACCCACTATATAATCTCTCTGTGAGAGAGTGACGTTTCGTGAAAACAAATTTCTATGGGAACACCACCCTCAATTACCCACTATATAATCTCTCTGTAAGAGAGTGACGTTTCGTGAAAACGCCGCTTTTAGCAATATATTCCAGCAAAATCACGGCCGGGGACACCAGAAATGGGCTTCACACAATGTACCCATGTGGGGAATCGAACCCGGGTCTTCGGCGTGACGAGTGACGCTTTAACCACTAGGCCACCCCGCCGCCACAATCTCTCTGTAATACAAAGTATAAAAAGTATAATACACAGGCAAAAATAGGAATGAGGATCCAGGAAGCTGAAAGTATTGTATTCCATGTAAACTTCATGTTATTCATAATATAATAAAAAAAGCAAGGGGCGGTGGGATAGCCTAATGGTTAAAGCGTCCGCTCGTCACGCCGAAAACCCGTGTTCGATTCCCCACATGGGTACAATGCATGAAGCCCATTTCTGGTGTCCCCCGCCGTGATATTGCTGGAATATTGCTAAAAGCGGCGTAAAACCAAACTCACTCACTCAAAAGAAGCAAAGTGATGTTTACCTTTTATTTACAAAATAATTTAAAATAATGTGAAGCCTTCTTTAAAAAGGACATTGTATTTACACTCCTAGGCAATATAAAGCAAACACCTGGAAATGAGATTTGACCAAAATATTAAAAAACGTTTTCAAAACGATTCTAGATGTTAACGGTCGCAAACGTATATTACAATACATTGATACTCGTATCAAATGTATCAACACAAAATATATATAAATTTCACGTTTGTTTCGTTGCTACCACAATCATTGGTCTTCACTAGCTTTCATCCCAGCAAACGACCCGTGACTTGAGGTCCGGGTTAGAATATTGGCCTTCATTAACCCATGTTTGTCGTAAGAGGCGACTAACGGGATCGGGTGGTCAGGCTCGCTGACTTGGTTGACACATGTCATCGGTTCCCAATTGCGCAGATCGATGTTGATCACTGGATTATCTGGTCCAGGCTCGATTATTTACAGACCGCCGCCATATAGCTGGAAAATTGCTGAGTGCGGCGTAAAACCCAACTCACTCACTCACTCATCCCGGCAACTGAGGTCACATCTACTCAGCCCGGTCTCCGGTTTAGAATACGTCCCGCGCACGATACGACCAGTGATCGAAATAATCGTTTTTGTAAAATAAAAATGCAATTTAAGATTCAAAGGTGCGGGCAGGCAACATTTATTGGTCACCTACCCGACTGTCTGGTTGAGTTTGAAAATTATTTCGATCACTGCATACGACGGATGACTGGTACGTTCTGAGCCTCAGAGAGAAAGACTTGGCCTAAACATATATCTGCTTTAGTTTTCCACATCATCCTCTACTGTACTGTTTGTTGTTTAACGCCACACTCAGCAATATGCCAGACATATGGCGGCGGTCTGTAAATAATCGAGTCTGGACCAGACAATCCAGTGATGAACAGCACGAGCAATTTACGCAGTTATGATACGATTCCCATGTGTGTCAACCAAGTCAGCGAGCCTGACCACCCGATCCCGTTAGTCGCCGCTTACGACAAACATGGGTTACTGAAGGCCCGGTTCAATCCGATATTGACAAATATTTTGATATCGTGTCATCGTTCCTTGACGTAAGTTATCGCAATACACTTCCTATCGTGATACACGCATCGCAATAAGTAACAGGTCAGGTTTTCTTGCAACCCTAATATGCAGTGTTGACGCCAGGGTATATGCAGACTTCAAAAAAAAGAAAAAGATAAGCTTTGGTGATTTTGAGAACATTGGACTCAGGAAGCTGTGGCAAAAACAATACAAATATATTATTTGTGTGATTGCAAATAGCTTCAGTGCCAAAACGCGTCAATTTTAACTTTTGTACCTTATTTTAAAAGCACAGGTTTGGAGAAATATTCACCAAAACGTTACCGTGCAAAGCAAAATGCACGCGCAAGTAAGCGGAAAAGCATGCGGCATCGATCACTTTAAAAAGGCAAACGTTGTGTTTAATTTTGTCATTCGTGTTTAGGCCGCCTCCGTGGTGTAGTGGTTAGAGCGTCCGCCCGGAGAGCGGAAGGTCACGGGTTCGATCCCCGACCGCGTCATACCAAAAGACGTTAAAATATGGTACTTGTTGGTCCCTGCTTGGCGCTCGGCATTAATGGGTACAACAAGGACTGGTCGGCTCGGAGTCAGTATACTGTGTCTGAGTGGGGTATTCATGCTTCACTGCGGCATGGTATCTCAGTGAGCTACCACTATAAAACCAGCTCCAGCTTAAGTCTGGGCTAGTACAAGCAGCCGCACATTCACATACACACGCATGCACGACGTCATATGAGCGAAATATTCTCAAGCACGACGTTAAACCCAATTTCACCTCACCTCACCTCATTCGTGTTTACCTGGAAAAAAGGAAATCATCATGCCACGACTGAGTGTCGCCAATCGAAACATCGCCATGGGCCGCCTTGAAGCTGGGGAGTCGCAGTCTGCAGTTGCCCGACATTTCAACGTTCATAGAGCACCTTATCTCGCCTTTGGGATCTCTTCCTGCAGATCAATTCCGCCAAAGATCGCCGGAGAAGCGGCCGTCCAAGAGATACCACCCAAGCTACATCCGGGTTGCTCACTTGCGCCATCGTCTGGTTTGAGAAGAATTTCCGACCAAACTGCCAGGAATCGATTGCAAACCGTCCATTTTGTTTCGACACCCATCCAAAGGTCGCACGTACGGGACCTAACCCTTGCCATGGCCTTCCCGATCGCAAAATCTAATCCCGATAGAACACCGATCGGATGAACTCGATCGACGTGTACGTCAACGTCAAAACACACCTCAGACACTTCCACAACTGGCCATCGCATTGCAGGAAGAGTGGGGAAGAATTCCGCAAGAGCGACTTCGTCGACTTAACCAGACTGTGCCGAGCAGTAATTGCTGCCAATTGTGGCCATAAAAAGTCCTGACTTTAACGTCACCTTGTGGAATCAAGTGAACAAACACATAACAAAAAAGGCTGCTGTTGTGTTGACGAACTCTTTGTGTACAGACGTGTGAACTTTCATATTTTTACCATTGAAATTGCATGAAATAATTTGCTCTTAAACTAACGCCGTAAATTCTTCTTACAATGGCTTATTCGTTTCTTTTTTTAGTAGAGTGTATACAATACCAATGTATACTGATGTACAAAGCACACACCTGGTGTTTTGAGACTATTAAAACAACGTAAATATTTTGCTAGCAATGTTCCATTTGGGTACGATATCTATGGTGTTATAGCAAAGCGTACACAATGTTTGTGACTTATGAGTCGCAATCAAACACTTTTCTAAATATTACGCTGTTTTCAGGAAAACATTTTACCAAAGCATCAGGTGTGTACTTTCTTTTGTACGTCAGTTTATATATTATAGAGGATGTATAAAACTCTCCCTCTCCCCCCCCCTTCCCCTCCCTCTCCCTCTCCCCCTGAGAGAAACTACAGATTCACATTACTATCGTGCACGGAACTTGTGTGTCTAAATGTAGCACAACACGATCTTTATTTCCGAAATAGTTAGATTTCCTGACACCTCCTTGTAAATTGTCAGCCGTGTGGCTCTCTAAGGACACCATTGTTATGACGCATAGCTTGACCAACGTGACGTGCGTTACTGAAGGATCTGCAATCCCTTTGTCTCACTATAATAGATTAACAACAAACAAAACAACAAAGCACACACACACACACACACACACACACACACACACACACACGCACGCACACACACACACACGCACGCACACACACACACACACACACTGTCAAGCTAATCACAATGTAATGACACTAATAACCAAAGTACATAATATAATAATCCCCCGTGCCACATCATTGAAATCAGTATTACAATTTTGGAGGAAGATTTAGAAGTTTTATAAAGTTATGGTACACATGACTGAAGTTCTATTAGTAATGTAATACATGATTTTGAAACGACAGAAATTCATAACATTCATTTAAAAAGTGTGATGGACCCGACTGAATGGCCAGAGCTTTCTCTTGATTCATACTGAAAGGAAGAGGTTCGAAAGAGAAGCCGCAAATCTTGCTGGATATTTTTACAATTTTGTCAATTCTGTTATGTCGCTGCGTGCCCTTGGGTTACAGTCTGGCACGAATGAGAGGCACGGCAATGGAGCAGATAGCTGTTCCAGGAAACGGCGGTTACGAGAAATGTGGCTGAAGAGAACGGCGGTTGGGAGATACATGGTTAAATGGTATGGTGATTGGGATAAGTGTGGTTGACGGCAACGGCGAATAGGAGAGATAGGGTTGGAGGGAATGGTAGTTGGTGGTGTAGTGGTTGAAGGGGATAGCTTTTGGGAGTTATGTGGTTGGAGAAGACGTGCGTTGGGAAAGATGTGGTTGGAGAAGACGTTGGTTGGGAAAGATGTGGTTTGAGAAGACGTTGGTTGGGAGATATTTGGTCGAAGAAGACGTTGATTGGGAGAGATGTGGTTGGAGAAGACGTTGGTTGGGATAAATGTGGTTGGAGAAGGCGTTGGTTGGGAGAGATGTGGTTGGAGAAGGCGGTGGTTGGGAGAGATGTGGTTGGAGAAGGCGGTGGTTGGGAGAGATGTGGATGGAGAAGATGTTGGTTGGGATAAATGTGGATGGAGAAGACGTTGGTTGGGAGAGATGTGGTTGGAGAAGGCGTTGGTTGGGATAAATGTGGTTGGAGAAGACGTGGGTTGGGAAAGATGTGGTTTGAGAAGACGTTGGTTGGGAGATATTTGGTCGAAGAAGACGTTGGTTGGGATAAATGTGGACGAAAAAGACGTTGGTTGGGAAAGATGTGGTTTGAGAAGACGTTGGTTGGGAGATATTTGGTCGAAGAAGACGTTGATTGGGATAAATGTGGTTGGAAAAGACGTTGGTTGGAATATATGTGGTTGGAGAAGGCGGTGGTTGGGATAAATGTGGTTGGAGAAGGCGTTGGTTGGGAGAGATGTGGTTGGAGAAGGCGGTGGTTGGGAGAGATGTGGTTGGAGAAGGCGGTGGTTGGGAGAGATGTGGTTGGAGAAGACGTTGGTTGGGATAAATGTGGTGGAGAAGACGTTAGTTGGGAGAGATGCGGTTGGAGAAGACGTTGATTGGGAGAGATGTGGTTGGAAAAGACGTTGGTTGGGATTAATGTGGTTGGACAAGATGTTGGTTGGGATATAAATGTTTGGAGAAGGCGTTGGTTGGGATAGATGTGGTTGGAGAAGGCGTTGGTTGGGAGAGGTGTGGTTGGAGAAGGCTGTGGTTGGGATAAATGTGGTTGGAGAAGATGTTGGTTGGGATAAATGTGGTTGGAGAAGATGGTGGTTGGGAAAGATGTGGTTGGAGAAGATGGTGGTTGGGAGAGATGTGGTTGGAGAAGATGGTGGTTGGGAGAGATGTGGTGGAGAAGACGGTGGTTGGGAGAGATGTGGTTGGAGAAGATGGTGGTTGGGAGAGATGTGGTTTGAGAAGATGGTGGTTGGGAGAGATGTGGTGGAGAAGATGGTGGTTGGGAGAGATGTGGTTGGAGAAGACGTTGATTGGGAGAGATGTAATTGGTGAAGACGTTGGTTGGGATAAATGTGGTTGGAGAAGATGGTGGTTGGGATAAATGTGGTGGAGAAGACGTTGGCATGTATAAATGTGGTGGAGAAGACGTTGGCATGTATAAATGTGGTGGAGAAGACGTTGGTTGGGATAAATGTGGTTGAAGAAGACGGTGGTTGGGAGAGATGTGGTTGGAGAAGACGGTGGTGGTATAAATGTGGATGAAGAAGACGTTGGTTGGGAAAGATGTGGTTGGAGAAGCCGTTGGTTGGGAGATATTTTGTCGAAGAAGACGTTGATTGGGAGAGATCTGTTTGGAGAAGACGTTGTTTGGGATAAATGTGGATGAAGAAGACGTTGGTTGGGAGAGATGTGGTTGGAGAAGACGTTGGTTGGGATAAATGTGGTTGGAGAAGACGTTGGTTCGGATGATCGTGGTTGAAAAAGACGGTGGTTGGGAGAGATGTGGTTGGAGAAGGCGTTGGTTGGGAGAGATGTGGTTGGAGAAGGCGGTGGTTGGGAGAGATGTGGTTGGAGAAGACGTTGGTTGGGATAAATGTGGATGAAGAAGACGTTGGTTGGGAGAGATGTGGTTGGAGAAGACGTTGGTTGGGATAAATGTGGTTGGAGAAGACGTTGGTTCGGATGATCGTGGTTGAGGAAGACGGTGGTTAGGATGAATTTGATTGAAGAAGACGGTCGTTGGGAGAGCCATTGTGAAATATGACGACGGTTAAGAGAAATGTGGTTGAAGGGAACGACAGTTTGAATGGAGCGGGGATGGGGAGAGTTGTCGTTGAAGGGAACGGCAATTGGGAGAGATGTGGTTAAAGGTAACGGCGGTTGGGAGAGATATGGGACCAAACGGAATTGATCAGAATGGAGGTGGGAACAAAACTGAGTGGGAACAGACGGTGTTGATAGGAACAAGGGTGGGGACAGGGGATAAAAGGGAGCAGTAATGGGGTAAGATAGGAACTAGCAGGACTAGTAAGGCTCAGGGTAGAGAAAGGTTTTGGTAGAGTTTTGGACGCTGCCGGGAATGTCGGCTGACAGAGCGCACAAGGCGGGGAACACCAGAATCTTTTCAGACAGGGGTTGAAAACCGAACTTGATGTTTGAATCAAATATATTCATACAACCATCGTATTTTACAGAAACCATCAATTTACACTGATTTTTCACTTCGTTTACATATCAGATCACAGGATTGGTTATTAATTAAAACATTTAATCAATGCTTTTGTAATAACATTTGCAGCGGGTTGTATAATGTGTATATAGTTTGCCAGCATGTAGGTAGATACATGCTATCAGTAGTCATGGCATGAGATCAAGCTCTGAAAAGCAAAGCTTTAACAATGAGAAATATGTCATCCTCCGTGTTTTAATCGCAGAATATGTGATCTTCTAATGCATGGCTAAATGGAGTACAATCGCAAACGTCTGAAGGGATAGTGTAAATCCAGCTTGGGTCCTTGCAGGAAGCAAACGTTCTGTAAGTCCCCATGATGCCTGGCAAGGTGATCTACCTTCAGTTGCTGGCGATCAGTATCCCCCGTTTTCTATATTGCATTGTTACATAGGATAGTAGTTAATTTTAAATCTCTGTTATGTGATAATCTAGTTATTTTACTGTCCTTTGTTGACAGGTTTTAATTTGAAATGTATTATTTTAAAATATCGCCTTACTGTATAACTTGATCAAGTCGCAATATGGCTGAAATTTACCAACGTGACTAAAATTTAACTCACTCACTCACTTTCACACTGAGAAACAACTTTGCGAATTCTCCAGAGTCGCTTTTGTCAATAAACAAAATATTTACATCTCAATTAGTCAACAATCTCAGTCGGGTTAGTCTGTTTGTCCAAAATTGAGTCATTAACGGAAGTACGAACGGAAGCGACGCTTGCAATGATAAGCGACGGGGGCCAGGCAGCAACGCAATGTATCGAGGATCAACTGTCTCCTGTTTTCACGGATAGGGACAGGGGGTTCATGACAAGCAACGCCAAGATACATCCTCCTCAGAAGCTGGCGAAAGACACAGACCTACGACAAATATTCTGTGTGAATCGTTTGTGTGAAGATGAGAAGCATTCTCGGTTCATTCACATTACTTGTATTCATTCACTGGACGCTGGTCTCATCTCAGTGTGAGTAGAACCTATTTCAATAATTTATTAAGGTATGCACATATATACTGGGGTTTAAGTGAAGGGTCTCCTTGCTAAGTGTGGGTCGGTCTCTCTCTCTCTCTCTCTCTCTCTCTCTCTCTCTCTCTCTCTCTCTCTCTCTCTCTCTCTCTCTCTCTCTCTCTCTCTCTCTCTCTCTCTCTCTCTCTCTCTCTCTCTCCAGTTCAAGTGTATGTATATTCATTTAATTTAATTATTAATTTTTTTAATTTAATCAAGTTAATTCTTCTGGTGTATAAACATTACATGGAAATAAAATAGAGTCCAGGCATTTGTGCTGGTCAAAACTCCTTTTTATAAACCTCATGTGAATTTCTTTAAGTGGCATTTAGAATCTACCTTGGATGATGAACAGGAATAAATTATTAATTGACCATGTCTTGTGAGGTAATTGTTATTGTGTGCGAAATTACTTCATATCAAGTGAAGGCTTGTTTGGAAATTTTACGTCCAGAAAAATATCCGGGAATTAGAAAGGAATACATGATTATAATGTCCGATGGAATTCTCAGGCTTATTTGTAGTCCACATAACGTACAAATAGACCATGGACCCTATCCTCAAAACGTTTGTAGCAATATGCCATTCATAAGCCTATGGTAAAGTATAGAGTTGCGATAGGTCGTAACGTTACAAATGCTTTGTGGATTGGGCCCCAGAAACCGTACAAGAAATAACGAAACACCTCGAATTAGCAATTATCAACTGTTACAATGATATTTTTTTCAGATACATTACAAATTGAAGTTTAGTGTAATGTGCACCTTGTCTCGGCTGTTAGTTTCATCAGCGGGAACAAAGACATTGTAGACGAAGACATTTTTGACGTACGGAGCTCTCATGGTCTTCGCTTTTTACAATGTCGGAAACGGATGTATTTTGTCTTTCTGGTGAGCTCTTGTAGGTTCGAACCCTTTCACTTCTGAGTCCTGAAACAGTAACTCTTAACTAAGAACTGTTAGTGTATACACGAACACTTTAATTTACAAACCGCCTGCGTGGTGTAAACTATGTGGTTACACTCTTTTGCTATCAATTGAAGATGTCCGCCCGGAGTAGCTATGTTATAAATCGCGGGTTCGATTAACTTCGACAGAATGAAATTACAATACTCCCGTCGATTAAAATGTGAGTACTTGTTTAGTCCCTGCCGCACTCAGCAATATTCGGCATTAATGGCGGCGGTCAAGGAATCGAGTCTGGCTCAGAGTCAGTATACTGTGTCATGAGTGGGGATTCATGCTTCACTGGGACATGTGTTAACCAAGCCAGCGAGCCTAACTACCCGATCCCCTTAGTCGCCTATTACAACAAGCATGGGTCACTGAAGATCAATTTTAACCGGGACCTTCACGGGTCAAAAGTGTTAAGAACAAAAACCCACCAGTTACACGTATAATGCTTCCCACTTAACCGTATTCGTCCCTCCAGAACTACACAGAGATAATTTCTTGTATTTTGCATTGCTTTTAAAGGTATATATAAGCTTTAAATACGTTCAATGAATTTCTAGAATAATCCAACACAATGAAATTATAACGTTACCCCAAAAATGAATGTCATTTTCATTTCACTCGTTAATCCGACAATGACGTTAACCTGACAAACCAATGGAACCATTCAAAATAGTGATTATTTGTATAACGTATGCCTATAAAACAAATACACTAATATTCTAAATACAGACTTTGATTATCACTAAGACCAGAGACCATATAATAGATAATACTTCAGCTCATGCTTGTCGTGAGGGGCGACTAACGGGATCGGGTGTTCAGGCTTGCTGACTTGGTTGACACATGTCATCGTATCCCAATTGCATAGATAGATGTTCATACTTTTGATCACTGGATTGTATGGTCAAGACACGATTACATTACAGACCGCCGCCAATTTGTTTTGTCTTACCACTAAGCCTTATATTTCTAGAAGAAACACTTTCGATTTCTCACGCAACCTTGGGGGATAATTTACGAAGCTTAATTTACCGCCTGGATTAGTCTTCCATACGTTTTCAGAGTAAAGGAAACACATTTGTCCAGTGTGATTCCCATGCAATCCTGTAATCTGTGGGGACGTCATTAACCACAGACTCCTGTGCTCCTTAGTTAAAGCCAACGCTAGTCATAGCTGAAGACAATGGTTCGATTCAATACATGGGCCCCATTTCCCGTGACTCTTGCCGTTATATTGCGGGAATATTGCGAAAACGTGGCGTAAAACCATACTTACTCACTTCTTCCCTTCAAGCAAAGCAAAATAAAACCCCGTGAAAGAGACATTTGAGAGAAATATTTGAAATTCATAACAAATTCGCACGTGTATTTTTTAATAAACAAGGAAGAGAACGCAACTTGTCACACCTACCATACACATGCATGTTAAATTTACAACAATTGTTTACAAAGTTTTAGAAAAATTAGAAACACGCACAAACATAACGTTTTAACAACTTAATTGTTAATTTTATTAATTGAGAAATTTTAAAATATTAATCACATGAACACTTTACTTGCCAAAAAAGAGAAGAATCCAACAAATCTCTTGGTCTGTCTTCTCTTACAAAGTTCTCCTTCTCCTGGAGAGATTTTGACCGTGTGATTAACACTTCCGGCCCCGTGTCCATCACTCCATCTTATTTCATCACGACAACGTCGGACTTCCCCATCACTGAACACATTCCAGATACACCCATTAATTTTAAATTTCAACTTGATTACAATGCTCCAGCTATACCGGACACAGCCAATGATGAGGCATGGAGCTTGTAAAGCCAAAAACTGGCATCAAAGTATATAGTCACCGCCACTGAAACTCTCATCACTATATAAACGGTATTGGATGCAACGAGGTCAACACACCAAGTTCGCTTCAAGACGAATTTAACAATGCTGTCTGTATATACCTCTATAAAACAATACACGCACTTCAAGACAATAGAATATTTCCCTTAAAACTGAGACATAGCTTTCCCTTAAAACTGAGACATAGCTTTCCCTTAAAACTGAGACATAGACACATTAACGAAGCCGTACTGTGGGAGCTAGGGTCTTTGGAAGCTCGAAAAATCGAGATGTTTTGATTCGGAGCCAAAATCTCTGCTTTGAATTTGTATCGCCAACTCACCGAATTTCTTGTTTATTGCATCGTGTACTCAAACGACATGCATTAAAACGCGTTCAATTGATGACACCTGTCATCGCGCCAATAGACATTCTTTCCGAAACACTTACACCAAATTGTCATAATGAGTTTAGATACATTTATTCATAGCAATCAGGCCTGGGTCATGCCTGATCATCATTGACCACCATGGCCATGACCGATCCCGCACTGAAAAGAGACAGCGATCTGAGTTTCCATAAATACAATATGTCCCATCAGATAGCAGTCGACTATTTTTGCAAACATGACTTAATTCTTATAATTTCCTTTCATTGCAGCTTAAGAAACTCCGATGAAGGAGTAAAGATATGCTCCGAAACCTTGCGCTCCTCATAGTAAAGAAGTTGACATCAATAAAACTGTCTTCCTTCTGTGTATCACTTCTTCCTACCATTTAAAGACCCGAATCATAGAACGATTTTCGTCAGTTTCTCACTGTAACAAAAACATAATTAAGAGCAAAATTAATGATCACAATATTGTATGTTTGACGCACCTATTTCAGCATGCCCGTCAGTGAAACGAGACCTTGTCATCCTGCTGGACAGTTCAGGCAGCTTGACCAAGGAGGAATTCCATGAGGCAACGGAGTTTCTGGCAAGCTTCATCGATGACCTTGAAGTCAGTGCCGAGGCCTACCAGATTGCTGTCGTTCGTTTCTCAGATAACACACGTCGAGAAGCAAAGTTGGGCCAGTTCAATGAAAGGAAGGAGGATCTGATGTCAAAGGTGGTGAAGATCTACCACAATGGCGGAGGGACAAACACATCCAAGGCTCTGAATTACGCTCTGACGAAGATCCTCACCAAGGGAAACAGGAAGGACGCGTCGGATCAGATTCTGACTCTAACGGACGGCGAATCTGACGACATGAAAGCCACAGCTCGAATGATAGAAGTTGCGCATAGAAAGCAGGTGGAGATGATCTCGATTGGGGTGGGAGCGGGCGTGAACGACATAGAACTCCGAAACCTAGCGTCAAGGTCAGAGCTTATGTTCAAGGTCAAAAGTTACGCCGAATTGAGCAATATCAAGAGTCAACTTGTCGCCTCTTCATGCGGACGTAAGTATCACCCTAATATATGTTAAATTTGGGATAACACTTTCTGAGTGGGTTAGATTGTTGACTTTGTGTGCTTGTTCTTATGTACATCACTCTGAGTGTGTATGTTCGAATCCTGGAGGGACCCAACCACAACAAAATGTACCGGAATTTGTTACGATACATTTGACCACTTTCTAAAAGGCATTGTGTATTCTAAAATCTAACTGTCGTGTCATTACGTTTTATAGGTATTTGTTCTCTAAGGCGACTAACTGGATTGTAATTTTAAGCGATTATTGACAGACCGCCGCCATTTCGTTGAATGCGGCGTTAAACCACAAGAAACAAATCTTTGACGTGTCTGAAGCAGACAAACACGTGATTTTATCAAGAGGATGGTTCCATGCAGGCTGGTATGTTGACGTGCATCAACCATAAGCGTGCCGATTCTTCAATATTTCAGCAATATGACGGCGTGGGACAGAAATGGGCTTTACACATTTAACCCCTGTGGGGAATCGAACCCCGGCAGATTTCCTCTTATAATATAAAAATTTGAGTTTTACAAGTCATCACAGAAAACCTACTGAAATATGAAAGAACAATCATAAACTGTTACACACTATTTGATTTCAAATTGATAATTCATGAAACTATCGTTTACAGTGACGATGACAGTTCCAACAACCACTTCAACTACAACCACAACAACGACGACTCCAACGACAACAACCACGTCACCTACAACAACGACCACAGCTACATCCACGATAACCCCGCCTACAACAACAACAGCGACAAATCCAACAACGACCTCTACAACATGGGAAACGACAACGTCATTGGCCACAGACACACCAACTCTCAACTCAACATCGACGACGAACATGTCGCTTCCTTACTCTAACTCAACAAATGACGAGGCCTCCCGAGACGCCAACTACTACAACCACGAGGTCATCAACCACGGCTTGAGAGAGAAGCGTAATATGGTAGAATCGGCATCGGCGCATTGGCAGAAGGTGATGGGGACGTCTGTGGCGGTGTTCGCGCTCACTGCGATCATCTCAGGAATGATCGCGATAATCGTAAAAAATCGGAGGAGAAAACGCAAAAAACACACTCTCGACACACTTTGAACATAGCGATCTTCTAACGTCATTTTCTTCTATATTTTGCGTACAACTTATTAAAACCTAATGCCATTGAAAAATATATGTCCAAAGTATTTGTAACATGACTATTATCATTATTATCATTAAAGTTCCCATAATTCATTTTCTCAAAGCTTTGTTTGAATTACCCTCGAAGGTTCGGGTTAGAATGAACCTTCAATAACCCATGCTTGTCGGAAGAGGCGACTAACGGGATCGGGTGGTAAAGGTTCGCTGGCTTGGTTGACACATGTCATCGGTTCCTAATTGCGCAGATCGGTGCTCATGCTGTTGATCACTGGAATGTCTGGTCCAGACTCGATTATTTACAGACCGCCACCATATAGCTGGAATATTGTTGAGTGCGGCATAAAACTAAACTCACTCACTCACTCACTTTGTTTGAATCTGTGCATGTCGCTCTGAAGAAACAGCATGGGTGTCACGTTGTCACGTGGTTCTGTGTAAACGACACTAACGTCACCTGTTTCGGTGTAAGCATCATAAATTACCCCACACTCCGGCCCAGTGATGACTTTGCATAACATCACTGCCACAGGCTAATTTGTGTATCACGTGACCGGACTTTTCGCTTGTTTGTAAACAAATGTGCATATTCGTTAGTAAGAGACAGTTCTAACGTAAGCTCTTCGGTGCGATCTTCATAATGTTTTACATAGATATTCTTCTACAACAGCTACAATAAGGATTATGACAATACATTTTTATACATCAAAGTGGCTGCATCGTTTGCTCTCCGATGGGCTTCGATGATGTGGAGCCTTACATGCCATGTAAACAAAGGATCGCTACTCAAATCGAAATAGTGTTGCACGTTTTAGGATATTTTCTCATAACATCTTTCTGGCCTTTGACAGAGGTACTATGCTGGCCGCATGGAACTCTTGGTAAGAGATTGAAATTTCCTGTGATTCTGTGAAAGCAACAGGGACGTCACATTGTTCTGTGTAAGGAACAGGGACGTCACATTGTGCAGTGTAAGCAGCATGACGTCACATTGTTCTGTGTATGTAACGGGGCCGTCTCATTGTTCTTTGTAAGGAACAGGGACGTCACACTAATAGGTTGTACCTATTAATGCCGAGTTCCAGGCAGGGACCAACAAGTACCATATTTTAACGTCTTTTGGTATGACGTGGTCGGGGATCGGACCCGCGACCTTCCGCTGTCCGGGCGGACGCTCTAACCATTACACCACGGAGACGGTCTTGTGCTATGTTAGCAACAGGGACGTCACATTGTTCTGGTAAGCAGCACGTCGTCACATTGTTCTGTGTAAGCAACGGGGACGTCACATTGTTCTGTGTAAGCAGCATGACGTCACAATGTTCTGTGTAAGGAACAGGGTTGTCACATTGTTCTGTGTAAGCAACAGGGTCGTCACATTGTTCTGTGTAAGCAACAGGGACGCCACATAGTTCTGTGTAAGCAACAGGGACGTCACATTGTTCTGTGTAAGCAGCATGACGTCACATTGTTCTGTGTAAGCAACAGGGACGTCACATTGTTCTGTGTAAGCAACAGGGTTGTCACATTGTTCTGTGTAAGCAAAAGGGACGTCACATTTTTCTGTGTAAGCAGCATGACGTCACATTGTTCTGTGTAAGCAACAGGGTCGTCACATTGTTCTGTGTAAGCAACAGGGTCGTCACATTGTTCTGTGTGAAGCAACAAGGTCGTCACATTGTTCTGTGTAAGCAACAGGGACGTCACATTGTTCTGTGTAAGCAGTATGACGTCACATTGTTCTGTGTAAACAGTATGACGTCACATTGTTCTATTTAAGCAACAGGTCGTCATATTGTTCTGTGTAAGCAACATGGTCGTCACATTGTTCTGTGTAAGCAACAGGGACGTCATATTGTTCTGTGTAAGCAACAGGGTCGTCACATTGTTCTGTGTAAGAAACAGGGTCGTCACATTGTTCTGTGTAAGGAACGGGGACGTCATATTGTTCTGTGTAAGCAACAGGTTCGTCACATCGTTCTGTGTCAGCAACAGGGTCGTCACATTGTTCTGTGTAAGCAGCATGACGCCACATTGTTCTGTGTAAGCAGCAGGGACGTCACATTGTTCTGTGTAAGCAACAGGGACATCACATTGATCTATGTAAGGAACACGGACGTCACATTGTTCTGTGTAAGCAGCATGACGCCACATTGTTCTGTGTAAGCAACGGGGACGTCACATTGTTCTGGTAAGCAGCACGACGTCACATTGTTCTGTGTAAGCAGCATGACGTCACAATGTTCTGTGTAAGCAGCATGACGCCACATTGTTCTGTGTAAGCAACCACGACGTGTAAGCAGTATGACGTCACATTGTTCTGTGTAAGCAACAGGGTCGTCATATTGTTCTATGTAAGCAACCGGGTCGTCACATTGTCCTGTGTAAGCAACAGGGACGCCACATTGATCTGTGTAAGCATAATGATGCCACATTGTTCTGTGTAAGCAACAGGGACGCCACATTGTTCTGTGTAAGCAACAGAGACGTCACATTGTTCTGTGTAAGCAGCATGACGTCACATTGTTCTGTGTAAGCAGCATGACGCCACATTGTTCTGTGTAAGCAACGGGGACATCACATTGTTCTGGTAAGCAGCACGACGTCACATTGTTCTGTGTAAGCAGCATGACGTCACAATGTTCTGTGTAAGCAGCATGACGCCACATTGTTCTGTGTAAGCAACCACGACGTCACATTGTTCTGTGTAAGCAACGGGGTTGTCACATTGTTCTGTGTAAGCAGCATGACGCCACATTGTTCTGTGTAAGCAACCACGACGTCACATTGTTCTGTGTAAGCAACGGGGTCGTCACATTGTTCTGTGTGAGCAGCATGACGTCACATTGTTCTGTGTAAGCAACAGGGACGTCACATTGTTCTGTGTAAGCAGCATGACGTCACATTGTTCTGTGTAAGCAGCATGACGCCACATTGGTTCTGTGTAAGCAACAGGGACGTCACATTGTTCTGGTAAGCAGCACGACGTCACATTGTTCTGTGTGAGCAACAGGGTCGTCACATTGTTCTGTGTAAGCAGCATGACGTCACAATGTTCTGTGTAAGCAGCATGACGCCACATTGTTCTGTGTAAGCAACCACGACGTCACATTGTTCTGTGTAAGCAACGGGGTCGTCACATTGTTCTGTGTAAGCAGTATGACGCCACATTGTTCTGTGTAAGCAACCACGACGTCACATTGTTCTGTGTAAGCAACAGGGTCGTCACATTGTTCTGTGTGAGCAGCATGACGTCACATTGTTCTGTGTAAGCAACAGGGACGTCACATTGTTCTGTGTAAGCAGCATGACGTCACAATGTTCTGTGTAAGGAACAGGGTTGTCACATTGTTCTGTGTAAGCAACAGGGTCGTCAGATTGTTCTGTGTGAGCAACGGGGACGTCACATTGTTCTGTGTAAGCAACAGGGACGTCAGATTGTTCTGTGTAAGCAACAGGGACGTCACATTGTTCTGTGTAAGCAACCACAACGTCACATCGTTCTGTGTAAGCAGTATGACGTCACGGTGTTCTGTGTAAGCAGCATGACGTCTCATTGCTCTGTGTAAGCAACAGGGACTCCACATTGTTCTGTGTAAGCAACGGGGACGCCACATTGTTCTGTGTAAGCAACAGGGACGTCACATTGTTCTGTGTAAGCAGCATGACGTCACAATGTTCTATGTAAGCAACTGGGACGTCAGATTGTTCTGTGTAAGCAACTAGGACGTCATATTGTTCTGTGTAAGCAACAGGGAGGTTACATTGTTCTGTGTAAAAAGCAGGGACGTCAGATTGTTCTGTGTAAGCAACAGGGACGTCACATAGTTCTGTGTAAGCAAACACGACGTCACATTGTTCTGTGTAAGGAGGATGACGTCACGGTGTTCTGTGTAAGCAGCATGACGTCTCATTGCTCTGTGTAAGCAACAGGGACTCCACATTGTTCTGTGAAAGCAGCAAGGACGCCACATGGGTTTTTGAAAGCGATTGGGCGTCACTTGTTTCTGTGAAAGAAAACATATGGACGTCACGTTGCTGTAAAAGACACAAGAATCAGTCGTGGTTCTTGATAGGCAAGATTCGCTCCACATGGATAAATGAGTGAGTGCGTTGGGTTTGACGCCGTTTAGCAATATTCCACCGATATCACGGCGGGGCGTGGTTATTTGAGTGAGTGAGGGTAGTTTTACGCAGCTTTTAGCAATATCCCAGCAATATCACGGTGGGGGAATACCAGAAATGGGCTTCACACATTGTATCCATGTGGGGAATCGAACCCGGGTCTGCGAACGGCGTGACGAGCGAACGCTTTAACCACTAGGCTACCACAACCGCCCCTGGTTATTTGGATGAAACTAGGATGACAACATGCAGAAATGTTTACGTTCGCTTTCCCTTTCCACATCTTTACTATGTTTGTTGATAGGGTGGACAGGTTTGATGGTTCCTGCTTGGAACCATGCTCATGATGTCAATCACTGGATTATCTGGTCCAGACTCGTATATTTAGCGACCGCCATCTTATAGCTGTTCCAACTGAAAGATTCACCATCAGGGAGTCTGACCACCCGATCCCGTTAGTCGCCTCTTACGACAAGCATGGGTTACTGAAGACCAATTCTAATCCGGATCTTCACGAATGGCTGCTCTATAAGGGCTCGATAACAGAATAAAATTTTGTGGTGAGAGTAGTTGAATTTAACTTTATACGAAATATTGTATCACTCAACACTTCAAAACACAATAGACCCGTGAAGATCCGGCGTAGAATAGGTCTTCAGCAACCCATGCTTGCCACAAAAGGCGACTATGCTTGTCGTAAGAGGCGACTAACGGGATCGGGTGGTCAGCCTCGCTGACTTGGTTGACACAATTCATCGGTTCCTAATTGCGCAGATCGATGTGCTCATGCTGTTGATCACTGGATTGTCTGGTCCAGACTCGATTATTTAGACCGCCGCCATATAGCTGGAATATTGCTAGTGCGGCGTAAAACTAAACTCACTCACTCACTCACTCAAAACACAATGCACAGTCACTGAAAGGGAGCCATACCTTTCTTTGGGGCATTACTTTTTAGACCATCCAGCATGTCAAGAGAACGATCTCTTATCAGGAGACAAACAGGTTGTAAGTATGTCATAAGGTAGTGGCCCTCTATCAGTTGAGGTGAAGCCAACTGGAGAAGTTCACATACATACTGGATACCAAACTACCTCCCAATATGCCACAGTTGGAGACAGTCTCGCTGTGGATCCTTCTATTATTCGTGCTAGCCCAAGTTGACGATGCCGTACAGGTAAATGCACTATGTTGACTTCACTGCGTTAAAAAGCACACGGACCCATGACGATCTGGGTCGGAGTTACTGGTCTTCACCAACCCGTGCTTGTCGAAAGGGCGACTAACGGGAACGGGTGATAAGGCTCGCTGACATTGATGATACATGTCACCGTGTCCCATTGGCGTAAATCGATGTTCATTATGTCAATCACTGTATTGTCTGGTCCAGACTCGATTATTTACAGACCGCCGCCATAGAGCTATAAAGATTAATTTCGTGTTAGTCGTATGCTGTATGCTTGTTTAAGGTAACTATTCACTAGTATATATGTGACTGTTCAAGTACCAATGTCTGGCTTCGAACCTAGAGACTTCTTGTAGTTTGTCAAAGTTTAAATAACTAAGTTACCCAACCGCCCTTCTTGCACAAAGGAAGAAAGAAAGCCATGGAATATACACTGTATATTCTAAATATATGCCTATTTACCGTTAAATATACACTGCATTGGTCTTTAAATGTGCACTGTATTAGACTTTAAATAAACACTGTATTAGCCCTTAAGTCTTAGATGCAACCAAAACAATAAACATAATTAAAACACAGTTATCATTTTTGCATGACATATAATATACATTGCTGATTTTGAAAAAACAAATAAACAAAATTATAAGCGTACAATCGCAAATCAAAAGTGCAATATTTTGTACTTGGGTTTACTTCCCTCGAAATGAAGCACCCGAGATACCGAACCCAGTCAGAGCCGGTGGACGTGCACTTAAGTGTGCATTGGCTGGTTCATTTGGCGATACACTCAGGGCTCTTTGTGTTCGTATAGAGATGTTGGGGTTTGTAAATACATGCTCTTTTGTTGTGCATAACATTTTGAAATCAACAGACATCATAACATGTCATGTGCACAAGTATCACACCTGTCCGTCTGTGTAATTACATAATGTGACAGAGACAGAACTCGGTGCACGAGCCACAAATCAATGTGTTTTGTTTTTGGTGTATAGCCTGATAGGTGAAGAATGAGGACTATTTTTTTTATGGATATACAACTTCTTTATTCTGTATAGGCGACGTTTCGACATAGTTTCTAATGTCGTTGTCAAGCAAGTGGTGACAACGACATTAGAATCTATGTCGTAACGTCGCCTATACAGATTGAAGAAGTCGAATATCCATAAATAATAATCCTCATTCTTCATCTACCCAACTTCTAGAATACCAAAGTAGCCTGATAGGTGTTAAGTACAAATTGCATGTGGTCAGTGATCGAAGTTGTGTAGTGCATATTGGCATTATTGCATATTGGCAGGAAGACACATAGGTGTCAATAAAACAGACATTGAGTTTTGTCTGTGACAGAGGCATATCTATATCACAGTCAGAAATTCTGACAATGCTAAATAATGACGTTGCTTTTAAGTATCGAACTGAGAAAGTGACTCGGTAAGAAGAACGTGTGGTGAAATATTCAAATGAAATTATATTAACAGTTAAATCGGTAATCTACTGTGATAACAAATAAAAAGCTAGTGCCTGTGAAATATCAACAAAATATTAGAAAAATAGCTCACATCAAAGCCTACTCCGAGTACTCACCGCCAGCGAAGGTTTTCTGTCTTGAACTGTCGAACGCCTCACTGGTTGACACATAGTTGTGTAGATCTAGATCCTTAACAAGGTTCTTTTGTGTAACGAGTAGATTATTTACTATTTGTTGTTTGTGTACACAACCAAGATTAGACTACTCCTGCTCACGACCTTATAATTATGGCATCCCGCTTCAAGCTGCGCTAATCTATTTACTGCGCATGCGCTATGAGCGCAGGGCAGCACAGCTGTTGAAACCACTTTTCACCCAAGTTGGAGCGAATTTAGTGAATCGTTTGAACTCCGATTTCGCGGGGTTTTTTCATCGCGTGATTTTTCAACTGTATAAGTGCATTTTTCATAATTTGTATCAGAATCTGCAAAGTTTTGTTTTGCGTTGCACGTGACATTTAAATATACACTGTGTTAGCATTTACATATACACTGTATCCGCCTATACATATACAGTGTATTCGCCTTTATATATTCACAGTATTCGTCTTTAAATATACACTGTATTTCACCTTTAAATATACACTGCATTAGTCTTTACATATACACTGCATTAGCCGTTAAATATAAACTGTCTTAGTCCTTACATATACACAGCATTAGCCGTTAAATATACACTGTATTCGCCTATAAATATACAGTGCATTCGCCTTTAAATATTTACAGTATTCGTCTTTAAATATACACTGCATTAGCCGTTAAATATACACTGTATTAGCATTTAAATATACACTGCATTAGCCTTTCAATATACAATGTATTAACGCTTAAATATACACTGCATTAGCCTTTAAATATACACTGCATTAGCCTTTCAATATACAATGTATTAACGCTTAAATATACACTGCATTAGCCTTTAAATACACACTGTATTAGCCTTTAAATATACACTCTCTTAGTCTTTACATATACACTGTGTTAGCCGTTAAATATACACTGTATTAGCCTTTTTGTCCACGTGGTGCTGCTGCACGTGATTCATGAAGATTATTCCTTTTTTCCCTCATCATACACATGTGATCGTTGCGTCTTTGACATGTTCCAGGATGGCAACGTGTCACTGATCCTCGGTCCCGACCCCCACACCGGCCTGGTCCAGATCACGCACGGAGGGAGGTTTGTTTGTTATTTAACGTGACATACACATTCCCATATGACGAAAGGAAAATACTTACACCTGAACCAGACAATCCGGTGATCGTGAGCATCGATCTGTTCATTTTGGACAACAACCATAAACCAAGTCAACGGGCTTAACCACCCAATCTCGCTAGACGACACTTAAGCGTAACTCGTGACTTTACATTCTGACAGGCATATATCAGTAAACTCACGAGTATTATATGTCAGTTGCGAGTGAAGATATGTTAGTCCAATCAAACAGCACCCGATTCAGAGAGAAATTGCTGATGGCGGTTGGAGCAGATTATCTTTGATAGGGTGTCTCCCAAAAAACACGTATTATTTCGTTGTTAGTTTTACCTGGATTTCTTTGCAGTGTATTTGGGGAGAAAATAAGGGGTTTTTTTTAAATCATCCACTCCAACCCCCACAAACCCCCCACAAACAATGGAGTTAGACTGAATTTTTTTGTAGCTAATCGCTGATACATATTTCTTGATCCCTACCAAACACTTCACGATCAGTAATAAAATGCATCCAGTTCTTAGTTCAGTGTCTCATGACCTTAATTGTTTGACGTTCGAGTAGAACGGGACTTGTGTGTGATGACGGCTTTGACGTTCACGCCGCTGAGATCGCCTGCCGTCAAGCTGGCTATCCGACAACTAACCCCCAAATAGTGGTTGCCGGAAAATTCCATGAACTTCCGCCATCGATGACGTACATCCTTGATGACATCAAGTGTTTCGGGAACGAGGCTACCCTCTCCGATTGCCAACACTCCCCATGGTTTCTGGAGGACTGTGGGTCGGGAGAGACGGTCGCCGTTTACTGTGAAGGTAAGCCAGAAAGAACGTTCGGTTTGTCTGTGAACAAACGTGAAGTCAGTACACGAGTGAGGATTCATTACAATCTACCCGTGATGACACAGGTTAGAACTGATCTTCAGCAAAGTGATGTTTCCTTGTATCTTGTTGTTTTTGTTAACGTTTTTTAAATATTTTAGTCAAATCATTGAAAAGAGAGCTTCACATTATATTATGATGTGAAGCTCTCTTTTCAATGATTTGTAATGTATATATATAATGTGAGGCTCTCTTTTCAATGATTTGACCAAAATATTTAAAAAACGTTAACAAAACGATTCTAAGATAAAATCCCTGCAGCGTCGTCAACCAAAAGTCCATCCGTACAGAAGGAACCCGTGAAGATCCCGGTTAGAATAGGTCTTCAGCAACCCAGGCTTGTCGTAAGAGGCGACTTATAGGATCGAGTGGCCTGACTCGCTGACTTGGTTAACACATGTCATCGTATCCTAGTTGAGTAGATCGATGTTGATGCTGTTGATCACTGGATTGTCTGGTCCAGACTTGATTATTTCCATACCATATAGCTGGAATATTCCTGGGTGTTGCGTTAAATCACAATCTATCTTAGGACAAATCAAATTCTCACATTTCACTAAAACATATGCCTTTATCTTGAGCACATTTCGACAAACGTGGTCTTCAACTTTCTACTCCAACCACCGACCTGATGTCTGTGTGTATGCAGATAGTATGTCGTGTAAACTGTTTTAGTTGGACGAATCTGTCGAGATATAATTGCACCACAGACCCAAATTACAAACAGTGACTGGACCACATCCATAGCTGTATCTGAGTGATGTCTTGATATTGGCAGAAAACCCGTGCGCGAGCGCTCCCTGTGGCCATAATGCTTCATGTACCAAGGTCACGACTCATAACTTCCTGTGCACGTGTACTTCCGGTTATACCGGAAGTCACTGCGAATCTGGTATGTGGTACACTTTAACTCTTTTGATTTGTGCATAACTGTATGTGATGTAAACTAAGTGGATCGAGAATGATCACACAAATATGACATATTTAACTGTGTAAACTGTAAAAATCCATAATCTGAGTGTGAGTTATAAGTTAAAGTCACATAGGCAGTATTGTGCCTATATAATCTGTGTTAATGAAAACAAACTTAGACGAAATATATACCTGTAAGGATAGTAAGTGTAAATGGAAAAAATTGTTTTCGAGAATGATCACACACATAGTGACAAGATATTTCACTTTGCAAAATGCAACAGCCCTTTTATGATGCACATATATGAATATATATATTGTCTTTTCTTGCCAGAGAACATTGTTTTCCTGAAGGTGTTGAAAACATAACGTGATATATAAATAATCTTACCCTGAAAAACACATTGTCATTGAGGCGAGCAGGAAGCAGTTTCGCCACACACCTGTTTGGGATATCATGTTATTTTATTTGAATGAATATCGATTTGATTTCGTCAGCTAAACAATATTTAATCACTAAATTCTGAATACAGTCTTCAGATAAATATTAACACAATTGTCCATCTAAGATGAAAACATGACGCTTCCTTCTATTTGCAGATATTGACGAATGCGCTTTGCAAAATGGTGGCTGTAGCCACCAATGTGTGAACGATATTGGCGGTTATCGTTGTGAATGCCCGGATGTGGAACTGGACCTGTCACCAGACCATCACTCGTGCGTTGGTACGTTATTCCTGTTAGCGTTACTTTGTTTACAGAGTATTGAATGCGTTATGAATCCAAGAAACCCTATGCTCTCATATCACAGTCACAGATTTTATGTCCAGGTTTGATGGATGTGTGTAGATAGGTATTTTATTTTTGAACCAAGGCCCTGTTTTACGAAGCGTTCGTAGAGCTACGACTTCGCAAGCCTATGTTAAACTACTGGCCATCGTCCTACGCGATCGTAGCCCTACAACTGTCGAAAGGCATTATTAAAATGTAGGAGTTACGATCACGTAAATTCTACGATCGATTCGTGGAACGGGAGCCTGGTGGTACGATCATCTCTGCTCTGCTGTCGCTTTGTAAAGTCGAACACAGGCTGGGTGTCTTTCTACGAACTTTTAGTGCTCTTGATTTCGATTCCTGATTCTGTTCTTAGATTTGTAAGCCCCATTCCCATGCTCGTGGATTTCGCCAAAGCGGAACCCGTTTCAGATCAGCATACTTTGGAATTTCCTCCTGAATCTAGGTAGTACTCTGATATAACTGGAATTGTTCGAAGTTATTTTAAGCCAAACCCACGCACCTTTATATAAATAATATTGAAGGTGGTTTGTCTCACTCACTCACTCACTCACTCACCCACCAAATGTGTTCTCTGACCCAGCCACTGGGGAGTCCGTCAGTTGCACCTCACAGTCCATGACCATCACCTTCGACAAGGGTCACTTTCCAGGCCTTCATGCTCAGCACGTCTCCTTGACCGACCCCAGCTGTCGCGCCACCAGCAACGGAACCCACGTCATAGTAACCGCACCCCTAGGGGGCTGTGGGACAAAATCCACCGTAGGTATAACAGGAAAATACTGTGTTCTAGTCCTTTGGCCAGAGTCCATCAGGCTTAGGAGATTGTCTTCCATCAGTCCATTGGTATGCTTGACAAGTCAGTAGTGTACATGCATACTAAATACGTAGTATATGAACTGACGTATAAAAGTAAGTACACACCGGGTGCTTCGGGGTTAATTTTAAAAGTAAAATTAAATATTTTTTAAAGTAACTTACAAATCGCAAACATTGCGTACCTGTTGCCAAGATACCACGTACAGCAAAACGATCCGAAAGCAGCTAAAATCGGCCGGATATATACTGCCGATCTATCAGACGTCTGTTGTTATGCCCAGAGTCGGATGAAAGTTAATGGCTGTTTGCCGATGACTGATGTATATGCAGTGCTTTTTTGGCGCCAATTAGTGGAGGGTAATTGATGGTGTAGGGGTGCCTATCACATAACTGTAAACTTGACTTTGTGACGATCAGACAAAATCTAAATCGACAACACCACGTCAGTGACATCCTAGACAGGGTGGTTGTACCACACTTTAATGATCATCCTCTGAACACTGGGTCAGTCTTCACGACAATGCCACGCTTGTCAATGGTTAAAAAACAAAAGAGACAATTCAAACATAATTATAGAATATTAAGCATAAGTTGATAAAAGAAATTAAAAGATGATAAAAATATTTTTTTAATTTTTCAAGTCAGCAAGCCTGACCATCCGCTCCGGTAGTAACCTCTTCCGACTAGCATGGGTTGCATAGGCGGATCCAGAGGGGGGGTGCAGGGGTGCGCACCCCCCCTTTTGTCCTGAAAGTTTATTAAATGACCATTGAAACTCGGATGAAAATGAAGTGTGCACCCTCCCTTTTCTCAATAGTGTGCACCCCCCCCCTTTCTCAAAAAGCTGTATCCGCCCCTGGGTTGCTAAAGGCCGTTTAGAACGCTGACCTTCCCTAGCATTTTGATGTGAGTCATTCTTGTTGTGAGGGAAGTACAATTCCGTCTGTTATTTCCTGTGTTGTGTATACATGTGAAAGGATTTCAACCACAACAAACAAAAACGTCTTCCTGACCCCAGCCACGCTCTATGTTCCAGAATCTTGGCGGCAAGATCGTGTATGCAAATGTCGTGAAATCTCGAGAAGAGGTAATCGACGGCGTGATTTCACACGTACGGAACATAGAGGTTCCGTTCCAATGCATCGTACCCCTGTCTGAGAATCTGGAAGTACCACTCCGTGTCGACAGGGAGGTCCTGACGTTCTCAGCGGAAGCAAGGGGGCAGTTTGATACCAGGTATATACCCCCAACATCCCCTCCAAACACTGTCTCGATCATAATGCCATAATCGGTCATACCAAAAGACGTTAAAATATGGTACTTGTTGGTCCCTGCCTGGCGCTCGGCATTAATGGGTACAACAAGGACTGGTCGGCTCGGAGTCAGTATAATGTGTCTGAGTGGGGTATTCATGCTTCACTGCGGCATGGTATCTCAGTGGGCTAGCACTATATAACCAGCTTAAGTCTGGGCTAGTACAAGCAGCTGCACATACACATACACACGCTGGCACGTCGTCATATGAGCGAAATATTCTCAAGCACGACGATTTCACCTCACCTCACCAAACACTGTCTACCCAGTCGAGGACATAAAATTTGCATTGTTACTACAATGGTTTTAACGAATTGCAGAACGATATCTAATCACGTGGTGCGTGTCTATACCCGGATGAAATAACTGCAAGATTGAATACTGCAAGTGCATCCCATGGCAAATTGTGACTCCTCTCAACTGTTAAGATTGTCCGTGCTTGTTTCTGTGTTAGCCAACCCCGCCCGTCCTGAATTTTCATTCCTACGTGAAACAATGATAGGTTTTCTTATCTCAATTTTCCCCGCCGCCCTTGAAATTTATGTCCTGATGTATTATCAAAAGTACTTTTTCTCTTGCAAGCCACAGCTCAGCTTGATCTTTCTTCATTAGCATTGGTCATCAGCATTTCGTTTGTCTATCATAAGATACTTCAATCTCCATAAATGGTAACCGTGCGTATCGTTACTGTGACCGTTATATTGTGTTCATTCGTCACCACTCGCCCCTTTCCGTAACCTCCAAGAAGACTCGTCCCCACTCTCGATGTTTGTTATGTGCGAAAAATGCAACACCAATCAGGACGCGCATAATGATGGCGGTGCTTTGATAAAAATAATCCCCATTACTTAAACCGATTATGGCATTATGTGTTTGTTTAAAAACACCATTACAATATATACCGTACGTCATAAGAAGGATAACGCGGTTGACGGTGGGAGATTCAAATACACGTACGTGCGTTTGTTGTTATAAGGGGTTTCATGGGTCCAATTTAGGGTATATCTGACGATCTTGCGGGCTTGTTTTGGAGATTTACGTGCGCTTCCAACATATTTAGGAAATGCAATTATAAATCTCTACGAGTTTCAAAACAATATTATACCTGTATATAACTGATCAAGTTTAATCTTTAACATTGGGCTTATATTTCACATCTCTGGGGATATTTTAGTCTGACTTTCTTTTGGCCATTCATAATTTTTTAAGCGAATTCATTTCAAATTCCGTCAGGGCTATAACAGCAAGGTTATACGAATGTTTCAGAAATAGTTTAGTCATATTTGAGTATCTGATTTTGGATTTAACATAGCTATAAAAAAATTAATTTATTTGCATATTCAATAAAACAATTACCGTTTGTGGTTATTAAACCCTGTTTAGAAATATAATTGAAAATATAAGTGAACAGCTGGTTATAATTACGTTAGAATGTGTCTTTAACAAATATGGTTTTCTCCTTCTATTAATTGTATCAAAGAGGTTTAATTGTTTAAAATGAATAAGTAAAAACAAAAACAGCAATACAATGTACGAGTGCTTCGGTGAGAGTATCTATGGAATCAAACAGGCATAGAGTTATCGTTCTTGTTTAAAGTAGTTCTGATGTTCATGCGCCAATATGAAATCCTTCCAGAGGGGCACGAGTCTAACGCGAGTTGGTCACGAATGATATTGCGTTGTTAAGTTACGACCCAGGTTGAATATAGTTTAAAGGCACAATGTCACGCTTTTTCGACAATATTTTGGCCTGTATTTTATATATTGGAGGCATATGCCCTCACTTTAGCTTCCTGTTGATGCAATAAAAGACTTAGTATCCCTTACGTTTTGCCTGGAATCAATCATTGAAACTTCGAGGCGAACAGCTTCCAAACAGAAACATTTGCCATATATGGAATGTAATTGCTCCGTACATCGAAAACTGTCGCACACTGTGTTGTTGGTGTTTGCTGAACTGGTTTCAATCGCAAGTTGTGCGTAGGATATTCGTAAATAGCGCTTTAAGGGACATAACTCTAAAGGCTTCGCTTGAAATACTGTTCGGCCGGTAGAGGGCGCGAGGGTCGATTTAATGCAACGTTGCATTAATTCGTTCGAACTTTTTAATTTAATGCTGTAATCTAAATACGATATACCATATAAATTCTGTTTTGGGGAATTAATTATTTTGTAGCTTCCCAGAGAGCTGATAGTTAGTATTATTGAGAGAAATGCATTATGTATTTTTAAAGAAATGTGGTGTGACATTATGCCTTTACACAAACGTTGGGAATATATATATTTGACAGTATGGTGGTCATAAGTTTCTTTTAGGCGGCTTTTCTGTATTTGCTTTAAAATAAACAAAATAACTACGAAAAGTCACTTTAACAAGACTTCGACACATTAAAATAAAACAAATATTTCATTGAATGCTTTGATAGAGATTGACAGAGTTTAGTTTTACGCCGCACTCAGCAATATTCCCGCTATATGGCGGCGGTATGTAAATAATCGAGTCTGGACCAGACAATCCGCTGATCAAAATCATGAGCATCGATCTACCCTATTGGAATACGTTGTGTCAACCAAGTCAGGGAGACTGACCACCCTATCCTGCTAGTCGCCTCTTACGACAAGCATGGGTTGCTGAAAACCAATTCTAACCCGGATCTTCACGGGTAGCTTTGATAGTAATTAGCTTTACATATTTTCGATACTAGATGATTCCGTTTACAAGTTGAATATAATATCACATATGTAACTTTAATTATCATCTACGTAGATGATCTACGTCGATGTGAAAATACATTTGACTGTGACACTAATACACTTCTATACCTAGCCTTAATGTAACCTCGAGACGCGAGCAACATGTTCTGAGAATGTAACAAAGACGTCACGCCCTCTGAAGGAGCTTTGAAGCAGATTAACAAGGGGGCGTAACTCTGTGTACACTATGCGCACTGTTTCCCTTCGGCTTGAATACTGATAAGCTATTATACACTATGCCCTTCAGTTGTGGAAATTAGTATTAAAAACTAAATTCAGAATTTCTAGTGCTGATATTACGTTTACAAATCGACTGACATTAGTCAGTGTATATTCCCGAGAGGGGCGGTGGGGTAGCCTAGTGGTTAAAGCGTTGGCTCGTCACGCCGAGGACCAGGGTTCGAATCCCCACATGGGTACAATGTGTGAAGCCCATTTCTGGTGTCCCCCCGCCGTGATGTTGCTGGAATATTGCTAAAAGCGGCGTAAAACCAAAACTCAGTCAGTCAGTATATTCCCAAGTAACGGATTGTTTTTAAAAAATATTTCTTCCGACCGACCACAAGCCTTGACGTTTACATTATGACAAGAAACATCGTACGGACGGCCTTACGAACACGTGCCTGCTAATTGTAGATTTTCCCATATGTTAGCGACAATTATACGAGGCAGAAATAGACAAAACGACACATTGTGTAAGGTTGTATGAAAGGCCTGCTAGTGTGAGATCATTGGTTATGTCTGCATTCAGTTCTTGTGTGAAAGTTGCGTTGCCTCATTTCACAGCTCCAGAAATATGCAATATAAATATGTCACATATCTCGAAATATGCAATATGAATATGTCCCATATGTAGAAATATGCAATATAAATATGTCACATATCAGAAATTATCTGCGTGGCCTCATACTGCATAGAATCATCTTTTAAGCCACAGAAGCTTACTAATTTATACTCTCAGAGTGCATTGTTTATGTAAAAAAAATTAGAAATTGTTGAAATATATTTAAAGAATTTCGAAATTATCAGAGAGAAAAATGATTCATCACAAACATCTCACACATGGAAGGCACTGATGGGAGTCCAAGAGTTACTTCCCTTTATACAATATACAAAAATATGTTTTTATATATTTGTAATTATGTATTCCCCTCGTAGACAGATACAGTGAAACTCGTGATTCTCTGGGGCGGCGGGGTAGCCTGGTGGTTAAAGCGAACGCCCGTCACGCCGATTCCCCACATGGGTACAATGTATGAAGCCCATTTCTGGTGTCCCCCGCCGAGATATTGCTGAAATATTGCTAAAAGCGGCGTTAAACCATACTCACTCACTCACTTGATTCTCTTTTGTCAGACTGGAAATATTTCAAGACGGGACCTACCAACAGACTGTCCCCAACTCCTTCCTAGCGACCCCAGGTGACGTCGTTTACGCACAGGTTTTGCTCTCCTCTAACGGAAGTGACGTGAGGCCATTTCCGGTCCGATGCATTGCGACGCCAACACGCAACACATCGTACAACGTGTACGATCTTATCGATAATGGGTAAGCTTTAAGCTTGTAACGACACATGATTCAATCATAATTAGCCCCTTATGCGGTATCAAGGTAAATATTAAATTAATGGTAACACTTTGCCTTTGATGCAGAAGGAGGCACATATATAGTTGTCTATAAAGGTAAGGCACGTATATAAGAGTACTTTTTGTTTACTCCTGCTGTTCCTGTTTGGTAAACCGCCCTAAAGACATCAACGTCAAACTAGTGCAATAACGAAAAATAACTGAAGATTACGTCATCCATTTTAAGCGTCACTCTGTTTGTTTGTTGTGTAACGCCACACTCAGCAATATTCCAGCGATATGGCGGCGGTCTGTAAATAATCGAGTTTGGACCAGACAATCCAGCTATCAACAGTATGAGCATCGATCTACGCAATTGGGATACGATGACGTGTGTCCAACTCGGATTTTCACGTCGCCCTGATAATTGATAAAAATGTTATTGGTTCCGTTTAGATATCCCTAAACCCTATACGTCTTCATGGCACCCAAATTTGGCTTTAGGTGCGTTCGATTATTTCCGAGTCCACTGATTTTACCAAATGTCTGGTAATCTGATTCAACCTAAAGCAACTGCAGTATACTATAGATATAACGAACATTAGTCCTAGTTCGTTATAAACGTGTTCGGTATGTAGGTAGTTAACTGTAAGTGTAAACCAAGATAACTTACGACAGTAACCGAAATAGAACGCATAAAACCAAACCTTTGAGATAAAACAAAATGGCAGTCTGGAGGAGAAACAAACAGTCGTTTGTATTGCTGTAGGACATCATTATGAGAGGTGAAGTGTTTCATTGCCTGAAAACGCTGTAAAAAAACAAACAAACTAAGCATAAATAATACATAAAGTATAATGTATAGACACTAGCGCTGAGCAGTGAAGAACATTTGTTTGACATCAGATTCAACTGCGTTGTTTCAGGTGTGCGATAGACACGACCTTGACCTTCCATTCATCCCATGATGACGCCAAAGTACAGTTTTCACTAGAGGCTTTCAAGTACCTAGACAACTCCCCAGCTGTGTTCCTCAACTGTGACGTCACCATGTGTATGACGTCAGACACTGCGTTACGCTGCAGTCAAAATTGTTCAGCAACACATCGACGGAGACGTTCCTTACCACACGTGAACGGCAAGGGAGACAACCGATGGCATGACAACAACGGTAAATATTTTCTTATCCAAGCAAATATGTTTCTTTGCTTCAACTCCGGATCTCGAATAACCGCAATTATTCGATGGGCTTTGATTGAAATCCGGTCTGTCTTTTCATGGGCGATATTATCCATATTATTATTTTTCGAATGAATATCGGCTTCGAAAATTGTTTGAAGCAAATATATGGCCGAGCGTATAATGTGGGAAATACGGTATATGACAGGTAGCGACTAAACAACTAAATATGTTGGAAAGCCTGGATTTGTTGATGTGTAGAAGCCTTAGTCCATGATGGAGTTTGAGGGAGATGTTCACTCTAGATTCACTCTTGTCAGGTCGATCAGTATTTTAGTTTCGAAAATTGTACCATACATTTCTGAGAGTTTTAAGTATTCGCCCTTGCATGATTAGAAAATTGGAATACTACAAAATGTTCGATTGCTTATGCTGTACACATTTAATCTGAATTTCTTGATAAAGTACAATGCAGCTTTTCTATTTTTGCAGGAGCGCAAACTGTTTTTGACGAGTCAACACTCAGCCAATCAAAAGCTGTTCTGATAACTGGGATTGCGTCGTCGCTTTTGTCCTTGACCTTTCTGTTGTCTGTGAAACACCGCTCCGTAACATCTTCTCGAAAACACATGAGTCAACCAAAACATTTCCCTTTGACGTGCGAAATCAGGAAATGCATCAGTCGCACTAACTCCGTAATAAAGAATGAAAAGTAATTTATCATGTTTGATGTTTTACTATTTATCATTTAAATGAATTTCACGGATCTCTGGCTAACATTATACATCCGGGTTACTTGTAATGAACGTAAACAATGAGCAGTCTCACGAGTGGCGACATCCCCGCCCCCCTCCCCGAAGACTGTAACAAGTAGCATGTAAATTCAGCGCACTGCAGTGCGGGGGCTGCTGATGGTTGCCAAAGCTTCTATGGATTCTCGTGTTTGGCAGATGCTGCATGAACGTCAGCCTTCCACAACACGTCAATGATATTGTACCGTCACGTTTTTGCACGACACATATTCCAGCACGACCAATTTAAATAGCGACTTTTTTAGTATTTTACTTTTGTTTGTTGTTTAACGCCACACTCAGCATTATTCCAGCTACATGGCGGCGGTCCGTAAATAATCGAGTCTGGACCAGACAATCTAGTGATCAACAGTATGGGCACCGATCTACGGAATGGGGATACGATGACGTGTGTCAGCCAAGTCCAGCAAGCCTGATCATGATCACCCGATCCCGCTAGTCGCCTCCTCCGACAAGCATTGGTTGCTGGAGATCAATTCTAACCCGGATCTTCACGGATAGAAACTGTACAATATGCCTACAAACTGCGTTATGTGCCTCTGTGTAACACATGATTATACCTCTTTTAAAATAGATTAGAGATACATGGAGATAGATACTGACGTGTCTTTGGAATCCTTTGTCTGCCATATGCATGGTCAAGCCACACACACAATATAAATGAGGCTCGCTACCAAATCTTCATAAAGAAGTGCATACCCAAGGGAGGACAGACTATGACCAGCTCTAATGGTGTAGACATGAGACTCCTTCCACCTTGCAGAGACTCCCTACACATGTACATACAGACCAGCCCTTGGTCTGGGTCAATGCTGACAAGAATCACCCCAGAGTTGCTCGTCCCGTGGACACTTGGTGGCTGTAGGAGGGAATAAATGCCCTGAAATGTCAATGGACCAAAGGCAACTTCCTTCCACAAGCGTTGACTGACATGATATCCATCAAGAACTTAGATTTGACTGGAATTGAGTATTAAACGAAATTGAGATTGAGAGTCTTCTGGACACAGTCTATGATGAATGGACATAAAGGTACATACATAAAAGTAATGGTGAATCAATGTTATTGAATTCAAAAGTGAGAATAAACCATCACGCTTTAAGTGTAGCTGTAACATTAATTTTGATCATTTTAGAAATATTGAAGCACGAATACCATCTTAAAACAATTGCCTTCTAGAAAGTGTAGAAAAAACAGCTTTAAAGTTTGAATTTTCCATTAGACCCAATGCATTTATCAAAGTTAAAATGCGCCTTTAACTAATAAATAGACCTTAATTATTTTTATTGTTCCTGATAGAGATCAGTTATTAGAATGTATTTTGTGAATAAAAAAGAAAAATACATTTTTCCAAATTTGTACCCCCTGACCCCCTCTTGTTTTCTCACGCTGTGCAGGTGAATTATCACAGTTCACAGGGTAGTGGTCTAGGACAGGACAAACGTTCAGAAATGTTTCATATTTCTCTGTCAGCTTCGAAAACATATCAAGCATACATTACACCCCCTTTCTCTTTTGCACGCACACATACACACACGTGCATACACAACGTGACATGTGCACGTTGATATATAACTGCAACGGTCTTGCACCGAAACTGAAAACCCATTTCACCTCATCTGCTTGTGAACTATATTTGTTCGAAGGAGTCACAGAAAGGAGGAACAATGACAAACATGTTTTCCACAAGATAAACGAACACATATTTCATAAACGGATCCTGGTCGGACATCAGGAGCAAGTGTCACCCACCAGATGCTTCCCCCAATCACCATATCCTGCTTTCTGCTTTTAGCAAATGTCAACTTTTTGTCGAGAGCGATATGAGTCAATGCAACGTTTTTTTGGAAAAACATTACCATGGGCCTTGAACCAACATCGTGGGATTTGAAAATGGGAAATACTTGATATTTGCTACTTTTGTGTGGACCTGTGAAGATCCGGGTTAGAACCGATCATCCGCAAGCCATGCTTGTCGTAAGAGGCGACTAACGGGATCGGGTGGTCATGCTTGCTGATTTGATTCACACATGTCATCGTATCCAAATTGCGTAGATGGATGCTCATGCTGTTGATCACTGTTTTGTCTGGCCCAGACTTGATTATTTACAGACCGCCGCCATATAGCTGGAATATTGCTGAGTTCGGCGTTAAACAACCAGCTAATCAACCAACAACGTTTGTGTGACATTATCTAATATCCTTTAAAATATTTGTTAATCTTAAGAACCAGTTTATGTAACGCAGATCCCATAATATTGGTACCTATAACGAAGTTAAAGGTATTAGAAAACCCGTTGTTGAGAAAAATTTGATTGAGGCATGTTTTCCACAGTTTTATTAAAAGCGCCAGAAACATAACCATTATAGTCCGAAAAAGAGACTACATTGTACGCTTTCGACATTCGACATTCGCAATTCTATTAATTAAAAGTGACAAACATTTTCATTATCATAAAAAGTACAAAACAAAGAGTACATGGTAGCACTGACATCAAAAGCGCGTGTTTCCGTTTATGAATCACCATCAAACAGCGTTGACACAAGGTGTTTGCCACCAAGCGATTGTATCCAGTCCCACCGGCTGTTCTCGTCAAAAACACATGCAAAGGCAAGGCAAGTATACACCTGAACAAGTGTGAAGATATGGTAAAAGTCAAAATGCTGATTTGAATCTGATGTCAGTTTAGTGAACATTGAGTCCACATGTCTACTAACATAGAAGTCATGAAGTCATGATTATCTTAACTCGCAAACTATGGACATTTACAACCTGAAGCATATTTCTGGGTTTAATAGTTGTGTTTTACGATTGTGTTAATAGCTCACAAAGCAGAATTAAGACAGTTACCGCCATGACAAAGTGGATTTTGCTGCACTGATATATATCATAAGATGACACATAAGCAAATAAATAAAGTCGCAGTTACAAAGTGAACAATATCTAAACTGCACATCTGAAAGTTATGTTCGAGACTTCCTAACCGTAACAAAGGCTGAATACTTATCAATTATTAATCGATAGCACAAACGACCATCACATACATGTAAATCGCCTTGATATTGCCTTTCAAACACTGCAAAAACCAGTTATTTCCAGATATATGTAACATCCAAACACCACAAAATCATGGACACTAACATTTATAAGCCTTCTGATATTTGTTATGGAGTGACTTTTTACATTTCTATCGTTATAGATAGCATATTATGACATTTACCAGGCAGGCAGTGGTCTGGTATATGTCGTAAACGATACGAGTACAGTACACGTGCGCGTAGACTAACGCTTAAGTCTCTGAAATATATAATTTTGAAAGTAGCAATCAAAATGGAAAAGGAGCCCCAGTGAGAAGGGAAATACAGAGGAAATCTAGACTTGCTTCATTTAGGGCTGCAGCATTGCAGGGAGGGCGAGACAGTTGGGAAACTAATGTGGTTCATGGTTCTGTTGTACAAAACAACATTAGCGCTAAGACTACCTTAAGTCTGTGTTAAGGTATGGGAGTTCGCCTTAGCGCTCAGATCGGTTTGTACAACGGCACCCAGGGACTGTGAGACAGACTAACGCGCAAAAAAAGTGTAATGATCTTGCAAATATACTAAAAGATAGATTAGATAAGAAAGGTAGACAGCCAGGATTAATAGAGACCAAATGTCACAAACTACATTGATAAGGCTGTCTAGTACGACACATCCCTACACCAGACTGGTAGAACCGTGTCAACAGATATCCTTAGAAGATCATTGAAACAGATGTCCAACTATATGATGTCAGAGTGAGTGAGTTTAGATATTGTATGAGGTATCAGTGAGTGAGTGAGTTAGTTTAGTTTTACACCGCACTCAGCAATATCCGAGCTATATGGCGGCGGTCTGTAAATAACCGGATCTGGACCAGACAATCAAGGGATCCACAGCATGAACATCAATCCACACAATTGGGATACGATGACATGTGTCAACCAAGTCAGCGAGCCTGACCACCCGATCCCGTTAGTCGCCTCTTACGACCAGCATGGGATGCTGAAGATCGATTCTAACCCGGATCTTCACGGGTAGAAACTGTACAATATGCCTACAAACTGCGTTATGTGCCTCTATGTAACACATGATTATACCTCTTTTGAAATAGATTTAAAATGTTGGTGTTCCATCCCACAGAATGACACTCTGAAGATAACTTCACACTTCTTCTGCAATATAGTGCAACTATGCGTATGTACAAATCGGTTTCCACAAACAAGAAACACAGTCTTGAAACTATTCACATACTGAACAGCAAAAGAAACGTAAGTCTGGCTTTTTTCACTTTACCATGAACGTTCCATCAACATGGACGCTTACTTTTAGAGGTTTCATTTTTTTTCGAAACCGGCGTCTCTTTTGCTGTTCTATATACATTAACAGAGTGCAGGAACCAATTTTATTGTTTAATGAATGTGATGTGGATTGGCATCTGGGACACATTTTATTCCTCAGCATCAGTGCGTCTCGCAGCCGATTCAATTCAATTCATTTGCTGCCCTTTTGTGAAGGACCCAATGCAGAGCAGATCGTGGAGCCTCTTTACTGTGAAGAAGTATAACCTCAATGTCATGTTCATCAGATCTGTACCAGAAGGTAGCTTAACACAAACAGGAAACACGTGTACTGCTTAATGGAACATGTTGACGGTGACAAAGAATCTATAGTATGGAAACGTCACTGATGCATATGACGTTGACGTCAACGTTCAATGTGACCTTGGTGACCTCTATGACCGCCCATGTGAGTCCGGGGTTGTTCTTACTTAGGTAGGACCCTGTCGTCGTGGATGAGGTCGTAGACCGGGTTGGTTGCCGTGATGGTGTTTGTGCCGTCGGTTTCTTTTGTGTCAACCTTCCTTGTAAACACTACAAGGACAGGAGATACTGGGTCTTAAGGTTGATGGGTCTGTTACAAGACTAATGCCGCTACTATCACCACCACCATCACTACTACTACTACTACTACTACTATGACTACGACTACAACAACCACTACTACTACAACTTCTACCACTACCACTACCACTACCACACCACTATTACTACTGCGGCGACTAATACTGCTACAACCACCACTACTTCTACAACTACTACTACAGCAACCGCCACTACTGCAGTTTCTACTACTACAAGCAGCACCACTACTACAGCCTCTACTACCACCACCTCCACTACTCCTTCGGCGACTACTGCTTCTACAACCACCACTACTACTACAGCTTCTTCTACTAGTGGCATCACTACTACTACTACCACAGCCACTACTACTACAGTTTCTATCGGTACTACTAGAAGCACTTCCACGGTTGCAAATACTCCCTCTACTACAATTACTACTAGCCTAGTGGTTGAAGTGTTGGCTCGTCACGCCGAAGACCCGGGTTTGATTCCGCACATGGGTACAATTGTGAAGCCCATTTCTGATGTCCCCCGCCGTGATATTGCTGGAATATTGCTAAAGCGGCGTAAAGCTAAACCCTCTCACCATTACTCTAAGAACTATTAAGTGTATTACCTCTGTATCACTAAATATAGTACACGCATCTATTACCGCCCCAACCCCACATCACCCCTACCCCCACACACACACACACACACACACTCACACTTCACCCTCCCCGGATAGGATCTCCCCTTTTCCTTTCCTTCCCCCTACACTTCACTACAAACATTCACAGGCGGCATCAGCGTAATTTCTCAAAATGAGCATAATTCCTTACCCTCAGCGCGGTCACCATCCGCCAGACTGTATCCCCCATCAACCAGTTGGGGGGTGGGGAGTTCCTGGTAGTGGCTGTGTTCCATTCCAGCATTGGGCAACCTTGACAAACAGTAACGTGACGTGACAGATTAATTACAGTACTTTGACAAATATGGGTTGTGGTTGGGCTGGGTTGGGTTGGGTTGGGTTGGTAGCTGATTGTTCTGTTACATTCTCTCTCTATCTCTCTTACTCTCTCTTACTTTCTACCTTTTTCTTTCTTTCTCTTTCTCTCTTGCTTTCGTTCCATTCAGTCATTCAGTCATTTCTTGCAGATATAATCAAGTGATCTCTTCAGGTGTATAAGCATTACATACAGTCGAACCCCAATATTTCGAACTCGGTTGAGACGAATTCTCGGTTGTGTCGAACTCATCTCTCGGCCCCTGCCGATTTCCTTACATTTATCATTGTTTTTACCCTTATGTCTCGAATTAGATGTGTCGAATTAACGGTTGTGTCGAACGCTTTTTAGGGTCCTCAAGAGCCCTAATAAGTACAATGTATATAAGAGAGTCCAGATATTCCTTCTTGTCAAATCCCCTTTATCTACATAAGAGCTTGTAGTCCGATGAGCGGCGTACGAACTTGTGTATATAAAGGAATTTTTACAAGATAATCTCTGGACCTTTATATATATACATATATCAGTGTAGCAATAAACATGGGCCAAGATTTTCGAAGCTCTCGTAGCGCTAAGATAGTCCCAAGTTACTGTTAATGTATGGCACTTACGACTATCTTAGGGCTAAGAGAGCTTCGAAAATCTTGGTCCTGAACTACATAATTCCACGAACATAACTGGGTGCAACACATATTACATGCTCCAGGTCATCGACATTGTACAGTGTTTGGTGTCAGGGGCATAATATTTTGCCTTCCAGATAAAACTGTTGTAACTATTTATCAGAGAACATTTACATGGGCGCGATAGCACTGGGAGTCGGGAGGCAACTGTTCCGAAGCCTTACACAAATGTCAGTTTATGGGGCGTGCTAAGTTAACACACTGTATATCAGTTAAACTTGTACATGTTAAATGTCATGTAAAATATGTGAAGCATTTTGGGAAATTGCGTTTGGTCCAGCTGTTCCGATTTCACAGTAAAGCTTCACATACTGCTGCGTGGAGGCGTACGGGAAATCCACAGCTGAAAAGACAAAAAAAAGATGTAAATCTTCTGGTTTCTTTTCTAACACAGTCACACTTTGAATTGATTAAAACATATTATCTCTGTGTGTTGTAGTGGTTTTTTCGCATTTTAAGAACTAATTCATAACCCTACTAAGCACTTTAAAAGTCTCGATCAGAAACGTGTCAGTTTAATACTGGAACTGGGGATTTGAACAAGTTTGAAGAAACTGAGGGCCCAAATCCGCTGTGACGATCAGTACATCCTGAACATGTTAAGGGGCACAACTCTTCAAGCCCATACGCGATACATTAGATTGCTTGGACACAGATAGTATCAAGGAGCTTCAGATGATTTGTATGCAGTGTTTCCTGTGATGTATTCATGTTAGCAAACCCTGTGCATCTTAGATTCGTTCGTTCGTTCGTTCTATGACGGCTTCGGTTATATGACTGCGGTCTTTTAACAGTCGAGTCTGGACTAGACTATCCTGTGATTGACATGATGGTCGCGATTGGGATACAATGACAAGCATCAACCAAATCAGCCAGTCTTACCCCTCAACACCGTTAGTCGCCTCGCAGGACAAGCATGGGTTGCTGAAGACCAATTCTTGCACGGATCTCCACGTGTTAGCTTACATTTGAAACACCCTTCGGTACGTACTATAGTCTGTTTGCAACGAAAACGTACCGATGAATTTCAATGGAAAACAAAAAGTAAAACAAATAAAGTGAAATTAAGACTGCGAATCCTCATAATTTTACCTTGCCAATTGCCATCGCTATTTATTGGTTTGTATTACAAGAGGGTATGCACATCAAATGAAACACCGAGAACGACAAGGGTTGTTCTAAGTTAACGCTCATCACTTACCCGGGTTCATTTGTTTCACTGTTCCAACTACTGCGCTTACCCTATTGTAATAAACCAGTAATAGCGATTTGAATCTATGATCGTTTGATAAACAAATTTTATCCTAGTTGAACAAAATTCTGAGATTTAAATGTTTAATTGGCAAGGTAAAATTATGAGGATTCGCAGTCTTAATTTCACTTTATTTGTTTTACTTTTTTGTGTAAAGTGAAATTCATCGGTACGTTTTCACTGCAAACAGACTATAGGTAACAGTGGCAATGATCATTTCGTGTGATAGAAACCAAGAACGTTCGTGTCTTTTTGAAGACCTTACAATCAGGATATTGCTCAAATAAAAAAACATTGCCTGGTGAAATACACAATCGTAATTAAAGAATACATTATTTTCGTGAATGACATTGTTAGAATACGTCTTCAATACATCTGATGAAAACACAATGGCGTGGAAATAGAAATGACAAAACCCTTTCCACATCCAAAAGAAATCTCTTCAAAAGGCAGAGTCGTTTGTGCAGTTCTGACTATATCATGAGTATCTGTTTGTTGAGACCGCATTCATCTGTACGACGCTGTTTGTAGACAATCTCGATTGTAGCTGCATGATTGGCATTTAGAAGTTGGAGTGAGTGAGTGAGTTTAGTTATACGCCGCACTCAGCAATATTTCAGCTATATGGCGGCGGTCTGTAAAAAGTCGAGTCTGGACCAGACAATCCAGTGATCAAATGCATGAGCATCGATCTGCGCAATTGGGAACGGATGACATGTGTCAACCAAGCCAGCGAGCCTGACCACCCGATCCCGTTAGTCGCCTCTTATGACAAGCATGGGTTACTGAAGGTTCCTTCTAACCCGGACCTTCACGGGTATTAGAAGTTGGAAGGTAACATAACAACGTATGGCGTGGATTTATTTACAACACGACGTTTCTGGGCTATTTCTTGTCCCTTCATCACGTGAATGGATTCAGAACATTTGACCAGCCTTTGCATGTGTTTGTGACGCGTGTCATCGGTGGATCAGGATGAGCTCATCTGTTTGTGACACCTGGTATCATTACTATTTGCTACTGAGTGTGCATGGGTGTTACGTCAGTGTTACATGAATTCATAAATAAATACGTTTGAAGAAAGAGCATACGGACCCCATTCACCCGATGAAGGGACAAGAAACCTAGAAACGTCGTGATATAAATAATAAAGAAGCTGTAAATCCATACCATACGTTGTTATGAATCTCGATTGTGCTTCACACCATGAGGAGTGTCTATGAATCACTGTCAAATATACCACGAATGGAATCTCAAGGTGTGTTATAAATTTGAAAAATAACGTTTATTGTCAAGGCAATGCCTTCAACCAAATCAGATGTGTAAAAGTTCACTATTAATGAATAATAACGTTAACTGCATGAACGGAATTGTGGATATTTACCCCTTTTCATCCTCCGGTATTTTCTGAGGACGAGGCAGGAAACGATTATAACGACAACCACACTGCCGGCGACGCCAGCACCCACACCAAACCCAAACATCGACAGTCCTGGAAACAGAGACATCATGTGTCATCACCACGTGTCGCTGCGTTTATATCGATAATGAACAATGTGATGAAGAGTGATGAACATATACCACTATATAACAGAACCATCATGGCCTGGCACATTACACCTGTATCAATGTGAGTGAGTGAGTTTAGTTTTGCGCCGCAATATTCCATCTACACGACAGCGGTCTGTAAATAATCGAGACTGGGTCAGACAAGTCAGTGATCAACAGAATGAACATCGGCCTACGCAATTGGGATACGGTGACGTGCCAACGAGGTCAGCGACCCTGTCTATCTGATCCCATTAGTCGCTTCTTAAGACAAGCCTGTGCTACTGAAGTTCAATTCTAACCCGGTTCTTCATGGGTCCAATTGTTCTGGAGTTTGTCCAGCAGAACACTTGACCTGCCTTTCCATGTGTCTGTGACGGGTGTCATCGATGGGTCAGGTGTCATCTTTTCGTGACACCTTTGTCATTACTATTTGCTACTGAGTGTGCATGGGTGTTACGTCAGTGTTACGGGAATTCATAAATAGATATGTTTGAAAAAAAGAACATACGGGCGTCCTCCTGAGATGAATTAATTCAAGATTCGTTGTGTTATAAATAGTTCATTGCATCGCTAATACACATATGTATCACATCAATGCAACAGCACAACATCCGTCACTCTCGTCGTAGACAGAGGCTGCTTCTGCATGTGGATAAGGTTTAGCCGATTGTATATATGTTAAGTCGTCTAATTTAATTTGGATAATGGTTGAATCTGTGATGCTATTTTATTACGTTACCGTAATGGCAGCAACCGTAACAACATTCATATCGTATTCTGACTTGTTTTCTGAATTATGAATTCAGTTAACATGATATAAAGATCTGAGCCTCTTTTCACAAAGCACAAAGGTGATCGTAAGTCACTAAAGTAACCTTAGTGAAATGTTAAAGAATGGGAGTTAAGGTTAATCTAAGTAAAGGTTGCTCGTGAAAGGAGCCCCTGGTAATAATGTATTCTTTATAGGGTGTTATAATATATCACACGACTGTGATGCTACTACTCTGTAAAGAGCAGTCCTCGGCCTACCTGCATCAGCAGCCACGGGGTCATGGGATGGAGGAACATCTAAAAATGTACAAAACAATACAGAAAAGTAACGTACTTGCTTTTGACTTCTAAACGATTGAAAATGAACCATATGACACAAATATATGTTAAGAACCTTTCAGGGTCATTAATGTGAAGAAAATACGTGGATGCCAGATTGATGACCCTAAATATCTGTAACGACAATTTAAGGATCCCAAAATTCTTAAAAGAGTTTAAGGATGCCAAATGTTCTTAAGATAAAGTGATGATACTAAGTTGTGTATCCCCAAATATTTGTTCAGAATATATGAGGATTATATGACCATGCCATTTACATATGCAAAGACAGCTATTTATTATGTTATCATTCAGGTGAGTGAGTATGGTTTTACGCCACTTTTATCAATATTCCAGCAACATCACGGCGGGGGACACCAGAAATGGACTTCACAGACTGTACCCATGTGGGGAATGGAACCCGGGTCTTCGGCGTGACGAGCGAACGCTTTAACCACTAGGCTAACATTTTCATCTATCGATTCCGCTTATATCAAGGAATATTGAAAAAGGGACATCAAAAGAATAGACACATATTCATTTTATTGTACGTACTCTGAACATATGATATGCTGTTGGTGTGATTTGACAAGAGGTTGACGGCTGTGCAGGTGTAATATCCACTGTCCTGCTTCCTGAGTTCTAAGACTTGACCCCGACTCCCCCTGGTTTGACTGGTCAGATCCTGTCCACTCTTGGTCCAGCTGTACCGACAATCAGGGAGACAGTTGGCCGAGCAGGTCAGGTTGACGACGTCTACGTCCGTAGTCGGGGGTTCTGTCTTGCCCAGTTGTATCTGTGTTGGACCTTCAGGTTCTGGAATCAGTGGATCAAGATTATTAAAAGTATTCTGAATTTAAATCATATTTCCAGCTAAAACAATACAACTTTCAGAAACCTAGTTATGTATTAAAAACCTTCATAATTAAGTAGAACCATATTCATAATGATTTATGTGCATCGCGTAAAACGCTGTTATGCCCACTAAAGACGTCCTTATGTTCAATTCCATTGTTAGACTAACAACTAGTCTCTGAAATGAACATTTTTTACAGAACAAAATTTTATAGGAAAAAAATAAATAAAATACAATGAAAAGGAGCCCTTAGACTTTCTTCATTTTCAGAAGCTGTGGAAATCTAGACTTGCCACATTTTCTAGACTTGCGTGGTCTTTCTTGGATATATTTGCTTCAGGGTCTGTATGACAGACTCTTCCATTTTCTACAATGGTTTCCATGGTCTGGCAGATCGAGCATCTGCCTGGATAGCGGAAGTATCTCAGTTCCTTGGCACAATAATACCGGAATTATACCTGACCAGTACTTGCAAACACACGTACGTACGCACGCACGCACTCATACATACGGACAACTTGGTTGCTACACTCGATATGGACAAGTGATAACAGCTGCTCCGACTGGACACACCCAGGAACATTTGACCAATTATTAGCCGAACTGTGATCACTTTTATCCAGAGTCAACTTCAGGACAATCTCCGCAAACATTTGGTCTCATACCTGATACAATTTTCAAGGGCAGTGCCATGGCTTAGGTTTGTCTGTCACAGTGAAGGAATAGCATGAATGATTACTTCCAAATAGTTGAATGGGCGATAGCATAACACTGAAATACGTCAGTTGGGGAAAGGTATTAAGGTGAGGACGAACCCCCGTATTGTGGTAAGGCAAGTGACAGTAGTTGCAGCTGCGGACTGTAGAGATGAAGAACACCCCTCTCTCCAGACCTGGTCCTCTCTTCCTCAATGGGAAGACATTACTGTCGCCTTTTAATATCAGTTAAAATGAAGATGCTAGCCGCACTACTTGGGTAACTTGTGTCAGAAATATTTTATTTAAGTATAGTTTTGAATTTGCATGGATCAGTCAGGATGTTGGCAATGTTGATTATTTCATATCTTTGTTTAAGCCAGAGACCATATACCGGTATTTGGTCTCTGGTTTAAGCAGAGACTTTCGGATAATCTTAAACAATGTTGGTTCTCTTCAACTCAAAATCCTAACAAATGTTTTTACTCCCAATTTAAGACACTTTTGTGGAAAGATATTTAAATTCTGATATTCCTTTACAACTCAAGTCTGCACTGTCGAAATTTAAATGTGGTAATTTTAACTTAGCAGTTGAAACTGGAGGATATAAAATGTTAATTACAATTAGAGATTATGTTTATTTTGTAAATTGAATGGCAAAAATGTTAGTGAAGATGAATTTCATGTACTCCTAAAGTGTGAACGTTTCTCCGATTTAAGGGTAAGATATATTCAGGAATATTTGACGGATTTTGATCCAAATGCCAATCTTTTTAACATTATGAAAACACATAATGACTGTATCATAAAAGATGTTAGTATTTTTCTGTATGACATACTTCAGCGCATTAGAAATGTTCCTCTTAAAGAGCATGTGCACTAACCTACCAAAATCATATTTATGCAAATGACCGTATGATGGGCCTTTTACTGAATAAACTTGTCTGTCTGTCTGTCTGTCTGTCTGTCTGTCTGTCTGTCTGTCTGTCTGTCTGTCTGTCTGTCTGTCTGTCTGTCTGTCTGTCTGTCTTTGATATCAGTTAATGTTTGTCAATGTTTTATCTGAATACGTTTATGTCAATATTAAAAAGTCAGGTTGTTTGTCAATGTTTTATGTCAATACGTTTATGTCGATATTAAATAGTCAGGTTGTTTGTCAGTGTTTTATGTCAATACGTTTATGTCAATATTAAATAGTCAGGTTGTTTGTCAGTGTTTTATGTCAAATATACGTTTATGTCAATATTAAATACACAGGTTGACATGGACGCTTTTGCTAAACACAGACCCCTCCTGCGTTTTTGAGATGGTTCATCAGCAAGGTAACGAAGAGAAAATGGCAGGACAAATTTACGTTAAAGTTTACCTGTCAGATTAACATGGATGATGTTGCTAAAACCGTAATGTTCACATCTCCAGTCTCCAACAACGTCGTCGTGTAAGGAAGAGGCGTTGAGGATGTAGACGTAGTTACCGTCATCCTGCTGACCACATCCACAGGAGTACTTGGTCTTGGACTTCCTGTCGGACGCGTATTGGGTACAATCACCTCTCTCCACCGAACACTTGTTGAAAGTGTTCCTATGGAAGAGTAGAGCTCCAGATGTTGTGTTTGTCTTGAGATGACACTTAAATTGAAGCGACAGTCCCAAGAAAGCGAGAGGAGGCGTTTGGGTCATGTTCAGTGACGTACCTGAATTATATTTTAACAAATTTAATTAAAGTAATTAATTAATCAAAATAATCAGGCAGCATATAAAAGGCATCTCAAATACCTCTTAAGATACCATTACATTGATATACTGTAAATCGACAAAGTTTTGAGGGCAGGAAAGTTTTGCTAGCATTGCGAATGAACTCCAGGCGCCAAACTTTCCAGACGTAATGACATATCTCATTTTGTTAAGCAATTATTCCTGGTCCATGTAAATTACGTGATCAAACAACGTCAAGAAGTCCAGATGTTCGCCTACCGGTAATTCCTCAACACAATGATCTTACTTCACAGCAATCACTAACATATTGCGTCTACTCACGTCTCGACATGAAGTGTAGTTGACAGTTAATGGATACGCATACATATTTTGTTTCGCCAAAAGTCATAATTAGTGTAGCTGGACAATCACATGTCAACAAACTGCTTTCGCATTGGAAATAGCGAGATCGCGCGAAACCTCATCGGTGACAGGTTAAATTCTTCCATGCATAAAAACTATCTGGCAATACACCAAAAAGCTGTCGCATAACCTTAGTTAAAGTTATATATATTTTACGTTTATCGAGCACAACCTTGTCTTGTTGATGGTCTGTCACCCTCATTGAGACTGAAATGGGGTCTATTTATAAGACGAGTATATGGATGGCAACTTCTTATTTATTGTCTTCTTTATTGTATAACAGGACGTTTCTGGACTACTTCTTGCCCCTTCTTTGTTTATTGTTTTGAGCCATTCAGAGACCATGTACCGATATATGGTCTCTGCGTCATTGTGCAATATTGTATCAAAACCACGGTTGCTTGTAGATAATCGAGACTCATTAAGGCAAGTCATCACAAACCATCAAAGGTAACCTATACTTCACACCACTCGACCCTTCCCGACCCCTGTAGGCAGTGCGGTAGCCTAGTTGTTAAAGCCTTCGTTTGTCACGCCAAAGACTCGTCTTTCTTTCTTTCATAAAGTCTTCGGGTATCCCCGCCCTAGTATTGGTAGAGCAAAAGAGAAGAGATCAGGTAGTAGAGCACCTCAAGAGAGAGAGAGAGAGTGAGAGAGAGAGAGAGAGAGAGAGAGAGAGAGAGAGAGAGAGAGAGAGAGAGAGAGAGAGAGAGAGAGAGAGAGAGAGAGAGAGAGAGAGAGAGCAGGGTACATATCTGTTTCGATAGTGTTTTAGATTTCACATTTTTAATATTTATGTTAGGCTGTTCTGTTTATTTAAGTTCAGATAGCTGACTCTCTTTCAATTGGTTGGGTTTGCATTTCCTGGCTAAGATCCAACACTATACGATGTCATTAATTGTGTTTAGTCTACAGTTTGAGTTTCTGTCAAAGATGGCTTGCAGCGAGTCTGATACGAAGTTGTATCCGCTTCCACTCGTTTGGTATAGGTTTGAGTGCATAATGAATTGCCTTCAATTCGTCAGTAAATAATGGCTGATTGCGACACAGGTGGACCGCATTAAATTTGGGGATATGGAGATCGTTGATCATGACGTCAAACCGGGTTGAATCCAGTAACATCCCAGCTAACGATTTCACGTTGTCACAACGTTGTCACAGCGTTTTGCTTTCGTTGTTACAACGTTATTCTGTGGACTCCCAGTTACGTTGTCACAACGTTGTGGCCTGACGTTGTGATGCGTCATTTTTACGTCGCCACAAGGTTAAAGTTATTTGATGCTAACGTATTTTACGTTGCCGTTACGTTCTATTTAACGTCAATAGTTGAATAGTTTTCCCAGTAGTGAACAGTAGTCTTCATAAGAAACAAAGCAGCAATTCACTTTAATGTTTATTCTTCAATTTGCATGTTGTTTTGGTCGTGTGTTTTCTGAAGCTGTAGCTGAACAGTGAAGAAAGAATCTCAAAATTAAACGTTTTACAGAAAACTCTATCGTGACACCAAGTTATGAGAAACTTCGGTATATAACGTTGTGAGAGGCGCAGAGCATAACGTTTCTTTAACGTCAATTGAGAGATAACGTTATAAAAATGACGTAATACTATCGTTGTGTCATGACGCTACCAATCTACAACCTTCCCACAACGTTGCGAAAACGTTGCGTGTTAGCTGGGATAGGATCATAAATTTGCCGTCTACTCATCTCCAGCATTTAGTGCTAATCTAGTCAATTGTGAGATAACGATATAAAAATGACGTAATACTATCGTTGTGTCATGACGCTACCAATCTACAACCTTCCCACAACGTTGCGAAAACGTTGCGAAAACGTTGTGTGTTAGCTGGGATAGGATCATAAATTTGCCGTCTACTCATCTCCAGTATGTGGTGCTAATCTGTACCGTCACAACACGTTGAAGGCTTTGCTGTACTCCAGGAAGAGTGATACTTGGCTTCCTCTCTCTCCCCCCCCCCTCTCTCTCTCTCTCTCTCTCTCTCTCTCTCTCTCTCTCTCTCTCTCTCTCTCTCTCTCTCTCTCTCTCTCTCTCTCTCTCTGTCTCTCTCTCTCTCTCTCTCCACAAACTGTGTTTTCACTGTAGACATACACGTAAAGTCTTACCAGCTATAGTGCCAATTGGTAGAGTGGTTATTGCTCCGACAACGACGACAGGTAACATAATCCTGGCAGACGCCATCTTTGTCCGTCGTGTCACCTGCCTACCAGGTACGCTCGTAGCAAGTCCTGTATGCCCGTAACAAGCCGAAAGTCTGCTTCCTGCTACGGAAAGTGACGGGTGTTGCATACTTGTATTGACGAAAATTTGTACGACAAGAATCAACACTAAATATGTCATATTCTGTTTGTGTATGAGTTTCAAATTATCAGATTGGGGAAGTAAACACGACAAGGTAAACATAACACTGCATGTTTCAGTCGACAGATAATATATAAATCAAAATACCAGGAAAAACACATTCAATTACATTCCACTGTATTCGAGCTTGTCGGCTCCTGGTTTGGTCGTAAAGAGGAACTAAATAAAATCCTTTCAGAAAGACCGATTTGATAAGGCAGGGATCTGAAAGCCAAAGCGTTTAATTGTCCACAGATCACAAAAGCTCCACATTACGCTTTTAGAGGCCTTGAACACTGTTTACCTATGTTGAGTGTATATATTTGACGGATATATAAATTAGATAAAAATCTGTATACCCTATTTGGGGATAGTGAGTAATGTAAGGTTTAACGCCACTTTCAGCAATGTTCATAACAGCAGGGAACACCAGAGATTGGTTTCACACACCCAACTCAATACGACCTCAGGGGGAATTTGGTTCCGGTAGTAGAAATGCCGCGTCCGTCGTTGTAGTGAGTGAGTGAGTTGGGTTTTACACCGCTTTTAGAAATATTCCTGCAATATCACGGCGGGGGACACCAGAAATGGGCTTCACACACTGTACCCATTTTGGGAATCGAACCCGGGTCTTCAGCGTGGCGATCGACCGCTTTAACCACTACGCTTCTCCACCGCCCTTATTTGGGGGAGACTATGCAGCAGCAGAAACATCATATATACATCCTCCTCCCAAACAGCAGTGTTCTCGCTTCACTCATTCTTTTGCCTAAAGCGTTGATTTGGAGATTTTAGCAAAATATTGCCCAAGAGACTATAATGTTTTCTTTTAAATCCATGTCCTCCAGGGAGCGGTGGGGTAGCCCAGAGATTAAAGCGTACGCTCGTCACTCCATTCGATTCACCACATGGGTACAATGTGTGAAGCCCATTTCTGGTGTCCCCCGCCGTGTTATTGCTGAAATATTGCTAAATACGGCGTTAAACCAAAGTCACTCACTCACCTATGTCCTCCAGATCCGCAAACTTGAGAAACACCGTCCTGCACTAGAGCTTCCCGACGCTTGCAATGTTGGTTTAGTTCCGGAAACTTGTCATTAGTTCATTGACGCCCTACTACAAACGTGTAAAGAGGTTTGTAGGAGTAAAACTGTCATAATACATACTAGTATTACCCCTACTCTGTCATACAGACCCTGAAGCAAATATATCCAAGAAAGTCCACGCAAGTCTAGAAAATGTGGCAAATCTAGATTTCCACAGCTGGAAAATGAAGAAAGTTTCTAAGCCCCTTTTTATTGTATTTATAATTTTAATTTAAAAACTTGTATTTTCTGTAAAATATGTTCATTTCAGAGACTAGCTGTTAACCTAATATTACCCCCCAAACAAGTATACATAGTGCAGATTCAGGCGTGTAGCAAGCCATATTTTTCGTGTAAGTCCACGTGGTTGCAAAGCTTTATATTTAGATAGTATTAAATTGAGGGCTTGCCCAAACATTGTTTTGACAATCATGTGTAAGCCCTGACCTTTTTGGAATAATGGTAGCTACGCCCCTGAGATAGTAACTGAATCAGACAGTGAATGGCATTCTTTGGTCGCCGTCTTCTGGCTGGAGGCGGTACGCCCGCTGAGCGAACCAACAGTGTACCAGTTTACTGCATAGACGCCCGACTCTGATATATTTATAAGCATGACCTATATATATCTATAGGTCATGCTTATAAGCATGACCTATATATATCTATAGGTCATGCTTATAAATATATCAGAGTCGGGCGCCTATGGTTTACTGCTCTCAGCTCTTCAGTCTGCAAGTGCTAAACTCGACTCTCTCAAATGTAAAGGCCGTGACGTGTGATTCTTGGATAAACATATGTCGCATTACAAGAACACATTGTCGGGTAATGGATCGAACAGACACAGTAACATCGCATCTCACCAGGAGTAATGAAATACACAATGCCATTTTAACATATGTTATATTTGGGATTACACTATCTTAGTCAAGTACAGATTCTAGTACTTTGGGGGTTGAGTCCCATCCGGGATTCGAACCCGCACCCTCCAGGATGGGACTCAACCCCAAAAGTACTTGAATCTGTACTTTACTAAGAAAGTGTAATCCCAAATATAACATATGTTAGATTTCACCAGGAGTTGTCAACGCCTTAACGCGACCCCTGGAACTCTATGGTCGCGTGCATGGAACCAGGGTCACAAATCAGTTGAAGTTCAGCAACGTTTGTCACAGAGAGTCCTTGGATTGGTGACCGTGTTTGGCACCTTGACTCTACAGAGTTTCTAGTTCTTCAGTCATACCCCACAACGATGTACATCTTAAGCAAGTGAGTTTAAAAACTTGCCTCTGTTGACCCAGCAGTAAATGGGTACCCGGTGGGATAAGTCATATGACTATTAACCTTCTAGCGCCTCACAATCAGCTTGGGTTCACCGAGGTTATTAAGTCTATTAAGTTGTATTCGCTTAAAACATGCCCGTGCGGCGTGAAGTTTAGCGCTATAAAAGTGGCCTTATTATTTTCACGCTGAATATTCAACACGTGACATGAGGTGTGTTTTTTTTCTGTTTGCATACTGTATCACTGGGTGGGTTTGTATATCGTAACATTTATACCATGCAAACACTTGGGATCGTAGGTAGGTAGGTGGGTAGTCAGGTAGGTAGGTAGTCAGATGGGTAGTCAGGTGGGTTGGTAGTTAGGTAGGTAGAGAGGTAGGTAGGTGGGTAGTCAGGTAGGTAGTCAGATGGGTTGGTAGTTAGGTAGGTAGAGAGGTAGGTAGGTGGGTAGGTAGCTATAGGCAGTCAGATGGGTTGGTAGTCAGGTAGGTGGGTAGGCAGCTATAGGTAGTCAGATAGGAAGGTAGGTAGGCAGCTATAGGTAGTCAGATAGGAAGGTAGGTAGGTAGCTATAGGTAGTCAGATAGGAAGGTAGGTAGGTAGTCAGGTAGGTAGTCAGATAGGTAGGTAGGTAGGTAGCTATATGTAGTCAGATAGGAACGGAAGTAGGCAACTATAGGTAGTCAGATAGGAAGGTAGGTAGGTAGTCAGGTGGGTAGTCAGATAGGAAGGTAGGTTCTTAGGTAGGTAGTCAGGTGGGTAGTCAGATAGGAAGGTAGGTAGGTGGTCAGGTGGGTCGTCAGATGGGTAGATAGGTAGGTGGGTAGGGAGCTATAGGTAGTCGGAGGTTGGTAGGTAGGTAGGTAGGTAGTCAGGGTAGGTAGTCATGGGTAGTCAGATAGGAAGGCAAGTAGGGTAGTCAGATAGGAAGGCAGGTAGGTAGTCAGGTGGGTAGTCAGATAGGATAGGTAGGTAGGTAGTCAGGTGGGTAGTCAGATAGGAAGGTAGGTAGGTAGTCAGGTGGGTAGTCAGATAGGAAGGTAGGTAGGTAGTCAGGTGGGTAGTCAGATAGGAAGGGTAGGTAGTTAGGTGGGGCGTCAGATAGGTAGGTAGTTAGGTGGGTGTAGTCAGATGGGTAGGTAGGTAGGTAGTCAGATGGGTTGGTAGGTAGCTATATGTAGTCAGGTTGGTTGGTAGGTAGGTAGGTGGATGTTGGGTAGATATGCAGTTAGGTGGGTGGGTAGGTAGGTAGGTAGGTAGTATTACTTAGAGTACATTTCTGTTTGCCTCCATTATATTACATCTGTTTGCATACTGTATCACTGGGTGGGTTTGTATATCGTAACATTTATACCATGCAAACACTTGGGATCGTAGGTAGGTAGGTGGGTGGTCAGGTAGGTAGGTAGTCAGGTGGGTTGTCAGATGGGTTGGTAGTTAGGTAGAAAGGTAGGTAGGTAGCTATATGTAGTCAGATAGGAAGGTAGGTAGGTAGTCAGGTGGGTAGTCAGATAGGAAGGTAGGTAGGTAGTCAGGTGGGTAGTCAGATAGGAAGGTAGGTAGGTAGTCAGGTGGGTAGTCAGATAGGAAGGTAGGTAGGTAGTCAGGTGGGTAGTCAGATGGGCAGGTAGTCAGGTGGGTAGGTAGGTAGGTAGGTAGGGAGCTATAGATAGGAAGGTAGTTTGGCAGCTATAGGTAGTCAGATAGGAAGGAAGGTAGGTAGTCAGGTAGGTAGTCAGATAGGAAGGTAGGTAGGTAGCTATATGTAGTCAGATAGGAAGGTAAGTAGGCAACTATAGGTAGTCAGATAGGAAGGAAGGTAGGTAGTCAGGTTGGTAGTCAGATAGGAAGGTAGGTAGGTAGGTAGTCAGGTGGGTAGTCAGATAGGAAGGTAGGTAGGTAGTCAGGTGGGTAGTCAGATGGGTAGGTGGGTGGGTGGGAAGGGAGCTATAGATAGTCAGATGGGTTGGTAGGTAGGTAGATAGGTAGTCAGGTTGGTAGTCAGATAGGAAGGTAGGTAGGTAGTCAGGTGGGTAGTCAGGTGGGTAGGTAGTTAGGCGGTTAGGGAGCTAAAGGTAGTCAGATGGGTTGGTAGGTAGGTAGTTAGGTGGGTATAGTCAGATGGGTAGGTAGGTAGGTAGTCAGATGGGTTGGTAGGTAGCTATATGTAGTCAGGTTGGTTGGTAGGTGGGTAGGTGGATGTTGGGTAGATATGCAGTTAGGTGGGTGGGTAGGTAGGTAGGTAGGTAGTATTACTTAGAGTACATTTCTGTTTGCCTCCATTATATTACATCATTCATAACAAAATCGAAGTTTCAAAAATATGATTTAAATATATCACACAATTGCCCTCACTGAATCTACAGGTACCATGTGTAAGGGCTGAAACACGGCTGCTAACAGAAAAATACTGTCCCATAACAGTTAACATGATAGTATAATATATCTAGCTCATAAGGAAGTAGTCTAGATGGCCTGCTGAACATGTTTATCGGATCGAAAAACTGAGTTTGGTGTTTGTTATCCATTGCGTGACAACATGACCACCAGCAGTGTTGTAAATACGGATACCGTCACTGAGACTGACTGACTGACTGAGTTTAGTTTTACGCCGCTTTTAGCAATTTCCCAGCAATATCACGGCGGGGGACACCAGAAATGGGCTTAACACATTGTGCCCATGT